CAACAGCAACAGCAACAGCAACAGCAACAGCAACAGCAACAGCCTCAATACCACCAGCCCCAGGCTCAGCTTCAAGTTCAGCAGCGATATCGTCGAGAGCCCGCTCAGGCAGCACCAGCAGCAGTCCCACGACCTCGGGCTTTGCATCACTCACTGACACCCGCGGTGCCACCAACCGCCCAAAGTCGAAGGCCTTTGCATCATTCAAGTTCAGCGGTCAAGAGTATTTTGCGTGTTCCAACAGCGCCGCCACCACCGGCTCCGCAACCGCAACCGCAACCGCAGCCGCAACCATATCGGCCTCCGCCTCGTGAATGGAGCCTCTATCCTCCTCCGCCAGACCCGTGGCTTTATCTTCCCAAGGCGGATCCTATGTATCGACCCATGGGAGAAGAACTGCCCGGATGGAAGCCAGAATATTGTACGCGATTCAGCTCTCTACCATCGTTGGCTAGAGTGGTTTCTTTTTTTCCCCAAGACGGCTCCTATGATACGCCCATGGGAGAAGGACTGCCCGGATGGAAGCCACAGGCACAACACGATGCAAGCATGCAAGCCTACTCGCAATGTGGGGGATATCCTGTTGTTGGGTGTAGTACGGGCAAGGGCGGGGCATTTCATACTGATCAGGGCTGGCGCCGGGAGCATAAAGAGAAGCAAAGACAAAGAAAAAGAGTCAGATTTGTCCTAGAGACGGAAACAGGTGCAGCTACAGGGCTGAAGAGGCCATATAGCAGCGCCACAATGATGAATTATCCCAGCAATTAGTAGGTAAAGAAGCCAGGCTAGGCTAGGCTAGGCTGGTAGGCTTCAAGCACAAAAATCTGTGATAAATCGAAAACCGAACCCGACGGCAGACAAGAGCAATGAATCGATGAAGGCAGATAAGATATCTATTCAAGTACAGGTATAGAAGTGGGTGGGGAAAACTAAGTAAATGCCGTGGTGTCATCAAACATGCCCACCGACGACCGTTGTTGAATGACCGAAATAGTAAAGTGATGCCTTCTTTTCTCCCTCGCCTTGCAGTGCCCTTTTCAGCTGGATGATGCGGACTGTTCGACCGACCGACCGATCTCGTAGAGGAGACTCTGCAGCAGAGGACCTTATGATGACCAGCGAACCGATCTTTTTGTGCCACCGGCAGATGCTGCTGCAGAAGACGTGTCGTTTGATGCAACGGTTGTAGTAGCATCACCGCCCTTCTTCAGCCAGACACTCAAAGCGGCAGATCCACCGCAGATTTCTTGATTCGAGCCAGAAGCGCCCGTGCACACCATGTTGCATTTATCTTCGGCGAGGGTCGTGGCTGCAGCAATATCGGCGTCAGAGCCGCAGAAACATTGGCCCGCGTTCTCGGTGCCGGCAACAGCGAAGCCGCGGCCGTCACAGAAGGAGACGCATGCGTCGTTTGTCATTTTCCCACCGGCAACGTGGGACCATTGCGGTAGTGTGCGCGGGTTGACGGTGTCGACGAAACAGCCGGTGTAGGTCCAGTTGGAGTTGGAGACCGAGGGCGTTCCCGAGGACAATCCAGAAGAAGGAGACGACGGAGATGAAGACGAGGAGGAAGTTGATGGCTGATGATTCGCAAGTCATGGCTTTGTGTTAGGTTCAATTTCATTCATTCCGACAGGGAGGGCAGTCGAGTGGGATTCTTGGTGGTTTAGTGGACGAGAGAAGTAAGGGGAAGGGGAAAATTGAAAAAAAGGGGTAAGGGAAAAAAATGTATTTCTATTCTTGGGGGAGAGATAATTATGCAGAAGTGACTTGTCAGAGAAGGCTTTTTGGTAGGGCAGGGCAGGGCAGCCAGCGGTCGGTGAGAAGAACAGCTGAAGATGTTTAAGAGACGGAGGAAGAGTGCGCAGCCTTGGTGGGTGATGATAAGGAGGATGTGCCAGGAGTGGGAGCACTGGAGCCAGGAGTTTGCGGTGCTGACACGGCATCTGCATCACCCGAAGCCATCGCATCAGATGAAGCTGAGCCGGAATCCGAGATGTTTGGGGTTGTGTTTCTCATCGAACTCATTGCCGCTGCCACGTCTATGACGGCGTCGGCGTCATCGTCTGTGCTTGGGTCTGTGGCTGGGGAAGAGGAAGACGTGGGTGAAGGCGATGTAGACTCAGTAGAAGAATTTGTATTTACCGAAACTGTGTTGACTGGAACAACCTGATATTCAGACGAGGTTGTGCTTGAGATGGCCGCGGCCTTGGAGGTCGTCACCGTAGCAAGTGTAGTGGGAGATTCGCTGCCTGGAGCTACCGCCGAGACTATTGTGCTCGTTGCGCTACCTGAAGATGAGCCCTGAGCAGAGGACCCGGCAGGTGCTGAAGCAGCCGATGTCTTTGTGCCGGGAGAAGAAGACGAAGATGAACCAGATGGAGCGACGACTTGACTGGAACCAGAAGACACACCGAACTGAGCATTCGTGCATGAGTCTCCCGTGCACTTTTGATACAGGGACAGAGTGCTTGGGCCGCCGCAGAATTCCGAATTGTCGCCCATGCATTGCATCTGGCAGTTTCCGACCACACCGGGGACAGGCGCACCGCTCGACGGGATGGAGTTACCACAATAGCATTCTCTGCCATATTCGGTGCCGGCAACAGAGAAACCTTTGCTCTCACAGAAGGCAACACAGTTCTCGTTGGTCATTTGGTCATTCGCCTGGTTGGCGCCGGTTAGGATGCGGTTGTAGTAGTTATCTGTGCCGCATCCGGTATACGACCAGCCTTTGCTTGTCAGGTCGGTGAAGAAAGTGGCATTAGATGGTGTGATTTTGGTGGGAGCACCGCAACCGCTCTGAGGTGAAGCAGTAGGCCCTGGCTGGACCGGATTACAACCTGGCAAAGCAGAGAGGACTCCACTGACAGGTTCGTCGACCTCCGGCTGGATCCTGCAGCCCTCAGCCTGGGAATCGGGAATGAGTTTGAAGACTGGGCAGTCCTCCACTCGACCGCTGTCGTTGGTGCACTCGTCGACGGCGCTTTGAAGAAGCTCAGGATCCCAGCCCATGATAAAGTCACCATGGTGTCCATAGCCTGTGGGGTCGCCCATCGACCACACGAATGGCTGGCCTTTTCCGTACCACATATTGGCAAACTTGCCTGTATCCCAGATGACCTCGTAGAAGATGGAGATCAGATGAACAGGAAAGTCGGGTGGGCACGAGCCACTGTTGTACGAGCCAGTGGGATAAGACACATGCGACTTGTGGTCTGGCGTGTCCAAGTCCTTGCCGTTCCAGCAGGAAGGGAAGAAGACTTGCGCACGAAGGCCATCAGGGCAGTTGTAGTTGGGGAACATGGGAGTCTCTGCCGTTGCTGGGCCGTTGTAGTTGAGGCAAGCATAGCTGACGGCTTGACTAGCAAAGTCATCGCCCCCAGTTCGCTTGAAAGGGTTGCCTGCGACCATGCGAAATCCCGGGGGAAACGCTTTCAGGGTCTCGCCGTCACCCTTCCTTTGCAGGTAGTAGACGGTGGCACCGCCGATCTGGTTCACGCTCTCGAAAGAGCCGTTTTGGTGTTGGAAGAACAGCGTGGGAGTCCAGTAGTTGCTGTTGTCCCCAATAACCGTGCAAGACGAGCAGGTGGATTTCTGGGTGGTGTTGTAGTCCATGGTAAAATCAAAGGCGTTGCCTCCCATGATGGTGTGCAAATGGTTCGACACCTGACCAGGGCTGACGATGGGATCCGCCCGCTCCACGACAATGGGCGATTTGCAGGGCAGCCGCCAGAATGCTGACACAGGCGACGCCACAAGGGCGGCCAAAAGGCCGGTAACCAGGAGAGCTGACATGTTTTGGCTTCTCTCAAGAAGTGTCGAAGACGACTTGAAGCGAAAAGGCGGATTCCGGGAACGATCAATTCGAGATATAAGGGGGGCAAGGGACAAAGAATGGGACGTACGATTCAATCGTACAGAGGATAAAGAACGAACGGCGAAGTCTCCGACTTCTAGCCAATAAACGAATGTCAAGTAGCAACAAAAAGAGAGCGGCAAGGTACAATGGAAAGTAACTTGAAGAGAGGGAAGTTGTTGGTCGGGGAGGTTGATATACCAACCTGAGTGTTGCCCATTCCCATATCGACGGCCCTCATCGTTCAGGCCGGGGATAAAATTGCAGGCGTACGCCAGACAGCGCCTCTTTCGACGGCATCCTGGTTCACTCGGGCTTTCCGCAATGAATGCAAGGCTAGCCTTACAGCGTAGACATGTTCCACTCTGATTCCAAAGGCCTTTGCGATGGTGTCGGCGGCATGGCACGTTGCTGCCAAAGGACCTATTGGGAAACAACGCTTATCGGGGCACTGGTAGCTTAAGATCCGAACTGGAACAACGGTACCAAAGCAGGGGTTGATGACCTTACGATTTTTGGAGAGCAGGGGACAAAGAGACTGGTGTTAACCGTTGTGTGGAAGCAGTTAGGAGAGGATTCCACCCCCAATCAACAAAATGTAGAGGACCGGAGTGCAAAACCACCAGTGCTCAAAAAATGGTCTTCGAAAACCCACCGCCTTTGGGGGCCGTAGAGGTCACCTTGTTGTCCGTCACCCTGGAATGGGCTGACCGTGTCTAGGGCATGCTGGCTTTGAATGTTTCAGGAGGCTTTGCTAATTCTGTGATGAAACTGAGATATTGCCCCTTGACGCCCCTTGCAGGACGCCATGAAAGAAGTGGCGTCGTCGATGGGGAATTAAGATCGGTCGGCCTCGTCCAGCTTGGCAAACAAAACAGCTGTTGTATCTCGTGTCTGTCATTGGCCCGCGACGGCAGCTGGCAGGACAATGCAGAAGTCCTCAGCAGACTGCAAGGCTCCCCCAAAATGTGTCCTCTGCCTACTTTCCCCCTTGCCTGTAGTTAGTCAATCTTCATCCTCTGCTTTGACAGGTACTTCGAGGATGAATTCGCTGAATTCTCTCTCGATCTGTCCCCTCAATGCCCCCATTGTCAGGATATCCTTGTTGTACAGTTTATGGCCCAGGCGACCTACGTGCGCGCCTTGAGGGTCGTCTGGCACGCCAATGATCAGAAGCTCATTTTCGTCGTGCTTGTCTTTGTCTTTCAGAGCTGGTAGCCGGTGCTTCACCGCCTCGGCACCCAGGATGGTTGCAATCTGGGAGAGTTCTCGGTCCAGACTGCCGAGATCCGTTTTCAGTTGTTTTGTGAAGCAGACGGTAGTGCCCGCAAGCAGACATGTAAGTCCCTGTTTTCCCCGGGCCAATGCTTGCTTCAGATTGAAGCTCCATTGTTGTTCGCGGGTGGGGTCATTGGGGAGGAATTTCCGTACGTTTACGAGCTGCCCCTTGTCCACGCTCTCTGTGATCCATTGTTCTGTGACCACATCAAGTCCCAATGCTACTGCCATGATTAGCTTTCCAGTCTTCTTCAGCGGCCTGGCTCCGACGACTAGCACCGTCGCGTCACTGATCGAGGAGGTTACACGGGCCCCCAGCGACGCGAAGGATGTCATTATTCTTTTGTCTTCTTGAATATTGGTATTACTGAATATCGCCACGGGTTTCTGCGTGGCATTCCGCCGCGAAGAGCTCCGTCTCCGTGATGGTGTGCTAGCTCCTTCGGCTGGTGATCGCCGACGACGTGTTGCCTTTTCGCCTGTCTGGGGTCTAGGCAATGTCCAAGGCGATACAGTAGTTGGAAAAACCGGCGTCGAAGAGCCATATACTTCTGTGGTCGTCGGTGCCCTTAGGCTTGTTTGGATCACGATCGTGTTGTCCTCTTCCTCATGCATTTGAGCTGCCGGAGAGGGGCTGTGGGAATGATGTCTCGAGCTTCCCGCTTTACTATGCACGAGCTTTCGCTTCTTCGTGGGCCTCTCGGTGGCAGACAGATCTGCATCGTTGCTACTTTCCGCCCCATTGGAAGTTCCATGATGTCCCAAGGGAGGCGAGGATTCTGTCACGACCTTCTCGTCTTCTTGGGCCGTTGGATCGTTCGACTGCACCGTTGCTTCTCCCTGCTCCTCGTCTTGTATGGGCTTTGGCTTCTCTGTGAGCTCACTGGGAGAGGCATGATTTGGCTTCCTATTGTGGCCCATCTGAACCATTTTTCTAGGTGTCTGCGGAGGAGACGAATGTGCAATATGCCTTCTGTCTTCGTGTGCCGTTGAGGCCACAATTTCTGGGTCATCTGCCATAAACCTGGTTTCTTCGGTATCCTCATCTTGCCTTAGTTTCCGCTTCTTTGAGAGTCTACCAGCGGCAGCTGGACTTGCTGTGGGACTATGATCCAACACAGCTTCGTCCTCCTGAGGAGACAATGGCGGAACGGATGTTTCTTCCGGTTTGTCTCCTGCCTCCACTATTTCGACTCCTTGATGACTAGCCTCTTCAGTGGCTCGACCCTCGACCATTTTTCGTTCTGTTGTGGGCATTTCAGAGGCATGGAGACTGGTATCGACGTTGCTGTCTTGTAAGTCAAGTATTTCTGCGGCAGATAACGCCGCAGTACCAACCTCGTGGGCTTCAATGCGAACAGAGTCGTCTTGAGAGCCATTGGTCAACCGGTCGTCCGCGTTAGAGGTAAGTTCTTGGACAGGCCCTGTGGAATGTTGCGAGCTCTTGGGACTTGGACTCTGTACTTTGCTGGGCGGGCCTGCGGATGTGAGATCAGCGCAAGGATCTGTAAGTTCTGACCTGTCAGTATCCATGGTGGCAGGAAAATTCTCGTTTCTGCTGGGCGGCACATCATTCTCAGGGCTTTCCGTGTTGGTCGCAATCTGTTCTCCATGGATATCCCCTTTTGGTCTGTCTGGCCGGACAGGGCTGATCGCAGAACAGATATCCTCCTCCTTGCAAGATTTCCTTGAGATGCTCTTCCTCAGGGGAGGCTTCTTGGTCCAGAGTGACAAGAGGCAATGATGGCGGCCTCATTGAGTTCCATACTGTTCCTTGTTCATCGTCCCAGCGTACTGCCCATCGACCCGCTGGGCTGAGGAAATGTTCATCACCCCGGATGATGAGAGACTTGTGGTGTAACGAGCTTGACAGAGGTATTTCAAACTCTGAACCATCGTCATTCAGCACCGAGCAAGACCCATCGGTTTCATCGAATACACGGAGGAGGACGCATCCGGGATCGACCTCTGGCACTTTGATTAGTCAATGTCAACGTCGAGGATGTTGTCTGAGGTACAAACCGAGACAGAGGGAAGAATGCTGTGGATCAAGCTCTAAAGCCAGATCAATCGCGGTCCCCGCTGGCTGGTTCGGCAGGTAAAAGGTACCGCGCCCACTCTCAACAGGTAACGCAGCAAGTACCTCGCCTCCCGCGGCGTTGTAGTATACCAGGAATACCACACCCATTGTAGCACTTGGGCGATTCAACAGACGAGGACATCAGGCGGATTGAAGTCAGAGGCAACAGACCTTGGGGACGATGTGGGAAAAAGCGGTGCGTCAAAAGAACGAAAGTGAACAGGTACACCAGGAGCGACATCGACTCATTACCTGTTCAAGGCTACACTGGCAGTGCTGTGACTGCCACCGACTGCGGCGAGTCCTCAGCCTTGGCACTAACAACAGCCTCGTCGATGTGCTACGCAGCTCGGTGCCAGGTATTCACCGCAGATATGGCTATACTTTACTGACTCAGGCAGTTTAGAGAATCAGGGAACAGTAGATGGTGCGTCAAGGACATATGATCCGAAAGGCCATCCTGTGAGTCTACCATAATAGACGACGCTAACCGGGCCAGAGACGCATCCGGGTGTCCACAATTCATCCCTGGTTCTGAGGGCAATGGAGAGCACCGTTTATACAGTTCAGGACCTCGGGAGCATTCACAAGGTCATCAGTTGCCATCTGAACAGCGGTGATAGAAGTTTAGTGACGCACGAGGGTCCAAGTTCTGCAGTAGTACATGGTACGTACTAGTATGGATGCAACGGCGGAGCATTCGGAAAAACATAACTGCGTCCCACAAGCCAAAGGTCAAGGCAAGTGTGATATGCGTTGTACTCTTCTCTTTTCCACGTCTCATCTCAGCAGGTACTAGAGCATCTCTTACTTCCAGGGCAGATAACCGTCTCTTGACAACAGGTTACTGTACCGATGAGCTGGTGAGTTTTCTGACATGAGGTGTCCGTAACGGACAAGGGAAACAATATTAAGGCCTTAGTATTGTTCTTGATGTCTCTGATATTAAGAACTCCAAACACATACTCTTCTTATCTTCGATATGTTGCTCAGGCGGCTGAGACAGGAGATAGTGAGAGGATAGCTCAAGAGCTCCGGTAGGTAGGTGCGGACGAAAGAGAAGCAGGCTAGGAGGACTCGGAGATGACGGTGGGAGTGCTCGTTGTAACCTTGATCTTGGGCAGCCGGATTATGTGTGTGAATAGTTGGCAGATGAGCAGCTTGTTGCCTGCGCTGCAATCCGAAGCTGGGGATAGGGAGGGCGCAGGCAGATCAAGCACCAATGGTGCTGAATTTTCGTCTGGCGTCCCAGCGACCATGTGCTTGTGTTCAGGATGAAATTCTACTGAGTGAGAATGAAGTGAAGTGAAGTGAAAGTAAACGGACAGATTCAGTCACAACACAACCATCCAAAGTCTCTGCCGTCTTCCCTCTTCCTCTTCTCTTCTCTTCTTTCCCTCCCACCCTTCACTTCCATCCTTCACTCATCCAGTTTACTCATCCTCCTCTCTCTATCCAGCTCTTCTCTCTCCAAAGCGTCTTCAGACTCGACAGCAGCGTCTTTACTTCCTGATCGACGACGATATTCTGTTTTGCTGAATCTCTGCCTACGCAGGCATGGCCGTACGTACGATGCCCGCGGTGACTCTGACGGAAGCAACCAGCTTTCCCACCGCTGGCATTGGCGGCTCTTACTACGACACGGCCTTTGGCGTCCCTACCTACGGCAGTGCTGTCTTCAATCAGACTACCTGGCGTCTTCTTGACAATTGGGATCATGGCAATGTCAACTACGCTTCAAGCGAGGGATTGGCAGCTGGTCTCGCATGGGCAACCTTGATCTACCTTCTCGCTCTCACTCCGAGCCACAAGAGAACCACCCCTTTCCACTGCTTTCTCCTCACTGGCTTGGTCTTTATGCTTCTGCATCTCATGATCAATGTCATTGCCGCTCTCACTCCTGGTCTGAAGACTACGACTGCCTACATCTACATCACCCTCGACATCGCCTCCAGCGCCTGGCCTCGCAAGTACGTTGTAGTCACCGCCATGAGCGCTGTTGCATCCTGGTTTTCATTCATCTTCGCTGCTATCTGTCTCTGGCTTCAGGCAAAGGGTTTGATGACTGGCATTCGTGTCCGTTTCATCACCGTCTACAAGATGATCCTTGGATACCTCATCCTAACATCTGTTCTTGCTCTGGCAAGCTGTGTGGCATTCAACATCAAGCAGATCATGTACATTGGCAAGACCACTGCATTGGAAGAGAGCACGGCTGTGCTGCAACTGCGAAACCTCTACCTCATCACCTATGCAATCAGCATTGGCAGCTTCTCCCTGGTCTCGATTTTCTCCATCGTCGACATCATCTGGCGTCGTCCTTCCCGAGTCATCAAAGGACACAATGTTTTTGCGTCGGCATTGAACTTGGTCGGCCTGCTCTGTGCCCAGTCCTTCATGGTTCCATGTGAGTATAGCTACAATTATGTCCCCACAACCTGTTACTGTTTTTAGTTACTGACCACTTTCCGAACAGTCATCTTCTGCATCCTGCAGGTCATCCCCAACAATAGCGGAATCATGCTTCCCGAGATCATGCTTCTGCCATCAGTCTATGTCATCCTTCCGCTCGGCTCCCTCTTCATGACGGTCAACACTCCTGACTCGGAACCCACCTCCGGTGCTCTTCCTCTGAAGTCTGCCCCAAGCCCTGGTCCCTTTGACCGCTCCCCAACCTTGAACGGTGGCACTGTTTCCGGCTCTCGCCCAGGATCATATGTCCCAGACATGGCATCTGAGAAGACCTATACCGATCGCAAGTCTGTCTGCAGCCAACTCGACCGTGAGCTCAACCTCATCGATTCCCTCGACACTCTCGGTAAACAGGAGGCCGACTCCATGCTCCATGGCCAGGGCAACAAGAAAGCCAAGACTTCTGACGCACCAAAGCACGCCTATGGAGAGAAGGACAACATCCACGTCGGCACTGAGCAGATGGTCTAAACGAACCCGCACTGCCACCTCATTGTGGTCGTGTGGTCATTGATCATTCTACATCCTGGAATGGGGTGAAAGAAGAACGGGTTGAGTGGACGAGGAGCGGATTGACGCTGGTCGTGCTGAGTTTGAGCTTATTATTGCTGAGGAGTTTCATGGATCTGATCTGGTCCACACCCTGACAGATAGGGCGGGCGCAGACTTCGAACAATGGTTCGAAAGGGATACTACGCGCTTGGCCCAGGGCAATATCGGGGTGCATGGACATGGTACGGCATTGCAGAACACTGCTCACTACTAGCCTACTCAGATAGCACGACAGCACTAATGATAAAAGTTGTTTGAGAAAAGAAGAGCTCGCGTAAGGGATTTCGCCTCGATTTCGTGCTTTTCAATTCATTTCGCATGCAAGTCGTAGAGGTCTGTGGGCGTCGTGACATACCTGGATAGTCAAGCAAAGCTCCGTCGCCTCGTGATTTATTATCATGGAACACCGATCGCATGCCATGAAGCATACGCATACACATACACATACGTAGATTGACAGACGAAGAGATCAAGCCGAAACATCAACAGGCTTCCTCTTGACCAGCCTCACCCACCGCCTCCTCCGCCACTCGCCAGTCCGTCCACGGACATCCAGCCTCGTCGTCTCCTCCCAGTCTTTAGATTGGTTAGGCTTGCGTGCCTTATCCTTGTCTTTATCCTTTCTTTTCCTCCCCTTCTCTTCTTGCTGGCTACCAGATCCCAAAGAGAGATCATAATCGCCATAGGCCAACCACAACTCTTCGTCGCGGTTCGCACCAGTTCCCGGCGCCGGAGGGAGGTCCCATACCCAGCCGCCGAAATCCAAATTAACACTCTCGCGGCGGGCAGTGGATAAACTAGTATCTCCACCGTCGTCGGTCATCTCTTTATGGTCGTCCTGCTGCAACACATCATATTCGACGCCCACGATCAGTCGCTCGTTGACCCATTCCCCGGGCTCCAGGTCGAGTTCCCACTTTTTGCTCGCCCATTCCCATCCGTCCGGCGGCGCCACATCCTCGAAGAAGCGGGTTCCGCGAGGCCGATCGCCAGCGATGCGGGCTGGCGAGAGCGGATCGTACGGCGACGGAGTGAACAGATGAGGTTGCCATTCCGCTGCGGCAGCCGAAACAGCGCTCGAGCTGGTCTGCAAGGGGCGATGTTGGAGCTCGAAGATTTCCACTTCTCGCATCTCAGGCGTGCTCGAGAGCGTGATTTCGGAAAACGACGTGAATGCCGACTGGATCGATGCGGGCGCCGAGGATAGCAGAAGCCCACGGATGTTGTGTTCCTGTTTCAGCATGGGGTCGTTCAAGGTAGACGAAGCTTGCTTCTCGACCTGCTGTTGTGTTTTCTCGAGCCAGTCTTGCGCTACGGGGTGGTTGGAAATTACCAAGCCCCAACCGATCAAGAGGAAGATGAGGCGCCATGGGAGAAGATGGGCGGTGATGAAGGAGAAGGTGGTGAGGATGGTAAGGAACAAAAAGAGCTGGGACGAGTATGTCTCGTCGCTGAAATTGGTGGCGGGCGCGACGTTTTTCACCAGAGCGTCGTGGATGTTGCTGAAGTCGGCCATGCTGTTTTGCAGGTCGCGCATGTTGCGGAAAAAGTCCTTGGACGTCTCGCTCGCCGGCTTGATCGTGGGCGCCGGTGCTAGTGCTGGGCCCGTATACGCTTGATGGTAGTATGGTGTCGTACTGGAGACGGTCTTTGGAGGCGGTGGCGCAGGGTGTCGTGATGTGAATGCCGGAACCATGATGAAAAGCAGTGCCACTGCAAGAGGCACCACCGCCAGCAGGTAAGGGTCGAGGCAGACAAAGGTATAGGTGGCGAGAAAGGATAGAGTGTGTGTCGGCGTTCGCCAGGTAAAGAGCCGGGTCATGCGGTTCTGAAACACAAAGACGATGCCAATCCGTGCATTGAAGCGACGGAAGTTGTTGGTCATCAGAGGAAGGCTGAAGGCAGGCCGTCCGGCATACTTGATCGAGCGTCGATCGGCCGGGCCGCTGTCGTCGGGGTCGTCTACATCTTCTGTAGGGATGACCTGTTGCAGGATTCTATACAGTCAGGTCAGTTAAACGTCAATAGCCGTCAAGATGTTTGTTGCCAGATATGGAGGATTCAGTGCGTAAACAACTTTGCCATACTTTGAGAATAGCCTGTCCTGTAAGGACAACTTGGGCTCCGGGCTGGATTCATGCTTTTCCAATTGTGCAGCAAGAAGTTCTTGGCCCTTGGCTTTCAACCGAGAACTTGAAGCGGACAGTGCGCCTCTGAATCTTCCCTTATGCGATGAGGTGTCTGCTTCAGATGAAGGGGCGTCCTGGTCATTATTGGACACCGTGATGAGCGGGACCGGCTCATCTCGATTAACGAAGGCGTCAGCGGTGAACTCGTCCATCGTGGGAATTCATGCCACAACAGCGCTATCTTGGGACCATGTTGGAGGGTCGGAATATTCTGCACTCCTCCTTGGAAGATATAAATGTCCAATTTCGAGTGTGATGCTCATACTATTGGTGATGCCTACCTAGGTAGGTAGGCATGTCGTTGATATTGACATGGGGAAAGCTACACGTGACACGAGGGGCCGTCACATGATAAGGTATGGCCCTGTTCACTGCAACTGGCTAATTGCCACTGATACTCAGGGGCTGAAGATCTCATGTTAAATCTGAGTGGAGGTGCATAAGATAGGTACATTACTTTGGTGGCTAAAGTGGTTATAAGTTTCCTGTTGCTAGTGGTGGTGGCCTCCCCGTAGGTATACCGCTGTACAGTAATGCTGTAGTCAAGTGAAATCCCCTGATCTGTCATCGAATGTCGGCATGTTTACCATGTTTCGCCTTTGCCAGTGGGTTCGCTTCCATCAGCTCTAATCATTCGGCATCTATGGCGAAATTGCGAATAATAACAACAATGGATGATACACGAGACAGCTGGACAAGCGAACAGCGACCATGGCAAACCCACCCTGCTAGTAATGGAGTACTATGGCACCTTGATAGTCGTCGTCCAGCAGCTGCGTGGTAGTAAGCGGCAACAACCCCAAAGGAGACAAGCCACCCATGCCGCCATGCCCCTAACAGTCGATCTTTTAACTGGAGACTGCAGGCCTAGGGAGCCTAGCATGCGTCGCCCCCGTACTTTGACGCCCGCTTTTCCGTTTAGGGCCGCCCGTCACTGGACACTCAGGTACCCGGCGCTCACGGGCTCCCATGGCCACGCCTCCTAAAGCTCCTGTTCCCTGTCCCCTGAGCTCCTCGAGTTCCTGTTCGTTGCCAGCCCTGGAGTCTGTCCCATACCGTAGTCGATATCCCGGCCGCACACCTGACTTTTGGCGCGCTGCGCTCGAACTACTTACAACCAACACCACTACTGCTACTGCATGGCCTAAACTGTACCATGTTAGTCTCTGGCCAGCAGACAACGGTCACCGCAATATCCATTTCCTAACCACCTTTACCAAAACATATCACTACACAGCACCGCCGAACCCTCCTGGGCACCACATCCTCGATGAGCGCTCTGCTCTGTCCCACCCTCCTCGAGCCTGTGGTCCGGAAGGTCGGATCTACGTGACGGCATTCCAGCGCAACGCGTCGACTGTCTTGTCATCCCCTTCTCTACCGTTAATTAAACACACACCCTGGTCTGCTCGAAGTGTGGTCGCGACACGGTCGCTCGATTTGTTCCCACTTGTTGGCCCTCTACGAACTTCAATGGAGTGAACGCTGCAGGGCGTTCAATGGCGATGTATTCGGGTTGTATATAAAGAGACAGGAACTGAAAAGCACGCCCTAAGGGTCCGAGGGCAGCCGCCATTACCATGGCATACAGACAACATGCTTCTGCCGCCACATCCAACACCGGCAGCCAGGCAAAATATCCAGTTGCTGCAAAAGCCAATGATTCGGAACATGGTGGTACGGACTCGATGCAAAGGACATGTGCAGCAAAACCATCCCCACTGACGCTGTCACACTCTGTAGGAGACAACCTGCCGTCGAAGAAACCGCCGTCCTCATTCTCTACTACTGCCTTGAACGGCCAATCCACAGGGGACAATGCTTCATCCAGCTCTGCCGCCAACTCCCGGAGGAGGCAGTCGTCGATCCCAAGTGCCAAAGGCCCCATGGGACCGCGGCCCTTGGACTTTGGGACCGGAAAGAGGTTGGTCGTGGCTGCGGCTTCATACTGCTATCTTCAAACTGACTCCTTCCTGTTGTTAGGTCTACCAGTAATCCCATGGCTCCTCAATTCAATCCCGTCCGAGGAACGTCTGCCGTCGCTTCCCAAAATCCCTATTCCTGCGAATTATCCATCAACGACATTTCAAGGTTCAGTTTTGCATCCATACAAACCAAACAGCCCGCAGAGAGGGAAGGAGATGGATCATCGGGCTTTGGCAACTTCTTGGAGCCGACCTTTAACTTCGACGATTTTCAAGATACCATTGTCGGCACAGACCCCAACCTGAACCATTTTCCTCTCCCTGGCCGGGGCACAAATGTCAAAGCTTCCTCCGCGGCCGAAACGCCGGGCGCCGATTCCAAGAAGCCCGCCATTCAACCAGCCATTCCCATTCCTTCTCGCAAAGGATCAGGAGTGACGCCTCTGGCTCGCAGAGGGTCCACAACTTCCAGTACATCTCGGAACTCCAACAAATCAGACTCAATGACAGTCACTGCAACATCGGTGCTTCGAGGCAGAAGACAAAGCCATTTCCCGCCGAACTCGTTCAACAACGCGAACAGTGGGGTTAAAGCCCCCAGGAAATCCGTGGGACCGGGCACGTTCATTCCTCCACAACAATCCGAGAAACTGACTGTTAGACGGCGGCCGAGCGCTGGGGGAAGAAAATCAAGTGCGGAGAGCGCAAAGGGCCTGTCGCTTAGGGGGTTGAGTTTTCGAACGGGGACCAACGGGAAGGAAGATATCAAGACCGCGGGAACAATTCGCCCTAGACAGTCACTGGCTGGGAAAAGGCGATCTTCAAAAGACCTCCTGACGACGCCGTCAAGAACGCCAGACCTGTCCAAGTCGGCCTCCAGTAGTGCTCACCATACCCCCACACGCAGAGACGGGACACCGGGCAGGACGACAACTCCTGGAGGGAATGCTGACCGCACTCGTCGGATATCTGTCATGCCTCATCATGCCACTGGATTGGGAGCGCGAACAGTAAGCCCAACCGATGCACGGCGAATGAAGCGGATGTCGACGGTCCCTCCTGCACCACCACTGCCTCAGAGCAGGATCTCTCAGGCCCCTCCGACTCCCCAGCCTGATCCTATACCACAGTTGCCTCAGTCTGATCTACAGTCTCCCCCAGTCCAGGCCCGCAAGAGCTTGACCCCGTCTTCATCGAGAACCACGCCGGATCCCAATCGGAAATCGTACAGCTCTGGTCAGTCTTTGTCGTCCAATACTAGTTATAGTTCTGTCCGCCAGTCCATCAACAACGCCACAAGACTATCTCAAGCGATGAGTTCCTCCAGGCTTCCCGCTCCAAAACCCCGGCTTGATACATCTACAAATTCCACCTACGAACTGGAAGTGCCCCCGGTCCCAGCCATACCGAAAGCTTACGAGTCACCCGGCAGTGAACTCGATCAGCCGTTCTTCTCTGCCCGGTCGTCCAGTCTCCCGCCGTTTGATGAAGCTCTGTCAGAAAGCCCTGCGTTGTCGACTGCAGCCGATGCTGTGAAAGAGCTGGAGACTCCTCCGGCGCCGAGCACATCCTCACATGTCTCTGGTCCTACTCCTCACGTTGAAACCGAGCCTAGACCCCAACCACAGCGCAGAGAGAGCAAGAAGAATGTCCAAACGCTCAGACTACCACCTCTGAACCTGCTACCATTGAGCACCCCTACTTCAGCGAAGATCAGGTCATTGAACTCGAAACCAGACTCCGGAGAAAGGCCGGCAACGCCTCCGGGCACTCGCAATGCAATGAAGACTCCAAGCACACCGTTGACAGCTTCCAAAGCAAGCTTTTTCTCCAGAGGACATAAAGCAGCCGAGGATACGATGATGCTTCGAAGTAGCACTTCGCATCATGCCCTTCGGTCAGACGAGCTGGAACATACCAATGGTATCAGTCCTAGTCTTCCTGCCTTTACGTTTGAGACGGACAAAAACCATCGCAGAATATCACCATTTGTCTCTTCCTCCCTACCCAAGAATAACGATGATTTCAAAGATTTTATGCAGCCCAACCTTGACAGGAGTACTACTCACTCGCGCCCAAATGGCCCGCGTGCCCCAAGCTTTTCTGTCACTCCGAAAGCGGAACATAACCCTGGCCCTGTGGAGAAGCACTCCGAAAGCGAGTCGGGCTTCTCGACATCCCTCAGGAGGAAGCTAAGTCGCAAACGCAGCGAGCAGAAGGTGTCAGAAAAGGCCCAACAAGGCGCGGATCCTGCGGATTATGACAATATGCCACCTCCAAAACTGCCAGCATCGGCTAGCTGGAACAATACGCAAAACAACAATGCAGCGCCTGCTCAAAAGCCTTCATACATCAGGTCAAGGAGACAAACCTCCACATCAAGCACAAGCACTGCGCCAGAACGCCAGGAAAATAATGATAGTTCCCTGTTACATTCTTCTAACAACCGTCCCTCAGCAGAGAATCGGCACCTCACACCGCTTGCAAACCGGTCAGGGTCGTTGTCAACAAGCGCTTATAATGCCAATAACTCCCAAAGCCAACGGGCCCACGAGCAAGGTCTTGACCGCGATGATATGATGGCAGAGGAAGAGATGAAGAAACTTGCATCAAAGAGGAAGGATTTTGAATCCGCAGCCCGCGAACTTGATGCCCTCCGAGCCAGGGCACAACCTGCCAGGCGTATGTCGGCTGGCACAGCCGCGAGGACGATGGATTTGAACATCTTTGAAAGGGGAGAAATTGTCGATTATCCTGATATTTACTTCACCGGGACCCCCGATGCTCGAAAGATTGTTGGCGATCTGAATTCGGCCTCATCGAACTTCGGATATGATGATGAGCGAGGCGACTACAACATTGTGGAAGGCGATCACCTGGCCTATCGGTATGAAGTGGTTGATCTGCTTGGCAAAGGCAGTTTTGGACAGGTCGTCCGGTGTGTGGACCACAAGACTGGTATTCTCGTTGCCGTCAAGATCATCCGCAACAAGAAGAGGTTTCATCAACAGGCGCTGGTGGAGGTTAACATTTTACAGAAGCTGAAAGAATGGGTAAGCAACTGCACCATTGATTGACGGCACTATTCTAACTTGACCATAGGACCCCGAGAAAAAGCATAGTGTCGTCAACTTCGACCAGAGCTTCTACTTCCGAGGTCATCTCTGCATCTCGACGGATCTGTTAGGCATGAACCTCTACGAGTTCATCAAGGCCCATGACTTCAGGGGCTTCTCGTTGAAGTTGATCCGACGATTCACCAAACAGCTTCTGCAAAGTTTGATTCTCCTCCATCAGCACAAGGTCATTCATTGTGATCTGAAACCAGAAAATATCCTTCTTGCACATCCGGTGCACTCGGAAATAAAGGTTATCGATTTCGGGTCAAGCTGTTTCGAAAACGAAAAGGTGTACACGTACATCCAGTCTCGATTCTACCGCTCTCCAGAAGTCATTCTGGGAATGTCGTACGGCATGCCGATAGACATGTGGAGTCTTGGGTGTATTCTTGCCGAGCTCTATACGGGTTATCCTATCTTTCCCGGCGAGAACGAACAGGAGCAACTCGCTTGCATCATGGAAGTCTTCGGCCCACCGGAGAAGCATCTGATCGAGAAGAGCAGTCGGAAGAAACTCTTCTTCGATTCGATGGGCAAACCCCGGCTGACCGTGTCATCGAAAGGAAAGAGACGGAGACCAAGCTCTAAGGATCTCCGACAAGTGCTGAAATGTGATGACGAGGCATTCTTGGATTTCATTGCCAAGTGTTTGAAATGGGACCCATCCCGACGTATGACACCTCATGAAGCGAACAAACACGAATTTATCACTGGCGTCAAAGCCAGTTCGACCAACACGAGACGACCGGCCGTGTCCGGCGTGAATTCGCCTGTCAAAAGAGTCAACTCTGTTGCAAATCCTGCCGGTACCAGGCCCTTGCCCCAACCACCAACATCTACATTGAAGGCGCCCGTTGGAAGCCGACTGGAGGTGTCTCCGAGTAAGCCAGGGGCAAGGCGACAGTCGGCAATGCAGGGCACAGCGGCATCACAGGCAGCATCACAAGCATCACAAGCATCACAAGCGAAGCGGGCGTCTCACGCGGCCATGTCGTCTTCGGCGTCTAATCCCAGTTTGTCGAGATTGACTGCCAGTCAGCGAAGCCTAAGCGGGCGATCTGACCTTGCTGCTGCCGCCGCCGCTGCAAGTCTTGTGAAATGAGATGATAATAGCACGGGTGACGTTTTTTGATGTTGATGCTTGACGTGCTTGGGAGAGAAAACGAATCTCTCCACATCATTAATGACAATATATAAGAGCGGGCATGGCGGAACAGCCAATCATGGCTGGCGAACGACATGAGGCCGAGTGTTAATGGGGAGGCGGCTATTGACTTTTTGGGCGGTCGCCTCAATGCAGATTGCGTGAAGATTAGTTCTATATACCCATTTGATTGATGGCGGTGTGCTTTGGTTTCTGGGGAGAGGGGATACGCTGGTCAGGAAGCAAAGAAGCAATCAGTTTTGGTGGCCGTTTTACAACTTGGGTGGACAGAAGAGTGAGAGAGCCAGTGTTTGAGGGTATCCGGTCCGCAGCTTCAACTGTACAGATATGAATGATCAGGCTTCGTAAAGGTGACTTATCTAGCCCGTACTAGTATTCAATGAGCGAAACTGTCGTGGAATGCTTCTGTAAAATGAAACGATCCCAATATTGCTCAATACTAGTATCCTTCCTTGTCTCTTCCGCCAAATAGCGGGCCCACGCATAAAAGGTGGTTGGCGAGTAGAGGTGACGAACTTAAAGTTGGACACCGTCCAATCTCTTCGGGTTCAAGTTGCAAGTTAGTGATCCGGCGGCGGATGGAACCAGAGTAGGACATGGAGAGCGTCCTCAATAGTAGTATGTCAGTGGCCAAAAAAGCATAGCATTGTAATAGTACTCGAGCAATAACGATAATGGATCCTGACACCCAAACTTCAAGTTTCGCTTTCCCCTACTACCATCCCGTAGTTTCCATCAACAAAAAATCTAGAAAACTGGAGGTGCCCTTGTGTGTGTTGTGTACGGGAATCAGAAAGATAGACAACGCGCCCGCTTCACCATATCTGAGCATAGCAACCACCCACAACCCTCGATCTTCAGCGCGTCCACGTAAAAAGGTGGTCGAGACGAGACGACGTAGTACGGATACTGCAGTAGGTTGGGGGCCGTTCTTGAGAATGGACTGGACGGGAGACCCCTTTGCATACGAAAGGATATTGCAGGTTTTCGGGCTGGTCTCTTTTTTCATCTTTATCATTTCTTGCGCTTGGAGCAGAGAGAGCGCGCGCGGTTGACACCAGCCTCGCCCTTATCAACCCCGAATCGAACGGAACGTATGTCATTTCGGGCTTTTAACAGCACATCTCGGCGCATTCGCAGCAGTCGGCGCAGCATTCACATCCTTCCTCGCAAACGAAGCAGCAGCATAGGGCGGCAAGACTGTTTTGTTAACAAATGGTCAGCCTGACGAACGTACAGTATAGTATAAACTCGGGGGTTGTGTTTCTTTTCTTACCATGTGCCCAGACAACCGCGGTCATTGGATCTTCGTTCTTGAACATAGACGGTCTGGGGTTGCGCTTGCATCTGTGGCGGACCTTGTTGGTAGTAGCCTTGTTGAGGAGCGCCGTAGCCCGGTTGTGGTGGTGCGCCGTAGCCTGGTTGGTATCTATTGTTGAAGATGTTAGCCAGGGGACTCTGACGATAAGATGATGTGGATGAATGAATGAGATGCAGTGTGATGCGATGCGATGGGATATTGATCACTCACGTTGCTCCCGGTTGCTGAGGGTAACCGCCCTGAGGACCGCCATAGTAACCTTGATTCGACATGGCTGAAGGTGAACGAAATGAACTTGGAGGTGGAGGTTGTAGAGATAGAGGAGAACGATTTGGGTCTGTTGATGAACCGCGCTGACGACTTGGTTTTGTGAGTTTGTGTGATTGTTTGGTGGTTGTGGTTCGTGGTTGGAAGGATGACGGTGAGAAGTAGAGAGGCAGAGGAGACGAGAATGATGGTAGCGGTAAAGAAGAAGCGACGTAGTAGTAGGAGAGTCGAGAGTAGTGATGCGTGGCTTAGCTGAGGGCTGGAGCGACAGCTGTTTTACGGGAACAGGCGCGGCACGGGCACTGCAGTCGCAGCCATGGGCGGGCACTATGCGAATATTACGGGCATGTTACCACCTGGACAACCCCCGGCCAGGCACTCAGTGGTACCAATTTAAGGTGCGAAAAGGCTTGGTTACTTTAACTGAGCTTAGCACCCAGGGCATAGGTACAGTGACAACGGCTTTCAAGCTCACTGCTACAGTCTGTTCAAGGAGGCAAACGACACCCTGAACCCATCAACTGCCGCAGGGGGACGAGGGTCATTTGTTCCAGACGTGTTTGGAATCTCATGGCTGAGTCGTCGGCTCTCCGCGGCGACTCGCCTCTACTAAATCCATGCAACGAGCGAACAAGCGTCACCCGATGCGCATACCTACCTAGGTACCTTTCTATTAGCCATTCAACCACGGCCTACTGATGAAACTGACTGTGTATGTTGCCTGCCTTCACGGCGGTGGCCACCACTGTACGACATCACCATGCTGTGGGTGACTGGCACCTACGTCCATACCGGTTTCACGACGCACTGCAGTGGCAGCTGACGGAACCTCCACGCCGTGTCTACGTCGGCGCTCGCTCAGCCACACCACCTTGACACCACGGCCAATGGCTCTCTCGCTACAATCAAGCATCGGCTACAACCGGCGATGGGTCGATGTCGATGCAAGTGACAGCGGATCTGGACACGCGTCGTGCCTCAGATGCCACCACGCATTGGCCACCGAACCGTTCAGCCACCTTTTTTCAGCCGCTATTCCACCACGGGCGCCGCTGTTAGAGAAGAGCAGGAGAAAATAACGGTCTGATATACACCGGCAGCTGAACGTGAATTTGCACTATCGAACGGAAGAAGGCCTCTCGTTATCCATCATCAGCCATCGTGGGCCACAAACTCGGCAATGCCGTAAATCAAAAACGCCATATTTTCAGACAATCAAGCAGCTGGAAGACCGAATTACATGGAAGCTGCTCTGCCATTCCCGTCCCTCAAGCCTGTTAACAATCCGTAAAAGAAGCAATCTGTGCTTGCAGCCTGCCCAGTTCAAGTTGACTGTTGCCACATTCAAATTCATGGTTCCGAAACCCACGTCTCGTCGCGGGCTGACTCCCGCAAAATTATGTACAGATCAGGTATGAAAGGTAGGCACTTGACGCCAGAAACAAATAAAACGCCGTCCAAAGACCCCCCCCAAAACTGGCCCTTTTCTTCATCATTTTTTGCAAGTTGTCATCAATCATGGCGGAGTGAGGTGGTATGGGAACGTGGAATCGTTAGACAGAGCAAAGCTCGAGGGGTCGTACGCAAGGTTCATTGGTGCCGAGGGGCTGAGGTAGGTGTTGGGGTGTAGACCCCCTGCACCATTCATGGCAAGCGAGTCGGTGGTGAAATTGCCCAAAGCCATGTCGGCTTGAGTCACCTGCATGTTGCCGTTGAAGTCGAAGTCGGAAACGTCAAAGTCATTCGGTTGGCAGTCTGCCATGTCGTCCAAAGCTGCGGTAGGGAAAGTGGACGATTCTGCAGGCAGGTTTTGAACGATCAACCTGCCGTCCAAGTTCATCTCGATCTTTTCATACATCCAATTCTTGAGCACGTCCATGGATGGATAGTTACCGCCTCCCATACCACCGCGATGTTCGCTCTTCTTGCCACGACCGCCTCGTCGATTCTTGCACGGGTTGAAGTGGGCGCGGCGGAGGTGGGCGGCAGCGTTGTAGTTGGCGCCGTACGCTTTGCCGGTGCGACATTGCTTGCAGTTGGACAGGAAGTTGCCGTCTGGCGAGGCGTCTTTACAGATCCACACTCGGCGGACTTTGCTGTGGCGGCGTTCGATGTGTCGGCGGAGTTCGTGGTCACCGTGAAAGCCCTGAGGTTGCTCGTTACAGAAGCCACAAAAAGTCGTCTTACGGGGAGGTTGTTGGCGCACTGCGCGAGTGATTTCGGCTTTGTGTTTCACTGTACCATCTTCGGCTTGGACAGCCACCAGTTTGGGTTCTGGCAAGTCCGCCGGCCCGGAAGATGGGGCGTCTTTCTGTCGCTCCATCTTCGGGGCCAGCGGCCGCGAAACCGTGTTGCTGGTGGTGCGTGGGACTTCTGGTTGGACAGGTCCTCGAGCAGCAGAAGGCAAATGAGAAGTGGAAGAAACAGAGACAGATGAAGCATTGCTTCCGGTGGAAGGCGAATTCTTCATCTCAAAACTGCAAGGAGAAGATGATGATGGTAGATCATCATCGTGAAAAGAAAAACGAGAAAGATTGTTGTAACCGAGTTCGGTTCCAACAGAAGAAAAAGGAAACAAGGGCGCTGGGACCGTCGCATTTGCAGAGTCTCGAGAAAACTCGGACGGCAACATGTCAGAGGCTTTGGCTACTTTCATCATGGGGGTCGAGTCCATGCGAAACATGCCAAAGCCGTCGCAGAGAACATCATTGGTGTTGGTGCGAGTCATGGGCTCCGACATGACGGTCGGCCCAGTCATCAGACTCGAATTGCTTGTGGCAGTAGTCATCGGGGTATATACCTCGGGTGACTCTATTGCCGAGACATACGGGGAGGTGAGCTGAGAAAGCTGGCTGGTCAGCACTTCACTACGCGCTTGGGTCGTGGGCGGCGTCAACGACAACGACATCGGCATTGCCGCCGCTGTCTGGTAGTCTTCCGCCCTCGACCTGGCGAGGAAATCCGAAGGAGACATATCTTGCACTTCTTCGATGAAGTTGAGGCTGGACCTGCCGTATCGATGCGGGTAGGATGCGGCCGCCGAGGTTTGTCGTTGCCCATTTTGCTGGCGGGGGATGGGCATGGGTCCGATGGTCGCCCTGGTAGGAACCGAAGAGGAGGGACGCATGGGCGAACGGCCCGGTTGATGATGTTGATGTCGAGGGCCAGCTGGACCAACAGGGGCGGAGATGTGGCGTTCAAGCACAGGTGCCGAGGGACCCGGAGCCGAAGATGCCAACGAACGGGACTTTGCCTCAAACCGTCAAAGGAAAGAAAGAAGCATGGACAACAGGAGGACATACAGGATCAGTCCGTTTTGATGCGGGCTCCATACCAACAACCATCGCCTTGGAGGCGGTCCGTTTCTGGGGCAAGGTGAAGCCAGTAGTCTCGTGAGTAGTCGACGGTGAGGATTTGATCGCGTTACTGATGGTTTCCCAATACTGACCCCAGCCCCGTTCACGCTCCTCGGCAGGAAGATGTTGGTTCTCCTGGTAGTAGACCGCTCGACATGAACGAAGCACGTCGATTAGAGCACTGGAATCCATGGTTGTCGGCTGTCGCTTGGACTGGTAGAACAAGACCCAATAGGTGCCAAATGGAATGGTGATGTGGCCAATCTGTATGGTAAAGTCAGCAGCTATTCCAGAATGTCAGTTGAGCTCCTCCACAGTCCTATGCTTACATCTGAGGATGGAAATGGCACAGCGAGGCAGTATAGGATAGTACACCAGAAATAGCTCGAATTCAAAAGTTCAAGTCCGAAGGGTCAAGGACCAGCAACAATGAAGCAAAGCGGTAGCAATTGGGGAAGAGAATAATGGAGACAAACAGGTCGACCGGTTGGCAAGTGGACGGGAGTAGAGGCTGTTATAGCACACTGCAAAGTAGGCGAGACTGCCGGACTGTGCTAGTAGCCCTTGTCTTCGAGAAAAAGGCAATCAAGTGTTGGCCTAGCATGGTGGAATACGAACGACCAGACGTGGGGACCAGGGTCAGGTTCATCACGTCTTTTTCCCAAGCAAGATCACAGTTCCCGGAACCCATGATGGCATACAGTACCTCGACTGTACCACTACAAGCATAACAACAGGCCGGTCTGACGATTGACGGCACTGGCAAGCAGCAGCAGAACTTGAAGCAACAGAAGCAGCGAGCCAAACCTGGGAACGCAACACAAGTGACAAACGTCGGAGGCTTCGCGGATCGTGGGGTTTGTGACATGCCCTGGTCTGCCTCGACTCGTTCTCATGGGCGGTCACTGCTAGCAGAACGTCCCGTCCGCCATCTGGTGTGTGTGTGAGACGTACAGCAACCCCCTGTCGCCTGGTCGCCGGTCGCAGGGTCGGTGGCCTACCTGGCCTGGTGGGCGGACTGGGAAGTGCTTGGGAGAACCAGGTGCCAGGACACGGTTGCAGTGGCCCAGCTAAAACTAAACACTCTTTGAGCCTAGAATTCGTAAATTGTACTGTTTTCTCCCTGGTCCGCTTCCCTAGGAAAGGATTCCCAACGAGTGTCCATGAGTGACATGGCCATGGCTCCCGGCCCGGCACACCCCAGCCAAGCCACCAAGCCACGACGATAAGGTGGATGGGTGGGCGTCTCCGGACGGGCTGGCTGTCAGTCAGCTGGTGCGGCTCGACCCTTGAGACGGCGGTTAGTATTGATGGGACAAGTGGCATGGCATCGCCGGGGGGAGCTTAGGTATAGTCAAGTCAATCGAAGTCAGCCCAGCGAGCAGCCGTTGACCAGCACCAGCCCGGTCAGTTGGGATCATCAGCATGAGCAAGCAGCTGTGCACCTATCGACCGGGGGTCGACTCGAAATACACAGCCTAGAGTGTCGATCTCTCGATTGGCCGCCCCCTTCACTAGGTAGATACTGGCAGTTGGAGAAGCAGAATGGAAGCGAAGGATGTCGAGTCACCGACTGCCAGTGGTTCTGGATGTGCAAGCGGTTTGACGCAGTGGGCACGGATGTCGATCGCTCAGGGTTTATGGTGCCAGTGGCGTGGCTGATTGGCGTCAAAGGGTCTCAGTCTTTTCTGTATGCTTGTTTGCTGGCCGCCTCACTTTTGGATAATCCCGGTACTACTCGTGCTTGTAGACGACTCACAAGACGGGATTTTTGCGAGTTTCTGTGTTACTGCCCAACCTAACCCAGCCGAGCCGGGCTAGTCTTTTCGTTTTTTTCCCTTTTTCTTTGCTTTTTTTTTGAGGTACGGGCTTTGACACGGACTGGAATTTTCGTCTCGTTGAGGTACCTTGTGCATCTTCCATGATTGTGATTGAAAGGATAAAAGACGCAGGCAGCAGAAAATCGTATAGAACAATAGTAATATAACTGGTGATTGCAGTGATTCTGGGGTAGACGCGAGTTCAGTGTCCAAATTACCAAGTTATGTTATGTTATGCAGTGCTTGTCATGTCTGACTGGTGAGCCCCTGACTAGCCAGTTGGACAAGACAACGCACGATGTTTGTTCGTAATTTGTGTTTTGCTTTCAATAAGCGAGAGACTCGGAGCAGGGATATATTGTATATACGTGGTGTTCTTCATGGGTGTTAACCGAGTCGAGTCGACTGAGATGTACGCGTCTAGAAAGGCGTGCTGCTGCTGCTGGTGCTCACTCCATCGAGTAAGTCCGCTGGAGATGCCGTATGCTATACAGTGTCCTGCATATGCCCATGAGATGCAGTGGGTGGCATAAGGTTCTTGAGTGCACTAGTAAAGTACTGGTACATTGGCCAGCACCATCACACATCATGGCTTCCTGGAGATCAGCTGAGGATAAAGCCTTCTCCGGGAGGGCTTGTGTTTGCCTTTGTTATTTTTAGTGTCCTGAAAGGGCAGGTAAGTTGCAAAGTCGATATCAACGCAGCGGTCGTCTTGGGGCTCACGGGGTGGCCTTTCCACTGGTAAGGCAGTGCAGAGCATTGCATCACCTTCTGTGATCCTGCCGAAGGTCGCCTACCTAGAATGGCTTGCCTATCTGGGTTGGTAGGCGCCTACCGATGGGGACTCGGAGTATTCTGCCAGTTGTCCAAGGTGAGGATCAGGTGGCAGTTGGCAGTCAGTATGGCGTTTGGCGTTGGGCCGAAGACTTTTGGGCGGCATTCGGTGGCTGACGGTTGACCATCGAAGGGCCATGGCCTTTGTGCCCAACTACATAAGTCCTCGCTGCATGTCAGGCATTGATCATTCCAGAGTGGTTGGGAGCAAAGGCCTGTGCAGAATTGCTCCATTGATCCATTGCACCATGACCACGAACCCGTCGCATCATCTCTCTTAAGACTTTGCAGACACATCGCAAGCAAGAAACCTCAAGCCGACGTTCAAGGATTGCTGTGGGAGACTCTTTTGAAGACAATGAGCCTATCTCCAGGACTGGACAGACATTTCTGCAACGAACAGGATCGGGAAAGGAAATCGCGAGCATCGTTGTGATGGATGGGGTTGCTTTGGTTTCAGCCTGATATTTGCAGTGTCCGTTCCGTGGTGACTCTGGGAAGGGCATTCATCGGTGATTGCAGTGTGATGGCAGTGTCAAGGGGCGCCCACGGACAGGCAACCCAGCCGACTGACCAACAGGCCACTGCATTCAGACAGCACCGAGGTAGGACTCCTATCTTCTCATCCAATATGCAATCCTGACGGTTCGCAAGAGGGTAGATGTGTTGGGTGTGGTCTTGGGCATATACATGTCCCACCCGACCCTTCAAGGGCCTCTTTCCTGGGATGTGGTCTTGCATATCGAGTCCGTTTCATCGAAGAGACTTTGTTACTTGCCATTGCAGTCAGCGACGATGAGAGTAAGGTGGTCTGACCAGGGAGGCCTTCGGTGATCCTCTCGCTGCCCAATCACTAGAACTGTCCCTTCCGCTGTCCCTTCCTAGGAGGTCTACATTTTGGCCGCTAGCAGACAGAAACGACTGACCGGATCAGGATGACTGTGTCGAGAATGTTGAGCTGGCGCATTTCCCCATGTCCCGTCCAAAGGTAGACGCACACGTTTCACCCGTGACCACGGCATTGCCCTGATATCGAACCCTGCAACCATGCAACGAGAAGCGTATCCGGAACGTCCTTATCAGCGGTTATCACATTGATATCACAACAATGTCAACATCAGAGACGAGAAAGGATCGAGTGAGGCAATTCCCAACTTCCTACAAATGCAACACTTTGAAATTGAGTCAAATCCAGACTGTGTAGTTTCGTTTCAGGCACCATTTTCTGTCTGGTTAGTAGGCAGATCTTCGCAAGGCTCGATTCAAGGCGATGCCTAGTGAAATGCGTCATAGGCAAGAGAGACCACAACGAGGCCCTGGCACTTTCCATCAAAATCCCTGAGGGTTATGTGAACCCGGCATTATCACAACATCCCTAGGGCCAGAAGCTGACAGCCAGGGACTAGAGACAAGCCAGCCACAACGTGGCATGGATATAGAAATCCTTCAAAATAGTGTCCCCAACGTTGTTGATCATGACAGTCAGTCCTCAGGGAACGATCTAAGGATCATCATGGACCCTGAAGGTCTGGATGTACCTGTAGATCCGGAAATCACCGCGGATCATCGATGCTCTCAGGTTGGCCTGAATGCGCGGTTTGTACATATGATCGACGCAGCGAGCAGAAAGCGCCTTTGACGTCGACGACGAGGGGACTCTGACCGGGGGTAGTGGAAAGGTCCCTGATTGACGGTGACCAGCCTGAAATCACTCTGCCACTGAGTGCCAGGGGATCAATACCTTTAGGTACCTGGTAGGTAATGATGAGGGAGAACTTGAAGCAAGGGAGAGAGCATCGGATGTCGGGGAAACACATATTCCGAGAACAGCCTATTCAGGACTAGCTTTGTTTACTTCATTGCAGCCAATCCAGTCAATCGCATGCACGCTGTGGTACAACATCACGACAGTAAACACTCAACAACTACTGCGATACTAGGTACCATGCTGTTGTATTGATTTCACCTGAACGAAGAAGACACCTCAGCATATCCTGCTACGCAGTATTGACTCCCGTCAACATGTCGGTGGCCGAAATCTTCTCCGACGCACAACGATCCTTGGTCGGCCACAAGACACTGGCGAAGCGTCTGCGCCGGCTCGAAGAAACGCCTACCTTCGAGACACACATGAAGCAATGTATATTCCGGCTGTTGGACGTCAGCAAGTCCGAAATTGCTGGCAGCCGGGTCATCAAGTTTCTCACCGTATATTTCGACTCGGCCGACGGATCACGACGTCCTACGTCCTCGATCTTACTGGCGCTGCTCCCTTACTTATGCGCCAAAGACAAAACAGTGCGATACCGAGCCACGCAGATCGTGTCGCAGATTTTTGGAGTGCTAGGTCAGATTGACGACGATCTGTACAAGGTCATCCGACATGAAATGATCAAGCGTCTACGGGACAAAGTGCCCGCGATCCGACTGGAGGCTGTCCTGGCGCTCGGCCGGTTTCTCGAGGATGAAATGGATCACGAGGAAGAAGAGCAGGACTCGGACGAAGACGTGGCTCCTGGCCTTTTGGATAAACTATTGGATGTACTACAGAATGATACCAATGCCGACGTGAGAAGAGCGCTATTGAAATTGCCCGTCACCGCAAAGACCTTGCCCTATCTTTTGGAGAGGGCCCGAGACAGAGACGCACCCACTCGACGAACGCTGTATTCCAATGTATTGACGAAACTGGGCGACTTTCGACACTTGTCTTTGTCCATGCGGGAGAAATTGCTGCGATGGGGTTTGAGAGATCGCGACGAGAAGGTCCGCAAGGCAGCGGCGCGGCTGTTCAGAGAGCATTGGATCGAAGACTGCGCGGCGTCAACCGACGAAGAGACTTTGACCGAGGGCGATCGAATGGACGACGCCGATGGAGATGGAGGAGCGAAGGCCGCGAAACCAGAAAAGAGAGGGTTTCACAAGCCCAGCATTCCAGCCCTAGTGGAGCTTTTGGAACGGATCGACACTCTGAATACGGGCCATGAAGATGGCATTGCACGAGAAGCCATGAAGGAGTTCTGGGCCGGTCGCCCCGACTATCGTGAAGCCGTAGTCCTTGATGACGAATTCTGGGACACGCTGACTCCCGAATCAGCCTTCATGGCCCGCACATTCAACGATTACTGTCTGCAAGATCCCGACTGTCTCGCGATGCTGGACGACAAGATGCCCGAAGTGACGCGGCTAGGATTCCACCTGCAAAAACACATCAACGAGCTCCTCGTCAAGGTTCAAAGCGCGAACGAACATGACTCGGACGAGAAGGCTGCCGAGCAGGCGGAGCAGGAGTTTATCGTCGAACAGCTCCTCTACATCGCCCAGACCCTAGACTATACCGACGAAGTCGGCCGGCGCAAGATGTTTTCTCTACTCCGGCACGCTCTGTCAATGGCCGATTTGCCGGAAGAATGTACCCGGCTAACGGTAGAAGCGTTGCGGTTGGTCTGTAACCCTGACGCGGCAGGCGAGAGGGAATTTACCTCTGTGGTCATCGAAGCCATCGCGGAAGTACACGATAATATCGCGTCTTCCGAGGCCGAAAGTGAGGGCGAGGGCGAGGAGAACGACGACAACGACAGTTTCGTCTCGGCACGCAGCGAAGTCAGTAATGGAGGCCACTCTTCTTCCGACTCAATGACTACGACACCGAGGAACGGTGCGGCGGCGGCGGCTGATTCCAGTGGTGTCAAAAACAAACGGGGTGGAAAGACCAACAAGAAGAATCTCACCGAAGAAGAACAAGAAGCTCAGGCCATCAAGGAGATTGTCATCAACATGAAATGTCTACATATTGCGCAATGCATGCTGCAGAATGTGACGGGCAATCTTCAGACCAACGTCCACCTCCGCAGCATGTTCGACAACCTGGTGATTCCGGCGGTGCGGTCTCACGAGATCCTCATCCGCGAACGCGGTGTCCAGTGTCTCGGGCTATGTTGTCTGCTGGAGCCGAAACTGGCCGATGAGAATATGCGGCTGTTTACCCATCTGCTGAAAAAGGGCCACGACACTTTGCAGGTCGTGGCGCTGCAGATTCTGTGTGATATCCTGCTGGCAAGAGGACCGCCACAGCCACAACAGCATCAACAAGACACTACTCATGGTGGTGATGGTAGTGGTACGGCTGGGGCCGATGCTGATACCGAGGCTAATGCTGCTGCCGCCGCTGCCAACACCGCCAACATGACATCTCTCCTGTCGCCCTTCATCAAGGCTTTATCCCATTCGTTCCCCGACGACGTCCGGCTCACGGCCACCACGAGTCTGTGCAAGCTCATGCTGTGTGGGTTCTACAAGGACAACGACGACCTGTTTGATCAGATTGTCGAGCGGGCCATCCAGGTCGCGGCCAAGGGGTGGGAGTTGTTGGAAAAGGTCCGCAATGCCGTCATGGTCGGCGATCGGCATAAGAATAAGGACAAGGAAGAGAAGACTACTAGTACTCGTGAAAGAGAAAGAGAACGTGAGAGTACCGTTCTGATTGCCGGCGGTGGTGGTACCACTATGACTTCCGGCAGGATCAGCTCGGGGAGTGCTGGATCTGGATCTTTGGGGAGGTTGAGTGGTGGTGAGGGTATTGACGCTGTTTGATGTTTTGTTTATACTAGTAGGACCTGGTTGGTACGTTGCTGTGGACTGATTACACCTCCGAGGTACTACCTGTATCGTCGTCCTTGAATGAGAGTCTGGTTGTTATGGAATTACAGTACTGGGTCTGGTTTGGATCCATGTTTATGGTTATGATCGATATTTCATGTTTACGTTTACGTTATCAATGGAATGCTTCTTCTTCTCCAGTATATTAAACTGATCGCGGAGGTTGCTGCACATGCTATACTATCATCGGTATCCCAGAGATAGTACCCATCGACTTAGGAGTAACAGGACTAATAGTGGCAGCGGCATCGCTGGGTTAATATACCTACAGTAGGTATCTTTGACGGCTGAGTCTGAAACAACACAAGTACTCTTTACTAGTAATTTACAAAATATGGCAGGTCCTTAGGTGGGTGTACAACAAATGCAGCCAAAGGTACCTACTTTTCATGATACAGGCTGATATTGCAGTAGCACATCGAAACCGCAACTATTCTGTTCTGCGCTCGCTGTGGATACCTGGTATGTGGTATCTCCGTCCGTCTGTCAGCCCTACAAAATGCCCTGCTTCTGCAAATCCAAGTATATCCTCTCGGGCATGACGTTGCCCTCGCCGTCCTCCATCTGGACGATACTGTCCTCTTTACTCTCCTTCTCTCGTTTCTCGCGCTTGATCTTCTCCCACAGACTCAAAGCGTCCTGAATCCCCGTGATTTCGCGGAACAGACTCAGCCCGCCGGCACCGGAACCCGTAATACCCAGACACTTGAGGCCGTAGATGTGGCGGGCTTCGGTGAAGTGTTTGTCAAAGGCGCGGCGGCCCATGTACACGAAATTGCCGCAGATTTCGCAGGGGAACTCGACGCCCAGGCCGTGCAGCTTGTACAGCCAGTACGGGATGGGCTTGCCGTCCCAGGCGAGCGGCAGTTTCAACGGATTGTAGATCTTCTCGTCGCCGTCGGATTCGGAGCCCGAGTCATCACCTGCACCGCCATGTCCACCCGCACGTCTTTCCGAGGCTGCCACGGCCGCATTGTCTTCGGCAAAGATGGCGTCCAGTTCGGCCTGGCGCTCCCGCTCCGTCATGCCTTGCTTGCGCTCCACGTTAACCCGCGTGTTGCTGCGCTCGTTGGACAGCAGGTCGGCTAGCGCCCGGATCCGGAACTCGTGCGAGGCAATCACTCGTTCTTTTAGGCACGCCGCGCCGCCCGACGATGATTTGGATGATGTCTCTTCGGACGATCCGGTCATGGTCACCAATGCCTTCTTGGCCTCGGCGTTGCGGAGATGCTTCTTCCCCGTCAGATGTGCCTTGTAGACGTTCTGGTTGCTGAACTCCTTTTCACATTCCGGACACCAGATCCCCGATCCGGACCCTTGGGTCTGTGGCTCGTTCTTGTTGCCGTTGGTTGCTGTTTGTTCTTCGTCCTTGTTCTCCTTGCCCCATCCGGGCACCGTCCCCGCCTGCCACGCCGTCTCGAACTCGCGATCCAGTCGCAGAAATGTCTTGTCGAGGTCGTCCAGCGGTCGCGTCCTCCGTAGGAAGCCTTCGAGGTATTCATCTAGATCCGTCACGTATTTCAGGTACGTATCGGTCAGCTTGTCGCGGCGCTTGATGGGTAGACGTGGAGGTTCAAAGGCGTCGAAGTTGTCCAGGTACTGTAAGTAAGTGAGGCGCTTCACGCCGGGGAGATTGAGGTAGTCTTCGTGCAGGGTCGTCAAGTCCAAAAACCGTCCGTTCGACTCTTCGCCTGTGAACATGTTGTCCACTTCCGTGCGCACTGGCTCGCCTTCTTCGGGCCGCCGCCGTTTGTACGCCCGCTCGAGGTTTTCGACCGGCTCATTGGGATATCGTCGGTGGAAATCCTTGACTTCGTCGAGTTGTTTGTAGAATTCTTCGAACGGGTCTCCAGTCGACAGACTCTGGATTTCTTGCGCCCGCAGCCCTTCGATGTCTTTGTAGATGTCCAGCAGTCGCTTCGACTGCTCCTGTATCCGTGTGAGAAACCCGTTGATCTGGTGGTCCCGGATTAATCGCTCTTTGATGTTTTTCGGGTCTTCTGCCACGCGCTCGGTGATGGCCTGTTCTAGCCGCTCCAGGTCCTCGTGGAGGAATCTCTGCTCTTCTAAAATCATCTTGCCACTTGTCGGATCGGAGGGATAGGGTAGAAGAAGCGGGTAAATAATGGATGGTTCTATCGAATATCAGATAAACTGAGTATTAATTGTCTATCTCTTTCGCCGCTTCAGCTGCGGTCCAAGTTTTTGCGGTCGCGGCGCAAAAGATCCGCCGCCAAGGGGAAGCACGGCGGATCATTTGGCCACGAATGCAAATATCAACGTCCGCCGCCACAACCAATCACGAGCCTCGAATCAACCAACCGCCGTCTTGTTTTGAGATACTCTGCCATACGCAGGGAAAGTTGCTCCAGAAATGGCTCTATCATGATAACCGGCTCGAACAGAATATTTCGATCTCTGCCAAAACATCGTTCTAGAAACATGTTTGGATTGCTGATCTTGGCCCCCGCCTGGAAGGGGAACCACCCTGCTTCTTCCTATGTGCGGCCTTCAAGTTCCTGAAGGCCCGAAAAGTCCTGCTCTAATTGGCGGCTTTTGGTCGAAACTCCTCAATCACACTCCTGGGCTTGGTGTATTTGAGTGTCGAATTGTACTCATAGGGTAGGTTGAAGGCACTCGGCCCGCCAACTTCCAGACCTCGCTTTGTGGTCCAAATAGGATGCGGCGCCATGATCATGACCGTCACCTTCAAGCCATACCTGGGTTGCATGTCAGTTATCTCTCGGATACAGGTGTTGTGGCTTGATGCGGCTCACCTATATTCCTGGACACCAATGTTCTCTCCTGTCGACACATCCAATAGAAATATCAAGTCTGGAACAGTTGCAAGTACCTTCGATTTCATCAGCACCGGATTCTTTACTCTTCTTCGGGCCTGGCGAGGTGGGATGAACTTACTGTTTCTTCGCCCCGGCCATTCTTCCCTAGCACCGCGAGATTTTCATTCATGAAAGGAATCACAACTTCTGTCCAGGACCCCCTTTTATCTGCCTCACTTTCCGTCTCGTCCTCGCCGAGGGCCTCAATGGTCACCTTGCCCAGGCTATGGGCCGTTGTGGTCAAGGCACTCTCAACACTTCGAATTTTACCTTGGAAAAGCCGTCGAGCCGTCTGATCCCCTCCGCACTCCTTGATCAAGGCTTCAGGAAGCGAGGCCAATGATGCTGATTGTTGTGCCTGGAAGACAACCCTACCGAGCCGCCATGCCAGGGAGTGTGTATTGGGAATACCCATGGTTCGCATCTGTTTCCCGCTCAAGGGTACTCCGGCCGCTCCACAGGCAGATCTAGGTTCTATCAGTATGCATCGTTAACTCTACCAGGCAATTTCTCTGTGCTTACCCCATAGCGAAACATGCATCTCGAATCATGATGCCGGGAGCCTTCTCGTCTGTCTGACCTGCCGGGATCAGAACGTTATGGCCTGTACCACTGCACAGAGTGACCGGAAGGAGGGCGTTGATCGATTCCGACATGACATATGTCGAGCAATTCTCGAAGCCTGGATAGGCCCGGCCTGCATCCACAATCAGTGAGGATGTTGTAACACTCCAGAAGTTCACAACTAACCCATCAAGTCGCCATCCACAGTGGGAAGATTAAAATATTTGGATGAACCACAGACCAGGGGCTGCAAACCGTTGCCGCCCCCAATTTCAGCCGTTGAAAGCTGGGTGAAATTGGTATGCAGTTCTTCGGACAGCATCTTCAGTGCATGAACGATCCCGTCACCGCCTGGTCTTTCAACACTGACTGCTGGGCTTCCGACTCCGGCCACAGTGGGGATTTGATCGTCGTCTTTCAAGTCTTCGAAGCTCATGATGGTGATCGCTTCCCCTTCAGACAAGAGCTGTTTAAGCTGCAGGAAGACAGCGTACGGAGATCCTCCTCCGCCAACTCCCAGGATATAGCAGCCAATGGACAGGAATCGGAGGTCGAGTTCAGAGAGCATCCAGATGCCATTCTCGGTCACCCGTGGTCGGTAAGTGCTTACATCGACATGCTCGGATTCAGAAGATTCCCCGTTTGACCACGCCTCGTGTTTCTTTGTATCTTCATACATTTCACTTTCGACCTCAGTATTCTCGGTACTCGACAGCTGAGACATTTCTTTGCGAACTCTCTCATGGTCGGCGGGCATTGCAACTTCCACCTTTATCCGTGTCTGGTTTTGTGCATATGGCACTCCTACTACCTCTTCGTTCAAAATGGTGACCGAGGCTGGATTGCCGCCTCTTGAAATGCCGTTTTCGATCGCCTGTGACTTGACTCTGGCGATGCCTTGCTGAATGTCTGATCCTTGGATAATCAGTTCTGCTGACCCTGATATCTTTGCCATTGCTGCTCCGATTGCATTTGCAACCCCGGCATGCTGAGGTACAACGATCTTTTCCACCGCGTTCAGCTCCTGTGGGCATAGAATGGATCCGCCTCCAACAAGAACAACGGTACAAGGCTCTGGAGATGATTTCGCGCGATCGATGCAAGCTTCGAGCATCTTCTTCATTCTCGCTCTGGCCTTTGCTATGATGCTCGGGCGAAGCTCGACCGGCGTTGTGCCTATGGAGACATCTCCAGAGGCAACAACAATGTCAGTTGCGGTCATGTCACTTCCCCCAAAGCAAAGGGCTCTAGTTAGCAGATCGTGTCCAACACTGTCTGGCCCTACGAGGACCTGCTTTTCATCTGAGCTCACATGGGCGATGGAGCCTCCACCGAGGCCAACGCTTTCCACTGACGGCATTTCTAGGTTCACCTTAATCCCTGCAAGATCAGTGTAGCTCTTAGAAAGTCGAGGATAGCCGTTCTTTAGCAGATACCCGACTTCTGTAGTCGTACCGCCAATGTCGACTACCACGCTGCCGGACTGGCCAATATCAGACCCGAGTAGAACCGCGGCCCCCCGGATGGAATTGGTGGCACCTGAGGAAAAGATTCTAATGGGAAACTGCATGGCTTCAGAGAATGTCAACAGGTGGCCTTTATTGGAAGTCAGATAGAGAGGACACTGCAAGCCAACGTGGCTCATTGCAGCCATGAAAGCCCGGATCGCCCTACTGGCGAAGTTGAGGATTGATGCGTTGAGGATGGCGGCGTTTTCTCGTGCAAGCAGACCGTTTCCTGCGACATCTCGAGAACATACAATGTTTACATCGTTGTGGAGGACAGCCCTGAGGATATCGCGAGCCCTTTCCTCTTGGTGGTATTGGTGATCAGTGGGTGATCCTATGCCGACTATCACCACATTCCTGAGGCCCTTTGCTTTGATGGTTCGTGCCTGTTCACGGACGGCGGCCTCGTCGATGTCAGCAATCAAACTGCCGTCGATATTGCAGCCTCCTGGGATGATGGCCGCATGACCATGTACGATGCGCTTGAGGCCAGAGGGCCAGTCCACGAACGGCGGTGTGCCGGCAGAGAAGTTGTGAGATGCCAGGCGCAACACGGCCACTTTCTCTACGCGAGACGAGTCGCGCTCGATGATGGCATTGATGAAATGGGTCGTGCCAATGGCGATGGCAGAGACATGCTTTCTATCGACCGGTGACTCGTCCAGCAGGATCTTGAGAGTCTCTCGTACACTCAAGGTGACGTTGGACGTGGTGGCAGCCTTGTGCGACGATAACACAGCCGCGGGCCCAGTCTTTGAAACGTCCACAAGAACGGAATCGGTGTTGGTGCCTGTCCAGGAGTGTCAAGTTCTATTCAGCGGGCCGTGGTAGACATCCACACGTCGTCTTCCTTACCTCCAACGTCGACGCCGACCACGTAAGATCCATTTCCAGGCATGTTCAAGCCCCTGGACCTGTGGGCTGAAATGATTTGCAGGTGTTGAGGTCGCTCAACGTAAATGCTGCATCGAGAGCGAGCGCGATTGTTACCATGGATCCGCCTCAAGCCAAGATCTCACAGCATGGCCGAGATCGGGGCGGAACTCCTCTAGGCATGAGAATGTCATGGCCGGTTTTGACAACAGAGATAATCACCATTCCGGCAGCAAGGCGCATTTACGCTGCCCCCGACAAGTTCCAGCATCAATGGTTATGGCAGAGCTTGGTAGAGCACATCGCTGAGGCTGTCGTTCTCAGTAGGAACACAAACAGACCAGACGCCATTTCCCCAATGAGATACACTACTTCTTTCCCGCGCCACGATGAAGAACCATCTTTCCCTAGCGGCTTGCATCATTCGGAGCACGAGGAGGACTTACAGTACATCAGCGCTATCTACGTAGTATCTGATTTTCGCGCCCTGCGAGGCTGACTGTCGCGCATTGAACGGGATCATGTGATCGTCCTGAACCGTGGCAATCCCGACGATGTTGGCCATGTCGCGTGCAGAAATACTCTCTATAACCCATCTGCCTTCTAGGGTTACAACTGGATCAGCTCAATCATCCACTGTTTAGGGTTGTTGTCCCAGTTGGCGAAGCAAAAGGACGTCGCAGACAGCGTCGAGGTACTAAGGCCAACCGCGAGGCTGAGTAGTGGCTGTGTCCGCAAGTCCTGGGCACCTCGTATTCGCGAAAAGGCAAGTGATTATAGGACGACACGGACGACATTGTACAATACAAAAAGCGACCAGAATGCATCAGGGTATTCCTTCAGCAACAGAGGACATGTACACGACATCCGTTCGGGCTCCGCACTGACTACCATATCTCCATCTATCAATATGGGGCCCAGGAAAATCGACTGCAGCTCGCCCGGGCTGTCCATTGAGTTCGACCATGCCCGTCACCACTATTCTCCGGGCGACGTGATAACAGGCCGAGTAAGTCTGCACACTGTCAGCGAGACCTCGATCGGGCGAGTCGCCGTGGAATTTTGGGGACGAGCCAAATCACGCATCATCCAAAGCCACGGCCAGTCGGCCACCTTCCACCGCGGCCGGATGCTGTTCTTCCGCCAGGAAAAGACACTCTACCAAGGTCAATACACGCACAAGCCCGGCACGTTCAGTTGGCCGTTTGAATTCGTTGTCCCGGAACAAGCAGACCCGATCTGCATCCTCAACAGCGAATCATGGAAACCCAAGGAGGATTTCATGTCGACCCACGGGCCGGACCTGGACTTGAGCCTCCCGATGTCCATGTATCACAAGTCGTATTCACTAGGTCGGCAAGCCGACTGTTACATTGAATACGTGCTCGAAGCCAGCGTCACCGAGCCCGAGGGCGTCCACACCATCCGCAAGCCACAGACCAAAACGGCCACGTATCCCATCATCTTGCACCCGCTGTCGACGCCAGAACCTATCCAGGACTACGAATACGTGACGGACAGTTACCCAGTGACCATCTCGACATTGAAGCTCTTGCCGGAGAATAATAATGCTGGCACCACCACATCCAGCATTCGAGAGGCCGCTCGGTCCATCTTCCAGCGCGACACGATCCCACGATTTTCATTCAAGTTGACCATCCAAGCACCCAGCATCATCCAGCTGTTCCATCCGGAGCCCATCCCCTTTCGAATACGGGCCATTCCCGACCTGAGACCCGAGCACACCACGATCGACCTTGCCAAGGGAGACTTACCCGAGGTGACGTTGAAGTCGGCCAGACTCAAGCTCAAAACCTATATCCGCTGCCGGGCGCCGGGCACATACGACGACTCCAAGAGCTACGAGATTTCGCTCCTGTCTACCAAGCAGGTGGACAGACCTCTTCTTCCACAAGGATTATCTGCGAACGACACCGTCGTCGATCTGGGCCAGCTGTTCAACTTACACCTGGGCAACGCCACCGTCGGCTCAAGGCTCGAGGAACCCCTCTGTCCTAGCTTCACCACATACAACATCTCCCGATCGTATCGCCTTCTATGGGATTTGGAGGTCGAATGTGCCGGAAAAACAAATAGATTCTCATCATCGCGTCACGGCATCGAATGTATCGTCATCCTACCTGCCGCCACGACCACTGCGCTCCCGGCCTACCAGCCTGAGGGCCAGGCCCTGGACATGCTGCAAGATCTACATCTGGCGCCGACATCGTCGATGGGTAGTACTACGGACCCCAAATCAGGATCAGGCGGCTCTTCGAGATGGTGGTCGTCCGCCCGGCGGCGCCAGTCCAGCACTGCCAAAAGAACGTACGGAGTTGATAGCGATGGCAAGAGTGGCAAGGCGACGTTTGGGCCGTTGGATTCGACGACGACAAGCGCTCCGACTGGGACAGACGTGAAGGACACTGAAAAGAAACGCGTCCTGACGAAAGAGGAAGAAGCTGCTCAAGACCGTGTCGGTGATACCGGATGATAATACTGTACCATCAACCGACTACTCGAAACGAGGGGAATCTTCGGCGAGGAATCCCGTTCCATGCAGTCAGTGCTTGGATCAAAACAACACCGATATTGACACCCGCCATGATGCCAACACCAACATCAATAAGCGGAGAGGGAGAGAGAGCAGGCGCACAGGCTCAAATCAGCCGTGCCAGTGGGAAGCTGCTACAACTGCTTCTTCACGTTATAGGCTTCTCTATTTTTCGCCTGCCACAACCGCTGAGCGGAAGAATGTACCATAGTATTGCTGTTATTTTGTTGGATGCAGTACAGAGCCATGACCCGGGAGACTTGCGTTGCAAGGCCTCCATCGATATGCAGAAACCACACACTCAGGCTTTGCCTTTACCCTTCCGTCCACCTCTCCCAGCACCACCTGTGGCTCTCTTCTTCTTGGGCTCTTCTGCACTGTCGCCATCACCATCACCATCGCCAGCGTCACCGTCATCTTGCCCTGCTTTCTTTCGCTTTCCTTTGCCCTTGGCTCCGCCGGCCGCGGCGGTCGTGGACTTCTTCTTCGGCGCCTTGATATACTTGTCCTTCTTCAGATCCAGTTCCTCATCCTCGTCCTCTTCCGCAGGTTCAACGTCGGGTCCAAGGATCTCGTCTGGTTCGGAGTCATCAACGGCCTCTTCAAGATCTGGTTTCTCCTTCTTGGCAGCGCCGCCCTTGGCAAAACCCAGGACGTTACTCGCCTTGACAAACGGCATCGGGTGACTCTGGGCGTTGTACGTGCGGGTGAAAGCCGACTTGGTCGTTGCGTCTATCTTGACTTTCTCCATGTCCTTGGGTCCCACGCCCAGCTCGAGCATTGCGTCAAAGTCATCTTTGGTCAAATAGTATGAGTCCATGAAATCAATCACGTCTTGAACCGCTTCCTTGCCCTCTCCTTGCAATGTGCCGATGGTCTTATCCCAAAGCGCAGGGAGGTATTGTTGGCGAACTTCGTGGCGGTCGGCATTCGCTCGAAGACGCATGTGGCCCTGGATTTCTTTGAGGAAGCGAGAAAGTTTGCCTGAGAACAAACGGTCAGCATTGGTAACCAAACTAGCTGGCCTCGACCAGACTTACCTTGTTTGCTATTCTGCCCCAGCCACCCGGCAAAGCCAACTTGGGCGGTGAAATTGCCATAAACATAACTGGCTGGGCGCACAAAGCTGAAGATTGCATGCACCGGCATCAAACTCCACTGTTGTTGTGAACCATGGATCATCCTATCGACCAGGTCACCATCACTGATACTAGACGCTGCGTTGTCAAAGAGCTCCAACAATTTCACGTCTCTTTCCTTGCCGTGGTAGGATGACGCAAGACTAGGTTGGGTTTTGAGGTAGTTCTCCTGGAGCATCAAATAGCTGAATTCGTGGTCGTTGAAGTATAACTCGGTCTTGTCATTCAAGGTGGCCTTCGAGCTGGCCGCAAACATTTGCGGTCGCAGGATTTTGCCGACAATATCCCATGGCTTGAGGATAACATGCTTCTCCCAGGCCTTAGACAATGCCTTGGTGTCGTTGAAATCAAGCTCCTTGTTGTCCAGCTTGATTGTCGAGATCATGTTGATGATTTGACGAATGTCTCCGTTGCATCCTTCGATCAGAGCATTCATGATCGGGGGCGGGAGTCTCATGCCTTCACGGAACAATATTGTGGCAACCCGGCCACGGATCATGTCGGTCGTGGGTCGACGGAACTGAAACTCGGCAGTGACCTGATAAAATGGCCTCATCTTTGGCAGATTGCGTTCGTTGCAAATCAAGATCATGGGGATGTTTGTCTTTTTAGCAACGGCAGCCAATGCGCCCACACCGCCACGATCACCTGCTGACATGCCGTCGACTTCATCCATGATCAAGACAAGTTTCCTCTTTGATGGGTCAACCTTCTTGCCGTCACCGGCAAAATAGCCTAACAGAGATGTCGTGTCCAGAACCCCGACCAGGCTTTGCTCCAGCAGCTTCTTGTTTCTTGTGTCGCTTGCATTGCTCTCCACAATGTCATAACCTTCAAGCTTTGCCACCAGGTGAGCGGCAGTTGTCTTTCCAACACCGGGTGGACCGTGAAGTAATGCGGCGCGGAAGATGCCCTTCCCATCAGGACCGGCCCGCTTGAAGTTGGACTTCGCACTATTTGGCCAGTTCCGAAGCCATCTTTGTAGGCCTTCGACAGCAGATTTGTTGCCGCAGACGCTGGAGATAGAGTCAGGAGCGTATTTGTCAACCCAAAGTCGGTCATCACTTTTGGGTTTCTGGGGTTTGGCTGAAGAGACAGGTGCGCCAGTCCGAGAAGCAGCAGCTTTTGCAGCTCTAGCCGCCTCCTGCTGTCTCTCTTTCTCGCGTCGCTCCATTTCCTCGGCCTCCTTCCGAATCTTGGCTTCTTCCTTGGCTTGCTTTTCGGCGTAGGCTTCAGCAGCCTTGCCGTCCCCACCATTTGCAGGAAGACGCTTGATCAGTTCAAACAGGCCATTCTCATCGATGGTCTTGATTCCCAGTTTTTGTATGGTTTCCAGTTTCTTTGGTCCAGCATCTTGACCTAGCACAACGTAGTTGGTCTTCCTAGACGGAGCGCCAGTGACCTTTCCACCATATTGCTTCACGAGATTCTGCCCCTCTTCTCGGCCAAGACTATTTAACACGCCCGTGAAGACGAAAGTCAGTCCGGCGAGACAATTTTCAGCGCCCACCGGGATCTCTGCTGTGCCTGCTGGCGGTGCAACATTGGCATTCCCGCCCCCAGGCTTGAAAGTATACTTTTTATTCTCATCTCGAGGCGGAGGAGTTGGAGCTCGGACAGAGGGGATGTTGGCCAGGATATCTTGGATTTCCTTGCTTTCCTCGCGTACCTCCTTCTTTCCGGAGGCACGGGGCTGCTTAGATGTTGTGGTTGCTGTCTTTCTCGACTTTCGTTTGGGAGTAGTGTCGTCGTCATCGTCCAGAAAATCATCGTCCTCACCCTCCTCAAGTTCTTTGGACTTTCGCTTGCGGCTAGACGGTGCTGCAGTGGCGTTATTTTTCCGATCGCCAGGATCGTCGTACGCAGTTATCGGTGCAACTTCCACATCATCGTCCTCGTCATCCTGCGGCTTGGGTTTGCGAGAATGCTGGTTAGTATTGTTGCCCTTTCGCTTGGGTGGGATCAGGTTATCTTCATCAGAGGCTTCCTCATAATCGTCGTCAACCTTCCGACTCTTGAAGTCGTTGAAAATGTCGTCGTCACCCGCCTGGTCATCATCTATCACAGTGGCCGGCTTTTCCGCGTCGTCCTCCGCATAGTTTTTGGCTGTAGTTCTCCTGCTTGATCTTCGACTAGTTGGAGGGGTCTCTCCATTCGTGGTTTTCGAGGGAGTCCGAACTGTTCCGTTCACATTGGAAGTTTTAGATTTGGTGGGTGTGGACTTGGTACGGTCGGGTCTTGACGAAGCAAAGTAGGCTGAGCTCGTTATCTCCTCCTCGGCCGGTGCCTTCACCACTTTCTTCTTTCCAGAGGTTGATGATTTCTTGGATTGAGTCTGGACAATTGCCTCCTCATCCTCATCATCATCGGAGACGACTTTGCGAGGCCGGCCCCGTTGCCTAGGTGCTTGCTTTGACGACTACCGCAGTCAGAATTGTGTAGATGTTGTACTCAAACAGTGCAGAGCATACCGTATCTTTCTTGCCGGACTCTGCGCCGGCGCCTTTGGCCACGGGCTTTGCACCTCCGCCGCCTCCACCAAAGAAACTCCGAATATCTGAAGGCATTGAAGCGACAGGCTGTACCCTCAGTTAGATTTGGACAATGATGGCTATTAAGGTGAGGCGAACGGTGTCACTCTCCGTTCAACCAAACGCGTAGACTAATAAAAGTGCAACTTGGACTGAGCGTATTGCGCTTCCATTGGCAGGAGGATGACGCGCTCACAAACGCGATGCGTGCACCACTTTCATCGGCGGGTGACTGACTAAGCAGCACTAGCATGCTCCCGCCAAGAACTTAAACCCATTCTGGCCGTATTCGGGTTGCAGTTCGACTCCGTGCCAATGGGCTGGAGCTGCGTTTTGAGATGCACTTTTCTCCGTCTCGTAGTCGCCGGCAACTATAACAGCTCGAGGTATAACAACTTTCACGTCTTCCTTCGTACTGGGAGGCTGGGTGACCACGCCGAGCGCCTCTGCTCGCAGAAAACCACAATGACCGGTCCTCCAGCAAGGCCGTCCGGTACACTCCTCGTCCATGTGCCAGACTTGTTATCCATTCTAACGTTTCGACAGCAATCTGCCTACGATACATGAGATCGGCCACGATGCTGCCCTCCGTATCATACTCAACTGTGCTGGGCTCCGTACGATCTCGGCCTAGCAATCTTTCCCTTGCTCAGAAACCCATCAACCAACGCCCTTCAAGATGCCACCGACTGTTCTCTACAATGCCAGCTCGGCAGGACTGGTTGACCCCAAAGAGACCGGAGAAACGAAAATCAATGACTGGGCGGCCGCGCATGCCGACTGGAGGGTCGACGCGCGGGACAACCATTGTCTGGGGTGATTACGGCTTACGAATGAAAGACCATGATCGAAGAGTCTCGGCCAAACAGTTGAAAACTGGTGAACAAGCGATACACATGAGGCTGCGAGGAGAGCGATACAAACTGTACAAGAGAGTCAGCGCCAATATTGGTGTGTATACGAAGGGAAACGACGTGCGAATGGGGAAAGGAAAAGGTAAATTTGACTATTGGGCGGCTCGAATACCGGTCAGCAGGATCATTTTCGAGGTCAAGGGGAAAATCCACGAAAAGGTGGTGCGGGACGCGTTCCGGCTGGCGGGCAACAAGATGCCCGGGATGTACGAGTTCGTCAAGAAAGGAGACCCGCCCGTTGTTGGGATAACGAAACTGAGCGATGGATTGACATTGGAAAAGCTCAAGGCAGCTAAACGAGAGGTGGAACCGAAGGACAAGAAGGACGAGCCACAGCCCGTCATTCCCACGACGACGACTACGCCTCCTCAGTCAGTTTCTACGGAGCTGGACGGCTCTCTCAAAACTGTTCACGTCTCCCCATAAGGCATCGACAGCCAGCAACAAAATACACGCTGCAAGACATAGTATCAAGCTCCAACGCCAGATCCTGGACCATAACCCTGCTGCGGCCGGGTGTCTTTCTGACTTTCTGACTGGTCTGGCGTTCCGCCATATCCACCTTCCTGAGAAGCAACACCAGTGGAGGTTGTTGTTTTCCCACCCATACCCGATTCGGAGACATTTTGTCCATATCTTATATTGTCCGCGGTTTGTTGTCCACGGCTTTCGGAAACAGAGACTGCGTCAGATGTATTGGGCCCAGCTGGATGCAATTAGGACCACGAAAGTAGAGGATGGTGACAGGTGGCATCACTTACAACCCAGTTGGCCTCTCTGCTTCTCCTTCGGCACAGTCTCTGTCTTGATCGATTCATATCTGTACGTGTCAGGCCTCGGTGTAACACCAATGTGGAAGGGGTGCCGCCAACGTACTGGGGAGTTTCGCCTCCAGGCGATGTATCCATAAGTTTGTCGTCTGATCCTGATCTAGGGCCGTCCATTTTGAAGCTTTTGAAGGAGTCGTACCAATCGCAGGTCAGAACAGTGTCCATGGTTTGTGTGATTGTGTGGAATAAGTCCATTTATACAAAGGCCCCGGCGGCAGCCATGCTCTGGAAGAAGAGTGAGGGTTTCGTTGAGCTGTGTCTGCGCTCCACTTCAAGTCTGTGTTGTGGATGGTTGGGTTGCGGGCGGGTTTGACGTCAGTACAACTGTAGAGGAAGACTTGCATGTTGGGGCTGCGCTCGCACAGCATCTCCAGGCAGCGGCGGGCACCTAGTGCATGCGGGAATTCGTGGCGCACCGATATTTAGCCGATTGCTATTTACACACCTCAAACTAGCAACAAGGACAGAGCAACTTTCATAGCAACTTTCGTAGCCTCAACATGGCACCTTGTACACGCTCTACCTACCGTCATACTACTCCTAATAGGCCTATTCAGCAAGAAGCCAATACTATCAAAAAAACGCGTTTTTTCACAGCGTACGATCGGAAATTACCTCACGAAAGTTTACGCTCTATCGCGCGCTCTCAGAATATAGCAGAGAGTTCTACGAGACGTTAGTTAGCGTAGCGTCAAGTACTAGGCTCTCCTACCTATCGACATACTCGCCGGCGCTCTTCTATTCTAGGCAGAAAGCCTCGAGTCTCGAAGCGTCAAATTCAGCGCTTACTATCGCCCTCGAATCCTATGCGTACCGATCCACTCGAGTGCCAAATCGAATTCCACTAACTATCTATTAGTAAGCGTCAGTTACAAACTCGACTCGCGTAAGAGACGGATTACGCGCAACTCTATCGCGCCGCCTATCGAAAGAACGACTTATTAGATAATTAAGAGATTACGCGTATAGCGTACGGCGAGAAGTACGTAGGAATAGTAATCGACGAGTACGGTAAGGAGTATACTAGAAAGATAGTCGACGAGTACTGGCGCTATATCTATTTTACAGACGAAATATACGTCGATAAAACGCGACTTTACCCTCCTCGTATCCTATGTGAACGCGGTATACGATATAACCCTAAGAATATCGCAACTCGCGCACCCTTAGAAGGAGTAACGCTATACTGTGCCGGATACGTTAGTTACGACGATAAAATCCCAGAACTTATTATATATAATAATAAAGACGCTGAAAACGCTATTATAGAGGCAGAGGAAGTTACAGAAGTAGTCACTTAGGAAGCTACTTAAGCAGTATAAGCACTAAGGCCTCGAAAGCCTCGTCGTCGGCCTACAATAGAGATAGAAGAAGAGTACGCTCAACGTCTCGTAGAGTGACAATAGCGTTTAACAGACTAAGAAGCGTTACGCCCTCCTCCACTCGAAATTAAGTCTTATAGTAACTCAATAATATAGAAGTACTACGCGGAGCGTATCCTACCTATATACGCGAAGGCTGTTTAGCGTGCGCGACTAAAATATAATCGGGCTATCTATCTTGTCGAGGACGGAGACCCTTCTTACGGATTAAGACGTCCTGGGCTTACGTAATAAATTCGAGACGCTAACTGGATAGTTAACTTACCGCACCCTGCGAATTCGTCTGATCTTAACCCCCAGGAGGCTGCGTAGAATATCGCTAAACAGCGTTTAAGGCGTATTCCTGGTATTGCTACGATAGCGCGTGAGCAACTCGTAGATGCGCTTCAAGCGATCTGGAGAGGTATCACGCAGGACGAAATCCGCGCACGTATTGAAGAGATGCCAGCGAGATGTAGACAACTAGTAAAAACGGGTGGTAAGCGCATCAAGGGCCGTAAATGGTAGTATATAGAGGGAATAGATACGTACGCTAGATTCGGCTAAATATCGGTGCGCCACGAATTCCCGCATGCACTAGGTGGCGGGGGTTTGATGAAGCGACCTGGATTACGTGCTTAGTAAGATGTGCCGATACGTCGAAGCATACGACTAGAATCTGATATTTGTGCTATGAATTACGGTGCAGTACTGGGGACACTGCCACTCACGGTACTACCTACTCGCTTCTGTCAACTTCATGCTTCCTCCGTATTCCCTCCTGTCACCGTAACACATAAAAGACAACTCGCTCTCTCCCAGCCAGCGTCATTGCTCAAAGTTGATGCTAGTCCGCCCGATCTCCCTACCGCCGGCACACGATTTGAACCCCAATATGCCCGACTTGGAGCGGAACTCCACTACAACCTTGAAGTGGAATCGGTAGACCTGATCCTGCCATCTCGGATTCCATCGTGCCGCGGCGGGCTGCAGATCTTCCAAGACGGTGACAATGGTACCTTCGTGGCGTATGCTGAAGTGATCGTTGCGCTCAGGCGGCACGTCAAGTGGGCAAGAGTATAACTTCAGAGTGCTCACCCCGTTGTCGGGGTCAAATGTCGAATGTTTGACCCGTTTTTCGACCTTGAAAGATGTATCCATCGCCTCCCCCTTTACAGCATCAACTATAGTCCATCCCTTGTTGTGGCTTGGATGCGTGTACTCACCTTTTCTACCGCCCAATGCATTCTGCCTCTGCACCTTTTCTCGTCATCGAAAATGCTCAAGTATGCGTTCGCCTCGTCATCGATGCCCTCACGGAACCGCATCGACATTGACCAGCCATAATGCCGTTTGGCGATGATACTGGTGGGTCGGATACCCTCCAGACCTCTAAGAGCAGCTCCCATCACAATTGCCGCTTGGCTGTTGAAGCTTTGGGTCAGGCACCTTGGAAATCCAGCAGAATGATCCTTGCACATACCAGTCAGAAGGACAAGTAAATCGCCGGATTCGTTTCTCATCGCACCATTCTTTAAGCCTGGAGTTCAAATAGGGCGAGTCGCCAAATCCGCCGACAAGAATGAACCTCTGATTTCCGTGGCACATCAGCATCTATGATATCTGCTCCTAGGTACGGCACACTTACATCGATCTTCGCGCCGCATGAGTTTTCCAGCTGGGAAGCTTGATCTTTGATCAAGCCCGTCAATGCGTCGACTGCTGGGTCAAAGAACGCCTTCATCACAAGCCTGATCGACACCAAGACGCGTCAACCTTGGACTGGTGCTACCTTGATAGAGAGCTATCCTTACCGTGGAATCTTCACGCACTGCTCATCTTCATCATAATTTACCGATGGTGCCTCCAACTCCATGTCGAGTGGTTCTATCTCATACCATATATGCGAGCTATCTCGATGACCGAAGTGCCTCTTGGCCGACTCGAATGCTTGCATAAACAGACTCCCGGGTCCTCTCTTCTTGAGGTCAAGCGATGTAAAAGCCGCTCCAAATTTCAGCGTCATCCACTCGGTAAACCGTCTGTCGACGGAAGTGGAGCCGCATTTTGCGCCTATGTTTAGACGTTGGAATATGGCACGAGTGCTCTTGCGGTCTCGGCTTACCTGCACCACGACATTTCTCTTTATGTGCAAGCGGCTCTGTTGCTAGCACTTCATACGTGACAAGGTCCTACCATCCCCATTCAGTAAGTCTTCCTGATGTTATGGTGTTGGCTGATACCTACCACTGTTCCTCCCCCGCAATCGCACACCAGGATGTGCTCACCCGACTGCCATTGTCAGCTTGTTCTCTGATTCATAGGACATTTCGGCCCTCCTCACTCTCAATGGGTCGATGGCATTGCTGCCAAGGTACGGTTTTAAAGCATAAAGGGCTGCGGCCTCCGGCTCCGTAATCATGTGGACTTGGTCATCCTTCCTGGAACCGAACCCGGCCCCCAGAGCAGCCGCGCGTGTGGCGGCTTGGGCACGGTCTGACCAGATTGCTGGCATTGTGATCCAACAATCCATGGGCATTGCATTGAAAACTGTCGGCGATAGCTCTTTCTCCAGAGTTGCCACGGTGAACAGGTACAATTCCCTCAGAAAATCATGCACAACGTCCTTGGCCGACTTGTTCGGTGGCAGTTCCAAGAAGCCAGCACCGTACATCTGTTTCAAGAGCGGGTCATCATGCTTTGCAAGATCGATGTCACTGTCCAGCAACAGTTTGGTCCAGACGTATTGCCTGTGATTCCGATTCACCTCATACCCCCAGTAATTGCGATCTATCTTCGGGTTTTCTGATGAATACGCAATCACAGAGGGCGTCTTCCAGGCGCTGCCGGTCAGACCTGGCCACTTGGACACAATGACTATTTCGTCACTAGATTTGTTCGTTGTGACAAAGCTTATTCCTGCAACTTTGTCAGTCTTTTTCAACCGAAGAGCATCGACCCGTTGCGCTGACCAGAATATGTGGTGCCATAGTCGATACCGACAATGATCTTGTAGGTCCCATCTGGAGGGCCCAAGTGTGAGCCAACGTCAGAACCCAACAGAGAAGGCCGCAAGGACATTGCGTTCAAAGTCGGTCCGTCTGGGTTTGACAGACCAAGGATTCAGATCTGGATGAGCATTGAATTATTGCGCTGCAGGCTTTCCATTTATTCCCAGCCTAGTTGATCGAGTCCTCCCTTGGGGACACACCCCGCAGGCCCGGAGAGACTGTCGAATCACCCAGTATCGTATCTGCAGTTCGCAAGGCATCCGCCTTAGCCTTGGAGCAGCTGCTGCATGCCTTCGCAGCTTACGCCAGTCATGGACTTTTCTAAATACAGCCTCTCAAACCAGGAGTCTTTTACGCCTCCTCCGCCGCTATTAAACAGAGTTACGCCATTTGTACATTACTGACGCTGGTGTTGTCAACTGTTGTACTGATTTAATGGACCTTTTTTCTGACAGTTTGCAAAACCGAAAACACACCTGTGTTGCAAGCTTCATTCCATCCAGTTATCAAAAAGCACGGCTGGGGTTACGCGACTGCAAGCATCTCTGACTACACTGTAGCGCCTACGGTCCGTGCTGTGCAACTGCTGCTGTTGCACTCAACGGAACTCGGCCATGGAACGCGTCGGTGATCCCAATGACAACGATAATGGCAATCCGCCCGAAGTTGCACCCCAGGAAGTACATGTGTCAGCGACTTCGAGGGAGCCCCCAAAAAACACTGAGGGCGAGCCGGGCCGTGTTCTGCAGAGGAAGTCTATCATTATCAAGCGTCAGGAAGAAGCAGAGCCGAGGGCCACTGAGGCGCAAAATCAGTTGGCAAGACTCGTGGCCGAGAAGAATACAGAAATTGCGACGCTCCTCACTAGACTAGAGCGGGCCGAAAGTGCAGCTCGTGCAGCAACCACGAAGCTCCAAGTGGCTGAATCAAGGGCGCACAATGCAGAAAAGAGGTCCTCATACCTACAAGCCAGATTGCAAAAGGAAGGGCAAGAGGCCCGATCCGAATTCGAGGCTCTGGAAACCAAGATACGCTCTCTCACCCGTGACCTTGAGGGAAGCGAGACAACTGTCCGTCACCTCATTGATCAGCTAACCCAGGATAAAGTGGATGGAAGATGGAACCCATCTGCCGACCAGGACATTCGGGATTCCCTGAGCGCACTGGACGCGAAGGTCAAGAGCTGGGCCAAGGAATGGGCCAACACCACTTTTCGAATCGATGCCCTAGATCCAGCGGCAGCACGGAAATTGATAAAGAATATCGCACAGTTTGTGCAGTTGCTGCCAGATGGCTCTCTGCCTTCTGCTATCGGAAGACCTTCTGCAAGATTGAAAGAAAAGTTACCTGTAATCCTATTGTCTGCCACTGTTGCAAGGGAGATTCAGATGATGTTCTTCAAAGATCCTTTCTTCTGTTCCGCATCGCGATCGGAAGCGTTGCAAGCCGTACTCCAGACCATGGCGATAGGTTTGTTGGTTCCCAGCTTGCGTTTGCAGTAAATGCTGACCTTGTCGAAGCAAATCCCCGCGAAGCTCACCTTTGGAGATGCACTTTTTGGCGTCTTCTCCATCCACCACAAACTGCTCATTCCACTGAAGCTGAACGCTCAGTCTGGGCAAAAACGAACAAAGAAGTCCAGGCGTATTGTGAGGAAGTGGACAACGACTATTGCAAAGAAGGCGAATTGTTTCCCTTGCTGGCGCCTGTACAATCTGACCGGGAGCGGCAAAACCGTTCAGCTGGGTTGCGGGCAATTCTTATGGAAGCAGCCTGGATCGCACAGAGGCTCTGGTCACAGCCAACATATCTGCAAACAGTCGATCTGCCATGGTTTCAACGACAGGGCGTAACATTTGACATCTCGTCACCGTTGATGCAAGCCCATACCATGAACAGAGTAGATCACGACAACCCTGCGCACAACGGACGAAAAATACTGATGGTGACGAGGCCTGGCCTTTCGATATCCGAAGGAGACGATGTCAAGGGCCTTGATGGAGACCAATACCGAGTCCTGGCGAAAGCTATCGTCTGGCTTGAAGAAGGGCCACTCGGTTCGGAGCGGTAATAATCGAGGTACTCTCAAATGCACATCAGCCCCGGCTCTGTGGGCTAATGCCCCGGTCTTGTGCGTTGTCACCTCGCTTTCTGCTTGGAGTGCAGTTTGATTCTCGTGCAGCTTGTAACAGAGTAACGGTCTCGTTATTGGCTGCTTCAACAGCCGCGGCTACAAAATACGCGAGCACACTATATGTCCTTGGCCATTTCCAGCTTCGCGAGCAGTATCAACAATGGATGGCCGAAGTGTGTAAACCTTGCTGTCCATAGAGGAAGAAGCTGCAAGAGCCACTTCCTTGGTGAGTGGAAAGAGTTGGTTGCAGTTCGTTGGCCTACGTCGTCTTAGCGCTCAGCCTGACCAGCAACACCACGCACAGCGTGGCTCAGCCCCAGTTTTGGTTGCCTTCCTGCATGCAGGACTGTGCTCATCACACTTGCTAAGCTAGGGGACTTACTCCAAACGCTCACAGGCACATGCTTACTCTGCTTCGAGTACAACATTACGAACGTGCGGTTGAGGCTGAATGCAAGGCGGTCTCATGGTGGGACGGGACGCAGCTTGCCTTCCCCCCTCCCCTCTCCTCTACCGCCATCGGCTTTCCAAGCTTCAAGGCCCCTTGTAGGCATGTTTTGCAAAGAGTCCCAAGTCACTGGCAAGGGTTCAGCTGCCTGCCCGTTCACCTCCGAGTAGTCGGCTGGTGGTAGAGCTAGCATCCAGACTCACCTCGCCTTCTCCAGCCTCAAGTACTCAATTTCAACGAGCACCGTCTATTGCAAAAATCAGAGATGACTGCTTCAGACTGGACAGAGAGCTCGCTCGAGCCTCGTGCTGAACGACAGCATGTTTTCATCGGGGTGATGGGGGTGACAGGGGCGGGAAAAAGCACATTCATCAAGACGGTGACGGGCAACGACGACATCGTGGTCGGGCATGATCTCAGATCTTGTAAGACCGATGCTGTCTGCCAGGTACTAGAGACCGCACGGACTAATCCATTGTCAAGGCACGACAGAGGTGATGCCGTACACGTTCGAGCACGAGGCAGTCACAGTCACACTCATTGATACACCAGGATTCAACGACACTACCCGTGGGGAAACGGAGGTGTTGCGAGACATTGCCGAATGGCTCGATATCACATACAGAAACCCCCCGTCCATCAGATTGTCCGGGATCATTTACATGCAGTCGATCAGCGATAACAGGATGTATGGTTCATCACTGAGGAATCTGAAGATGTTCCGAGATCTTTGCGGAGAGAATCCGATGAAGAACGTGATTTTCGCCACCACTGGCTGGAGGCTCGCTAAGGAAGGCGGACAATATGAGCGAGCTGTGGAGAGAGAGACGCAACTGTGTACAGAGCGGCTGTTCTGGGAACCGATGATTCGGTTCGGAGCAGGCACAGCTCGGTTTGAAGACAGCAGAGAGTCGGGGATCAAGATCATCAGGAAACTGATCCCACAGCGGCCCGTGGTATTGCAGATCCAACATGAACTGGTTGACCAGGACAGAAACCTAATTGACACCACGGCGGGCGCAACCGTCAACGAGGAGATCAAGAGGCTGGAGGCACAGTATCAGCAACAGCTGCGGGAGATCCAGCGAGAAATGGCCGAGGCACTGAAGACCAGCGACCTGGAACACCAGCAAGCGTTGGAAGAAACCAAGGCGACCATCGAGTTCCTCCGCGAACAAACCCGGCAGGCCCGCGACATCCTCAACTATGAACGCCGCAACATGGACCGCCGCCACGAGAACGAGATGCAGAGCCTGCAGAATGCGCTGCAGGACACGCGCATGGCGCTGGACAACCAGCGCCGCCGCGCCCAGGCCGAGGCGGCCGCCCAACGGTATGAAGACCAAATGCGCTTCGAGCAGATAGTGACCCAGCTCAAGGAGAACATGACCAAGTTGCGCCAAGAGGACCAGAAGCTCATCGAGGAGGCCATCGCCAACGCCCAAAAGGAGCACGACAAACTCCCCGCGAAAGGCAGGAAGAGAGATATGGGCAAGAAGCTGTTGCTAGGCCTGTTGCCCCTGGTCGGGAACGTCGTCATGGCAGCCATGGGCTTCGGCTTTATAGGGAACCCCTTTGCTGGAATCACGCAGCAATAACGACACCCATGCTTGCCGTGGAATTGAAGCAAAACAAAAGAAATCCCGGTCTTTCCGGATCATTGAATATTTTGTTGTACGCGTTCTCGTTTCCGTCGCCACGGGGCCGGTCTGCATAAAAAGAAGTCACAGTCACGAGGGATAGGTGTTGGGGTAGAGCTCCCCCTTTATTTAGCTCCCACGTGGACAAGGACACGGTTGGGGACTGCTGGTAGAACATGGTGTACGGTGAATGCTCTGGATCGGCAAATCACGTCCCCCATCTACCTCGAATAGCTACGGCGGGTCGAATTCATTCTTAAGAGCTGATATACATATCATATATTGGTTTGTCCCGCACGAGAAACCCGGCAGAACTTGGACTGGCAGCTAAACTGCCCAAGAGGTGGGAGGAAAGCTCGCTTCTGTTCCACTCCCGGATGTGAGTGTTTTCCTGTTATGCGGACAATTTTTCAGGTAGAAGAGGCCCCTTCATGCACAAGATCCGATCCGAAGGACAGAAATATGCTCTGAGAGGCATTTTCAGCCACCATGGATCCCCTTTATCAACCAAGAGCACCCAGCACGAGGTACTGTATGTGTATGGGATACTAAGGTTGAATCATTTCTCGAGCACGGGCTTGTGACTGATGCCTTGGGCGAGCATCTCGGCGTCGACTTGGTTGATGACCTGTTCGGCATTCTGGTTGTGGACGGCCAGCTTGCGCGCAGCGTAACGTCTGAAACCGGGGATCTTGCCGAGGAAGGACAGGAAGGAATTGCGCAGAGGCAGCTTGCCGGTGCGTTCCTCGTAAAGCATGCAGACGATGGTGACCATGATGAAGATCCAGTAAACGTTGTATGAGATGACGGAGCCATAGGTGGCGGTGTTCTGCCAGCCCAACAGGGCATTGAACACATCCCATCCGTTGTCGCGCTCCGGGTTGCAGCAGTTGACGTGCCAGACGGTTTCGCGGATGTTGTAGGATCCGGGCCCGTCGCCGGACTCGGCCACATCACCGCCCACCTTCTGCTGGAACTTGTAGAACTGCAAGCTCCAAATGGCTTTGGAGAACATGCCGGCGGCGAGCAGATACAAGATGCAAGTCGAGGCGATCAGGAAGTATTGGATCATCATGACACTGCCGCCGCGGTACAGGAGCCAGCCGACGAGAAGACCGGCCAGGATACCGGTGATGACGGGGATGGGGAAGGCCGTCGCCGGCAAGCCCAGCGAGACACCGCCGACGAAGACGACGGCCTCCAGACCCTCTCGGAGAGTGGTGATGAAGGGTAAGATGAACAAGGCGTATCTGCGACCCCATTCACCGAGCCATTTGGTCGAGCCTTTGGCCTTGCTTTTGGCGACCAGAGCCTGGGCGATCTTGACTCGCCATTTCTCCTTGGTCTTGTTGATGCGCAGAATGGCAAGCCCCATGACCGTGATGATGATGCTGGCAATCAGGTAGAAGATGCCTTCCCAGAGATCCTCCGACTCGGCCCACAGGTCATGGCCAAGGCCGTAGAAGACACCGATGAAGGCGCCTCCGATAATCAGGGCTATGAGAATCCCTCCCAGTGAACCCGCCCATACTTGTTTGACCAGCCGTTTGTATATTGCTTGGTCTTGGTGCGGTTGGCCCAAGGCCTGTTTCAGGAATGCAAGGAGCACCGAAACGATAATCACGGCTTCAAGACATTCTCGGAAAACAATGAAGAAGACCTGCACGCCAAAGACGTTGGTCATAATGAATGAGAGACACGCAAGCTAGAGTGCTTGCGAACAAAGTGGAAGAAATTCCTAGGGTAGGGTAGGGCAGAGTTATCAGATGTCCGAGTCGGAACATGCAAAAGGTCAGGGACTATGGCTGCGAATATAACAACTTTGGTACAGGGTCAAGCTTCAGTTTACTAGTTAGTGGGATGTCTTGTTTTGCTTGATCGGGGAGCTTGAGTTCGGCAGGGCCAAACTCGGGTTCCCACCGCAGCCATGGGTGGCATGAGGCCGACGTCGGGAGGCTTGACAATGGGACGGCGCCATGCTTAGCTTCTGCCAGCGGTGTGTGTCTGGTCCTCAGGTACTGGAGGGGGACGGGGACTGGACAGGACTGGACAGCCAGGACCAGGCCGTGCTTCGGGCATGGGGAACAGGCGAATAAGCCTCTCACCTAGCTGAAGGATTTTGATAGTGTAAAGGGATTGATCATCTGATAATCCCAACATGATAAGATTATCGGGTGCAACGGATGGCGACGAGGGTCGCGGTTGGCGGACGGTGTGCAGAAGCGAGCAATCAGATAACTTTAATGCGAGGTGCTAGCAATGCATCAGTCAGACTTTTCGGCTCTAGACCTTGTAGGAGCAGAAAGCGTCGTGCTGACTGGAGGACAAAGGCCTTCGAGAGGAGTCGGTCGGGGGAACAGCTCGCTAAACGATTGGTATCGAAGCTGTCGAGGGTCCGACCGCGGGTGACAGTGGGACTCGGACTGCGATTGAGATGAGACTTTTGAGAAGAGAGAAAATTTCTGCACGGGCTGGACAGGGGGCCCAACAGTTCAACTGACAGAGGACCAGGACCAGGACCCTGGACTAGCAAAAGTGCCTGGGAAACAAGCACCGGGAGATGCAAGTCGGCGCGAAGGAATGATCAGACCAATTGATCAATGATCAGTTACTAACTAATCAGATCCGTAAAAAATGGATCAGTAGGAGGAGTGCTAGCTACCACTAGTAGTGGTGTTTTTTGGGCAACTTTGGGCGGGAAAGACGAGCAACAACTGGCGGGAGCAGGCGATGACGGGCGACACGATGCTCTCGACAGCTACAGACCGACAGAGACTGCATGGACACTGTATGGGTTCAAAAGTGGTGGATTGTGGAGGAGAAATCGAACGACGCTGTACGCTCCGATGTCGTCGCGCGTGGGTTGTGGATTGTGGATTTGTGGGTTGCTTCTCGTGCCCCGTCGGTCCAGGGATCCAGCGCCAGGGCAGGGCAGACCACTCTACTGAACTAACTGAACCGTCCACCTGCTCGCCGTCTTCCGCATCGTGGCATTTCCCTAGCCTCTTCCGCCTCTTCTAGCGTGCTAGAGACTTGGAGGGTCGGTTCGCCGCGTGCATATAGGGACGTGGGACCCGACATCATCGCCGTCGACTTATACCCTGTCTCGTGCACTGGCTGGCAGTTTGTTTGGGTTTGCGTCGCACTGCAAAAGAAGCACAACAATACAAGCAGTCGGACACCTTGGTGTCGACAGCAAGAAGCCCAGCAAGCCACGGGCAGAGAGACAAACGAGTTCTTGGTCGTTGTGTCCAAGCCTCTGCTAAGCATTCCAAGCCCTTTGCCGTCTCCACGATGGCGAAGCTTGGTTCTCTTCCTTCGAGCTCCGGCTCTCTGCTGCTCCTCGTCCTCGTCGCCTTCCTCGCGGTCGTTGAGCGGGCGGCAGCCAAAACAGTCACCTACGACTTCAATGTGACATGGGTCACCGCGAACCCCGATGGGTTGCAGGAGCGCAAGGTCGTTGGCATCAACGGCCAATGGCCCCTCCCCGTCATCGAAGTCGACAAGGGTGACCGCCTTGTTGTCAACATGTACAATGGTCTGGGCGACAAGAATACCACCATCCATTTCCACGGCATGTTCCAGAACACGACCAACAACATGGATGGGCCTTCGATGGTCACCCAGTGTCCTATCCCTCCGGGCTACAGCTTCACCTACAACTTCACAGTCAACCAGAACGGCACCTACTGGTACCACTGTCACACCGACTTCTGTTACCCGGACGGGTACCGCCAGGCCATGATTGTCCACGACAAGGATGCCTACTTCAACGACGACTACGATGAAGAAATGGTCGTCACCATCAGCGACTGGTACCACGACCTGGTGGAGGACATTCAGTTCTTGTCCCTATACAACCCCACTGGTGCCGAACCAGTCCCCAACGCATTCCTCCTCAATGAGACGCAGCACTCGGCCATATCGGTCAAACCGAACACGACTTATCTGATTCGATTAATCAACATCGGCGGGTTCGTCGCCCAGTACTTTTACATTGAGGACCACAAGTTCAAGATTGTCGAGATTGACGGCGTCTATGTCGAACCTACCGAGGCCGAGGTGCTCTACCTCTCGGTCGCGCAGCGATACTCGATCCTGCTCACCACCAAGAACAGCACTGACAAGAACTATCCGATTGTCACTGTGGCCGACTCGGATCTTCTCGACGTGATCGAGCCCTCACTCCAGCTCAACAACACCAATTGGTTGGAGTACAACGCTAGCGCTGTCCACCCCGAGGCTGTCATGACTGTCGACAGCTCCAGGGACCTGGTCCCCTTCGACGACATCAGTCTCATCCCTCATGACCGGATGGAGCTGCTACCGGAGCCGGATTACGAGGTCAATGTCACGGTGACGATGAACAACCTCCGGGACGGACATGGCTACGCATTTATGAATGACATCTCGTACACCGCGCCCAAAGTGCCTACCCTGTACACAGTCATGTCTGCTGGGGAAATGGCCACCAATTCGGAGATCTACGGCGAATTCACGCATTCGGTGATCCTGAAGAAGAACGACGTGGTGCAACTGGTGCTCAACAACGCCGATACCGGTTCCCACCCATTCCATCTTCACGGACACCAATTCCAGGTCATTGATCGCGCTCCGCCGTACGGGCCGCACTTCTATGACTACGCCGACGGCGACCCACTGCCCTTCGACCCATCTAACCATACGGCTTTCCCGGCCATCCCAGCGCGTCGAGACACCTTTGTGGTTCCCCCTCAAGGTTACTTCGTCATCCGCTTTGTCGCCGACAACCCGGGCGTCTGGATGTTCCACTGTCACATTGACTGGCATTTGGCCCAGGGTCTGGCAATGCTGCTGATCACGGCCCCGGACGAAATTCAAAAAACCACCCAGATTCCGCAACAGCATTACGACGTGTGCCAGGCGGCAGGCATTCCGTATAAGGGCAATGCCGCCGCCAACGTGGAAGATCTGACCGACCTCGACGGGGAACCCAAGCAGCTTCCTTTCCTGCCATCTGGGTTCACTGCGCGCGGAATTGTCGCCCTGGTGTTTTCCTGTATCAGTGCCTTTGTGGGCATGGCATTCATCGTCGTCTATGGCCTCTCCAGCCCGGCGGTTGATGATAAGAAGCACGGCCTCGACGGCAACGACGACGCTTCTTCGTCTGTTCCTACCGGCTCGGCTTCAGGTCCTACTACCACTGGAGTGCAACATACTATAGAACCATATCACGACTAAAGATGTGGGGATTTTGTCTTCCGGCGGACCTATATACCATTGTATAGTCACTTGACGCAGCACCAATAAATATTCTGTTCCATATTCTTTGAGGAAGGTACATTGCAACCAATAATCCATGCTGATACCGTTCTCATGAGCCCTAGCGACCGCTCTGTATGTGGTCTCATCTGCAGTGATCAATTTACTCTCCTTCATCTAATTATGCGTGAAGCTGCCGTATCGCCTCGGACTCCTCGATGTCCGGGCCGGGGCCTACTAACTGGAAAGCCATGTCGAGCTGACGCTGGAGAGGGCTTCGAAAAAGCGAGCTAAGGTATTACACCCTGACCATGCAAACATGCAATAATGTACAGTATGGGTACAGTATTTTGTACCTGTACTTCTACCTGATGTTCAACCTGTTGTATTCAAGTTCCAGGCGGATGCCGATGCCAGCCTAGCCGAATACAGCGCGGGAGTTACTCAATGCGGATGGTGGCACTCCGAACTTTTATACTCCGCCTTATAACAAGGCTGCAACTCCAATGCAAGTAATTGTAAATGCTTCGCCGTATCACCTGAACCCCGAATCACGGGACTGTGACCCACAGGGGTCGCCGCCCTGCATGCAATGCCACTGCACTGCAGTGCCACTAGCAATACGGTTATCACCTGAGACCGCGGCCTTTATTTTCCTTCATATTCCCATTGCAAGGCTTTCCATGAAGGTCTCAACAACTCACCATGGCTTCGACACATTCTATTCCTAGGCTAGGGCTTTCGAGTCTCCTACAGCCCTTCAGCCGTCCCCGACACTATGATAAACCCTCTCGAGCAATCCGGCAGACTCGAACCATTGCCCAGACTGCCAAAAAGTCGCAACAACAGCAACATGCCTCTCCTTGGGACGCAGCTCGAGCCGAAGCCAAAATCAAGAATCGGACAACACTGTAGGGAGAATTTGCGAGGCTAGAAACAAGAAGTACAAGAAAAATGCTCACAGTTGGCCCTAGGTACTACGGACTCAGTGTCGGAATAACTCTCGTGGCCTTGTCTTATGCTTCAGTGCCTCTATATAAAATGGTAGGCTGTTCCAGACCAACACAACAGAGCATGACAGCCTAATATATGGATGTTTGCAGATATGCCAGCAAACCGGCTGGTCCGGTCAACCCGTCAAAGCGCACGATTCCAGCGGAGATCCTGCCCTACGGTTAAAACCGGTCGAAGACCACCGACGGTTACGCATCACCTTCAACGGCTCGGTCTCCGACATCCTGCCTTGGAAATTCACTCCCCAGCAACGCGAAGTCCGTGTGTTACCGGGTGAAACAGCATTGGCGTTCTATACCGCCACCAACAAGAGCGACGCAGACATTATCGGCGTGGCCACATATTCGGTGACACCGGCCCAAGTGGCTCCATATTTCAGCAAGATTCAGTGTTTCTGTTTCGAGGAGCAACGTTTAAATGCCGGAGAGACGGTAGATATGCCGGTCTTTTTCTTCATCGATCCCGAATTCGTCAAGGATCCCGCAATGAGGAATATTGATACCATCACCCTAAGTTATACCTTTTTCAAGGCCAAATATGACAAGAATGGCGTTTTGACCACCATCCCCATGGCCATGGGAGCAGCAGCATAATTGCTGCAGGAAGAAAAGGAAAAGAAAACAAAACCTGTTACACCGCCGAAATCCGAATCGACCAACTATCAATCCTGACAAGGCATAGCCTTCCCGGGTGATGCCGGAGCAAGCTAGCTATGCCTATAGCCTTGTCAACCGATATCCGCAGTGCACTGCGCTGCAAATTGGGCGTGACAACACGCAGAATGCCGCCCGCCCATTCCGGCTGTGGTCTGCCATTGAAGATCAGCATCTGCAAGATATTCGTCCCGCCGCCAATTAAATGTCGACAAACCGGGTTGGGCCTTTTCGATCTCGAATTCACTGTCACAAGAGCAATTTACAAAACGCAAGCGAGAGCATTACAAACTTAAAAGTGCGACACTGAAGGCTGTGCCGTGGCTGAATAATATAAACGACGTGTCCGACGCCGGCTTACGTGCAGTGGTGCTGTTCATGTATGAGCTGCTGGTGCTGGTGCAGCATCAGGGGCAACAGTTCTGAAATCACCTATACACATGCTCGTCATCTCGTGTTTCTACACCGTCAGCGCAGGCAACGGAAGGCTGCATGTACATCAAGTGTCCCGCGGCTACATGTCTCATGATGGCGCGACGCCCTCTCTGTGTAACTCTGGGCGTACGTGCCGAATTGAGTTTCACGTGCACGCGAGTCCTATTCTACCATTCTACAGTACCTACAGCCTCGATGAGTTCAATCACATACGTGCACGACACCTACCTTGCCCAACTTAACCCCATCCAACTCGCTCAAGAGACACGGATGAGGATCACGTTCAACTAGGCATACACACGAGGAGACTCTGCCGGGCACTACCGCCGGAAACATGCTTGGTGACTTGCAGGCTTTTTAGAGAGAAAAGAGAGAAAAGACAAAAAATAATATACACTGCTCTCGCTTCGTCTTTCCAGCAAGTGGCTATGATGAAGGTCCAGCTGTGACATGATTGACTCCGCATCAGATGGTGGTGGTGGTGGTAGTATATACCATGGAAGAAGCAGGCATCTACGCTGCAGGCTAGGGATTCAAGGGTGTCGAGATCCATCGGTCCGAGACTCGAACAGTGTCGGATCTGGTATCTACCTACGGGCGACCCAACTTTCTTGTGATACGGTACATTATATCAGTTACCTCCACTCTGGCATCAGAAAATGCAAGAACACAACCTTTACCGTCCACGTTTCGAGTTTGTACGTCTTTGTGATTTTTGTGATTATGTTTCTACATTATTATGACCTAGTAAGGTGCTGAGTCGAGGTGCATGGAGGCGGGAGTAATCCACGCTCAGGTTAGCTTCGACGCCGGAAAGTGGGCAGTGTAGCTCTCTGATCTTTTCTTTTCGTGTCAGGACAAGAATAAAGCAAAAGGTGCAGCTGGTGGCGGATGGCAACTTGAACCGCACCAGCATTGGGAGCTCTGAACAGCAGGTTGACGTGGTCTCCTTGCGAGACTCTGGTCGTGTGTGTCGCAACCAACAGTCACAGGGTCGTCGTCTCCTTCCATCCATCATTGATGGCCGTCGCCGCAGGCGCGTCCATCTTCGGCTGCTAAAACCCGTAACTGATTCGGTACGGAGTCGAGCATATTTAGCGAGGATTGTCCATCCGTGTTCATCCTTGCCTTTATTGGAAGGACCGTCGCAAATTGAATGATAGGGCGTAGGTGTGTGTTGCAATTCAAGAGGGACTGCGTCAAATCCGGTAGATTCTTTGCGCCAGGCAGCCTCCTGGACCGACTTGATTCACAACATTCCGAGATGCAGTCTGTGCGAGCCATGACCATAGAGAGCTCCGTCATTAGGACTTTAAGTCTCAGTGCCATTTCCGACCTCGAGAACCTCCAGGATCTTCTCAAAGTCTGGTGTCCCAAACCCACTGGCTACGTCCCAGCCCTCGGCTGCCGAGAAACCAGGTCCGTCACAACCCACGCTACTTCCATTGACGACGTCCGTGAACGCGGCAAAGCCTTGCTGGTACAACCACGGGTTCAGCCATCCCAAGGGCGGCTTACCATTAGCAGCCAGGGCATCGTTGACAAGCGCAAAGATACCAGCAATGGTAGGCGCCGCGCAACTGGTGCCATCGACACTTGTCACAGTGGAGTTGATAAAGACGAGATATCTGTAGCTCTGTGCGGCCAAATCAGGATATGCGCGGCCGGTGGCATTGTACAAGCCCTGGAATTGCTCGAGCTGCTTGCCGGCTGAGTCAAAGTATCGCTCCACGGCTGTGTCCTGCCAAGATGGACGAGTGAAGTAGTTGCTGAATCCAGATCCTGAGGCGTAGCCGTTGCGGGGGTCGTAGGCCACGACTTCTGGAAGGTCTCGAGTTCCACCGACAGCAGTGACGTAAGGACAAGAGGCAGGGAAGGCGGGAAGGAAAGTGGTGCGGTTCTGTCCGTCGTTGGAAATGCAACTATCATTTCCGCCGACGCCGTAGTCCCCTGAACTAAAGAAGAGCGAAATACCTTGGGCGCCGAGGGCGGCAAACTGGTTACACACAGTCTTCGCGTACTCCTCCGGCACCGTCTGTTCGTCGTCGCCGTAGGAAGTGGAGATGACACTGGGCAGGGTATTGCGGTCTTGTTCGCGCATATACAGGACCCAAGTCAGATATGGCTCGTTGGTGTTTGAAGTTGTGAAAGTGTCCGGATCAAACGGTGGTGATCCTCCTGTGGAATACAGAGTGACCGGAGTAGGGTAGACAAGGCCTAGAATAGTTTGAAGGTCTAGATTGCCTTCCACTCCCGGTATAGCAGTGGCGTTGTCAAGAGGGCCGTTGTTAACGGAGACTTGGTTGACTGCGTACGAAGAATTGATGGCTTCAGGCCTGAAGTTTTGCAAGTACAGTTTGGCATCGTCACGGCTGGAAACCTGGCCCAAATAGTTGGTGAAACCAACTTGGTTCTTGTCGGATGCTTGGACGGTGTAGTTATGGGTGTTGTACAGGGCACTCAAGCATTTGGTGGTCATACCGGCAAAGTTGCAGATACGACTGAGAGAGCTGGCGTTTGTGGCAACGGTGAGATGGTCAAGGTCAATCTCCATGGGCACAGTCAGTACTGTCTCCCCTCTCGGATTTGCTCGAAGGAATGCAGTGGTGGGCTGGATGGTGGTAACATGCTCGTGGAGCGAACGCGGAAGAGACCATTCAGTCGTTCGAACAAGCTGCGAGCCATCTTGATGCTGATAGACCGAGTATTTGGTGTGAAGAAGTCGTTCCACCTGGGCTACGGGGAGGGTCAGAGTGATCCAATCCCGGGCCGCATTGTACTGGTAATGACAAGAGTCAATGCCATGCTCGGAGAGCCACTCCTCAATCAAGCCCGTGGTCTCATTGGAGGGCGTGATGAGGTCGTGGACTTGTTGTTGGCTCAAGTGGTGACCATAGCGATGGTGAGATGGGTCGGACACTGGATACACAGTCAATGCAAGTCGCCCACTGCATGGCTTGGAAGACACGCCCACCTTGATGCAGAAGGCGTTCAAGATGGTCAAAGTTGTTTGGCGTCAGACCAATCTTCAGCTTCAAGCGTTGGACAGGAAGGGGATTTCCCACTTTGGTCCATTTTGGAGGGACATTGTGAGATTCCTTGACAGCGTAGTCGAAGCGGGAGTGAACAGGCGAAGCAGCAACCGACTGGAGCGCGACCAGGGTGGCCAGTAGCAGGGAGACGACAAACATAACGAGCGAAGAATGGGCGGAGAATGAAGGGACGTGGAAAAGAGAGGGAGAAGAAGATGTCGAGCCGAAGGTCCCAGACGGAGGTTTGTATAGAAGATGAAGCTGAAGATGAGGACGACGAGCAGTAGCACGGCGACTGCGGCAGGAACCCGCAAGTGCAGAGTGCAGAGTGGTACTAAGTACTATGTACTACTTACTGCGTACAGATTGACACTGGTACCTTATGATGTGCAGGCGGCGCAGTCCAGCTTCAGGCTTCCGTGTGGAGACGGGACAAGCGCAGGCAGTCCTGCTAATCCTCCTCCTGATACAGGATACATTGTAGTAATAATCCTGCCCCTCCGCAGTTTGCCGCCGTCGCTTGCGGTGGCATGCGATCAGCAGCCAGGTTTAGTACTGAGTTAGGCGCCATTAGGTAAAGGATCGCCTAGAGCAGCACCTACATTCTAGTTCATTGTACAGGTGCTCCGTGCCTATAAAGGCTTAGGGAGCCCAAAAGCCCGAGGGAGCTAGTCGGCCTAAGCTCAACTTGAAAAGATACTGTGTACCAGGTACTACCTAGGTAGTAAGCTGCCGTTTACCCGCCAACACTCCCCCGAAAGGTCAACAACTCTAAACATCCTACAGTACTGTTGCACAACTTGCGTCCTCATTTCCGATTCTATGCAGCAACCTAGCGATTGGACATGCCCAAATTTTCAACAGCGAGACATCTCTCTCGGCGAACTAGGACGTCGCTTGCTTCAAATGTCTACAAGTGCTGTGCAATGTGTGTCGCTTGTCGATCGGTTGTCTCCTTTCATTTCACAGACTGGATTTGATGGAGATGCACTGCGTCATTAACTGGGGAAGCCGGGAAGGATATTCAGGGTCTGACAGGCCACTAAACTCTTCACAGGCTCAGTTCCCTAGGCAGCGGTGGGCCGCGGAATAAATGTCGGCCGTCAGACAACCGTCATGTCCACTTTCTGATAGTGTCGGGTAATCCGCTACACTGGCTGTAGTTGTACAGTTGTATATGGATACTTGCCATCCTCCTGCAAGGCGTTTCGATCTCTGTCCGCAGATTCCTCTGTTTCTCGTCTATTCATGTGCAGGATGCAATGTCATAGTAATGCGATCAGTGTAGTCTTCGAGGTGCTGTAACCTGCATCCACACAACACCCAATCCAAGAGGTGAGGTCTGGCACTGTTTGCCGGTGTGCATGCCTTCGATCTCTGCATATTTCACATTTCACAGATTCACCCTGGGAGTAGGAAGACTGCCCAGTGAGTTCAAAGATACCTAGGTATGTTCAGATCTGTTAAGCAATTCCCCTTGTGCGTAGTGCAGTGCAGCATCTCCCTCCTGATGCTGTTACACTCAGACACGCCGGCCTTCTGCAAAGTCTTTACGGGCGGGCGCCCAACAGGTATCAGTAATCTTTGTGCGTTCACTACCTTAACGCGTCTCTGTTCATCTGCAATCGCGGTAGGTTATCCTGCGCTGTTATGTCTTCGCCTCGCTGTCTCCTATGGCTGTATGCTTTTTGTACTGGTAAGCGACAACACCCACACCATTACACACACAACTGCATAGCGCGATGGATCCTCTCCCCAATACACAGAAGGAGCAGCCAGCCAAGTGGCTAGAAAACAGTGTTCAACGAGCGGAGTGCAGTTCGACCGGTGGCAAACCTTGGTGGTATCATCTTGCCGAGTCTAGGATGCCAGATCTGTGCAAAGAAGCCAATCGACTCTTGAAGGAACAATATCGATTGGAGGCAGAGTTAGGGGAAAAGACCACTACAGAACAAAAATGGTCGCGTATTGGAACCCAACTGCGTGAACAAAAGCCCGCCGTCTTTGAGAGTCTAGACCGTCTAGAGAGACACGTCAAGATCTGGACTGTCTGCGATAAGGATGTCATCTCCCAGCTCTTTGAGGGAGCCGTTACCGAGACCGAACGCCTTAATGTCCTTTTGGGCAACAACAGCAACGACCTCACCAGCCCTACCCTGGATCTACGGCAATACAACGCGTCCTCTTCTTGTTCTCCGTCTCCTAGTCAAGAGAGCCTCCGACGTACGTCCAATGGCGATTGCTACAACACCGACGACAGTGTTGAGTTCCAAGTGGAGAAACGGCCAGGCAAGGCTGGTCTGAAAAAGCGTCGCCAGAAAGCAAACCGGAAGAGACGAGCCGCTGAAGCTGCCGCTGCGGCTGCCGCTGAGGCCAACGAGTCCGTTGCGCCGGTACCTGCCCCCGGCGCAAACGATGGTTAAAGCTATCAGAAATTTCTCTGGAAGTTACGGGGGCGGTTTTTTATGGCGAGGGTCGGCTTGGTCTGAACAAGAGCTACGGGCTGGGAATTAAAGGCGACAAGCAAGGAGAATGTAGGAGTGGACGGGTGCGGGGGGCTGTCAGTTGATGAAGTGATACGTGACTATGGTCGGGCTACGGACTGGACGCTCAGTCGACAGATTGGCCCATTATTACTACAGTTGTAGTATTGCTCAGAAATGGAAGAAGTGTACACGCAGCCTTGCTAGTATTCACGTGTCAACCCCTTTATTTCGGACGAGGCTGTGGACGAGGCTGCGGATTCAAGTTGTGCCGAGGTTCCTGCCAAGCACAGACAATCATCATCATAAGGTATCTCATGCACAGGTACCTACAATAGAGCAGTCCAACAACGCGTCGACTCCTCGCCCTTCATCCCTACTCCTTCATCGATCGTATCTGTACTTCTCGTCGTGCCCTGTGTCTTTTTTCCGGTTTGAAATGGGCTAATGACGGTTGCACCCTGGAAGCATGGAGGCGGCCAGTCGAGTCGACATCACCTCCCTCAAGCCAATAGTTCGGGCCTATGCTTTAGGATATGTCACCGTCACCGGCCCAAGGCTATTGGACTTTCTGAGAACACTGAGAAAGCAGGATCGATCCGCTCCGGCAAACGTCGCCCTCGTATTTGCAATTCTCAAGACCTCGACTCAGATCAACCGCTTCCCTACCGCAGCTGCTATCACCGTCGGAGGTGCAACTCTCCTGCCTCGTCTTGCAGAAGGCTTCCTCCAATGGCTTGTTACTATTATCACCAAGAATAAGCACATACGACTCAACAGCGGCCATTACGCTAGGCTCCGTTTCCTTTGTTCATTCCTCTCAGCATGGCTGGCGTTTGACCTCCTAAATCGGGACGAGGCTTGGGCGCGGAAACAGGCCAACTCCGTCTCTGCTGCAACGGCCGATGTTAGCAAAGCTGGTTTACCAAATCAACACCATCTACCCCCGCCGTCGTACCACCTTCGTTATGCTGGTAAGACCATTGACTTTACCTTGTTTGCCTTCTGTCGGGCTCTGGACATTGCCGTCATCACCGCATGGACTCGAACACGTTCCAAGCCATGGCACCCAGAACAGCGATATCCAGCTATGGCTCGACTGATTCGCAACGCTGTTGACCCCTGGATATTTGCCACGTCGGCTGCCATCATCATGTGGTCATGGTTTTATTCTCCCCACCGATTACCCCGTGCATACAACAGCTGGATCTCCAAGGCAGCTGATATCGATGGCCGCCTCATTCAAGCCCTTCGATTGGCTCGTCAAGGTGATTTTGTCTATGGCCGAGATACTGGACAAGCACCACTTCTCGCTGGTCTTTGCCGCGAACTCGGGTTGCCTGAGGTATACGGAGACCCCGCAAAGACCATCCCCATACCATGTGAACTGTATCACTGCGGAACCGGCAAGAGCTGTGAAGTCCACGGGATTTCGAGGTTCTGGCGAAGCTGGAAATTTGCAATGGAGGTATATGTTCCATTGCAAGTTCTGTCCCGGATGCGGTCCCCCAGCAAACAGTCGGCCTTGGCCGGCCTGATATCCGCCACGAGATCGTCGTCTTTTCTGGCAGCGTTCGTCGCCCTATTTTACTATTCAGTGTGTCTTGCACGTACCAGGCTTGGTCCAAGGCTTTTTTCGTACAAGACCGTGACGCCGCAAATGTGGGATTCTGGCTTGTGTGTTTTGGCAGGTTGTCTTGCGTGCGGTTGGTCGATTCTTCTGGAGAGACCCAGCCGGAGACAGGAGATTGCCTTCTTTGTCGCGCCCAGGGCAATGGCAACGGTCCTTCCTCGTGTGTACGATAGGCGATACATCCGCCGAGAGCAAGCCGTCTTCGCCACCAGTGTTGCTTTGGTCCTGACCACACTGCAGACGGGCAATAGAAGTAGCGTCAGAGGCGTGCTTGGGAGAATTCTGGGGGGCATATTGAAGGAGTGAAGATTGGTGGCGTCTGGTGGAAGCAGCAAAGAGAATATGAGGTTGTCTTGAAGGTAAGCCGAGAAGGCACCAATGGAAGATAAAAGGGCCCTCCGACCTTTTCATTTTCTTCACTCGTCTTCTTTGTCCTTCATCCTCCTTCTCCCAACCACTTGATCGCATTGGAAGGGACTCTAGCAAAGACAGCGTGTGCCTACTTCTACCCTCTGGTTTTACGGGAAGCTTTTATTTGACGACTTTACCGACAGACAGAGGCCCCTTCAATTATCCAACTTCTTGCCTCGCTTCAGCCAAAGGCGTCCTTCTGCTGAAATCAGACTGGCTCGGTCAATTCTGCACGGGCTCTTCCCGGCGTAACATTTCATGAACGTCTCTCACGGCCTTCCAAGATGGGAATCTTTCAAATACATTCTTACTACAGCAGCCTGAGTGGCAAGGACTTGAAAGACCTGACAGACTGTGAAGTTGACATCGACCGTGGGAAAGGGTCGATTACAATGATATCTCCCACAGCACAGCTTGACAAATCAATCCACATTGGTGATATCGCAAACATCTCCTACGATGAAAAGAATGGCTTCATCTCTATGTGGGTGAGGGCCAGACCAAGAAGGGCATATCAAATGATCCTCCGCACCAAAGTTGCTCTGGATGCAAAATCAATTGCGTATTCAATCAGGAGCAACACCAAGTGGGTGATGCTTGGATCGACTTACGGTCTCGGGTATGGGTCATGTTTTGAATCGGTGAGAATAATAGTTAACCTCTGCACAGCACCTCTGAGAACTGGTATCATACAGAGATGGAAAATCAGTTGCTCGCACACGACGAACGCAGTGAACGAGCCATCAACAAGGAAGAGGATTTGATACGCGACGCTCGACAGGCCAAGAACAAGAATGGCTCGCGTAATACCAAAGATGCTGAAACGCCAATGGCGCCACGCGACGAGGGCTCGGATCAAGTACCGACACCGAGGCCGTCGATGGATGAGAATTCTCTTCTACCCAGAAAACGCCGCAAACTTCTAGGCACAGAAGGGCCAAATGTGCTGTACGGTCTCCTCGAACAGTTCAACTGTTGTAGGGAAAGTCTTGCTCAAGCAATCGACCAGACTCGGGCGCAGGATGATGAATCGGAGGTGCTCCGCAGCCAGGTTCTCTCGCTACACAAGGAGCTGGAGGAGAAGAAAGCAGAGATCCGCTGCAATGCCGAGGGACAATCGAAGGTCAGAGAGGTGCACGGCAAACTCCTGGCCCAGACTGAAGAACTATCCTCCCATATCCAAAAGGTGCATCAGCAGTCGTCCGAACTGGCGGTGTCTCGAGCGCAGAAGGAGAAACTGCAAGCCGAGATTGATGCACTCAAGAGCGAGCAGACCATAAGCAATGTGGAGCTATCGACTGCTAAAACACAGGGAATCATTCTGCAAAATGAGGTCGACTGGCTCAAAGACCTGTTCGGCATGTGTGTCTGCGTGGTCGATCCCGACAAATTCCTGGCCGAGATGAGAGCCGGCAGCACGGTTGCAGATGCACACCTCGCCGCCATCAGGAAGAAGTGAGCTTGAATACCAGGTCCCACAATGCGCAGAGGGGATGTGTGCCGTGGTGGTTTGGAGACAACTTGAAACCGTGGATTGCGGCGGGTGGAATCTGCAAAGGCAATCTTGAAGCGTGGACGTGAACTTGATCTAGAACGAACCATTGGTGACAAAGGTGTCTTGCGTACAAGAAGACAGGTCTTCCATAGCCACAACGTATGTATATTATTCAAAGAGGGCCAATCCCTTTCGCTCTTGCACGGGGTGTTCCTTCACTGGAGACTCGAGTTCTGGGCATCACATCACCCGCGTCACTGAGATAGACTGGAAGGTACCAGGTACCTAGGTAGGTACTTTACTGCAGTGTATTGTCCAAGAAACCGTAAGGCTGAGTCTTGGCAGGGGTGACTACCTGGTTCCTAGCTAAGGTATCCTAACCTCAGATACCTAGGTAGGTAGGTAGGTAGGTACAGCATACGGCACGCCGACGGTATCCTGCCGTCCATGTATCGTAGTCAGATACTAGTAATAGGTCTGTACACTCAGGCATAGGTGCCTCCCGGCAATCTGGAGCGCTAGGCGGGATATGGCCCGGCCGCACGTTATCGGCCCGAAGAAGAAGAAACGAGGGAGATGTAGCTGCAGTTGGCTGACTGCATGATTGGCAGTGCAGTAGCAGTTGACTCGCATGTTACTAGTAAGTTAGATAGCGTACATGTACCGGGTTGTCGGCGCGAACGAATTCCAAGGTTGTTTGCTCGCCTACTGGTAACGTTAGGTACTGGTCGGTTTTGTGTGGTACCTAGGTACCTAAAAGCTGTTTAACAAGCGAGAGCCTATATTACTACTAGTGCCACACTGCAGTGGCCGACATCCTGCTTTCAACGCCTACTGTAGGCTGACTTAAAGCACTGCCGCTCAGTCGGGAGACGAAACCCGTCAAATATCCCAAGTTCAAGTCTTCCTCCACTACTTCGAACGCCAGGAATGGAGATGAGATCATGCCCAGAATGACAACGTCACGACAAGCCGAGGGTCGATTCGATTCCCGGAAACATTGGAGACGGGAATCCACCTGTCAGCGTGTTGCATGAACGTCGCCAGGTCACTGCATCCGACAAGTAAAAGGTCCTCGTCACAGACCACGGCAGCTCATGGATCACTTGCACTCCAAGGTGACTTGCCGACTGGTGGAATCAATCAATGGAAGAGAACACACGGCTTCAGCCCGCCTCGAGTCTTTCAGGTCTTGGAATCATCGCTGCTACGACAGAGTACGGACTGGTACTCACGGACAGGTCCACGCTTTCATGTTCAGATCCATGCCAATAATGGTGCCTCTTGACTACCGCCGGCTGCCATTGACTCTCGGCCCTTCTCCTGGCGACGGACAGCTGGAACATGGACACTATGGGAACTGACCCCACAAGATCGGCATTAGGTATTTCGCAGAATGGGGTGTTTATTTCGCAGAACCGCTATACCGTAACGGGTAATAGTTAGACCTACCTTAATTTAATTCGCCGGCTAGCGTAGCCCCCGCGTATATTTCGCAGAAAACTTAGTACTCGGCTCTAATTAGCCGGATCTTTAAGCCGAACGACGCTAAGCCTAATTAAGCGTAATATTACTAGAAATATTAATAAATAAGCCTAGGCTAATTATAGCGCGCTATTTAGGCTATACGAGTTACGCTCGAATTAGAGTCGATTTACGAGCTATTTTTAAGATAATAGGGTATAAAAGTAATATTATTATAGCTATATAGTATAGCGAAAGCTACTAAATCCTTAGAGCCTTAAGCTTTTTACTATATATTTATCTAGTAAACGAGCTCTTATCTTAAATCGCTATACTAGTCGAAATATATTTATTCTAGGGAGCGAACCTCTTCCTCGACCTCTTATCGAGCTAGTTATTACTCTTATTAGTATCGTTATAGAGCCTCGTTCTACGCCTTCTAGTATTATTATAGATCCTACTCTTCCTACGCCTCCTAGTACTATTATAGCCGTTATATATTCTCCTCTTCCTACGCTAACTATCGAATTTCGTATTTCTAGAGACGCCGAGCGCTCTCGTCGAGAAGGTTATCGTTAGAAGAGTTCTAAAGTAGGAGGAAGTTATCTAGTAGATACTAGTACGAGATTTAACGAGTTTCGTAGATCTAGTTTATACTCGACGCGTTTAAACTATAATAACTCTCGTTACGAGATATTATTAAAGTCTCAAGATCGAGAAATAACGATTAGTAGCTATATTATATTAGCGAGATTTATATTATTAACGTTTTCTATTCTATTAAGTCTCTAGTAAAGCGTAAAGTAGTCGAGATTAAGGATTTCGTTCTAGCGTAGTAGTTATATAACGAGATAAGAATACGGTAGGCCGTAAATACGCGTAAAAACGCTCGAGTAGGCTCGAAAGTTTCTAATCTATCCTAAGATAGGCGTAACCTTATCGACGTCTATTTTAAATATAGCTTTACGAACTAGAGATAGAGTATAAAATAAGACGTAACTAACGACTTAAGACTATAAACGAGAGTCGAATTAAGAGCGTCGATTTACTCGATCTATATCTAAGTTATATCGACTCTTAAGATAGCTATCTCGAATCGATCTCTCGAGGGCGTTAACGATAGTAGAGACGTCGAATTACGTCGATTTTAGGCGTCTCTTTAACGCTCGATATATTATCTCTAGTCGCGAGATTATTACGTTACTAAAGTACTAAAATTCGTCGGTATAGACTCTTATAAATAGCTCTTTTCTTAGAAACTAGATACGCTAGAGATAGTCGACGAGAGGTTTATTCTTCTCTTTAAACTTTAGTCGAAGCGTATTCTAATTAAGTATATAGTCTAGAGATATCTTTATAAATATTATAGTCTATTAGTATTTATTAAAATTAAGCTATTTTTCTTATATCCGATCTCTTTTAGCTTTAATTTCCTCGCGAGATTAATAGCGTAAATAGAGCCCTCTAAAATAGCGCTTTATCTATACTTATACTACTCTATTTATATACTAGATATATAGAAAGTAACGCGACTAAGGATAGATTAATTTTAAGGTAAGAGTAAGGTCTAGATCGTCGTTTATAATAACGATAGAAGATCCGTTTTCGATTTCTATCGCTTAATAAATAAGTATTAACTTCTTAAGTATAAATTTAAATAAATCTATCGCCTCGAGCTCGATAAACGCGGCGCTAATAAAAAACGATTCGTTATTAGTTATTATACTAATAATATTAATAAGCGGTATTCTAAATCGATTAGTTTTATAAGTTACGTCGATTAGAATAATCTTAGGATAACGGCGCTATAGATTAAGCGACTCGTAGTAGAAGAGAACGAGCCGGCGTAACCTTAGTTAGTCGTTAATATTAACGTACGAGACGAATCGATCTCTAACGCGCTCGATAAGCGCCTAAGTAGCTATTCTATCTACGAGGTTTATCGAATAAATCCTACTTCTCTCGTTCTTTATATTCTATATAGTTATAGGAATATTCTACGAATAATTATTAATTATCGATACGATATCTTAAACGCTAAAATCCTCTTCGAAATATTTACGAATTAGTCTATTTAGGTCTCTCTTACGCGCTCTTCTTCTCGTAGAAGGATAACTAGAGCCTTTATTAGGACGATAATTATATTCGATATTTATAGGCGTCTTAATAAAGTATTTACTATCTTTATTCCGTACTATTATAAGTTTAAACTAATACCCTATCGATAGATACTCTTTAAATCTCTTTCTATCTAACGAAGCGATCTAATACGAACTACGGATACTGGCGCGGTCGTACTCAAGATATATAGCCTTAATATTATCTACGCTATCTCTATATCGCTTATAAATACGTATATCGTATTTGCGGAAGATAGACTACCTATCGAGCGTCTTAAAATACGCTTACTCGCTAGAATAGATAATAGAAGAAGGAGGATCGAACGTACGCTTATACTAAATAACTAGCGTCGACTCGAAATCGTTCTCGGAATTATCTTCTTTCTTCGAATCGTTCTAAATTCTAGCGTCGTATAGATATACGTCGAGAGTATTATAGTCGGCTTAATAGTTAGCGAATACGTCCGGTACTAGCGTCTTAAAAGTAGAGTATTATTCTATAGCGTATATAGTAAAAAAGTAGTAGTTTCTATATAATTAGACGTCTATAGTTTAAGGCGCGGCGAGTAATAATATTAACGGCACTTAACGCGTCTATACGCGCTATTCTGCGAAATAAATATCTTGAATTACCTAAATAGGCAACACCGACGATCCTACCTAAATCAGGGATAGCGGTTCTGCGAAATAAACACCCCATTCTGCGAAATACCTAATGCCCACAAGATCCGGAAGATCGACGGGAAACCCACGGACCAACTGGCTTGACTGTGTACCTAGGTACCGGCTTTGCGGACCAGACGCAGACACACTTTATAGCTACTGTCAACTTGATTGATAATCCAGCCGTGACTTCATCTCCACTGCCAAACTTCCCTCAGACTACCTACCTACCCGGTAACTATTAACATACCATACAGTCCTAAATCATTCCATCTATACTTATACTTTTAAATACTTGCGTTCGGAGCTACTGTACGCTCCATCAACAACGTGAACCTTCCCAATTCAATCCCCATTCCCAAATCAAAATGAAAGCCGTGATTTCTCAAAACAAAGAACCCGTACTGGTCACTGACCGACCTGCACCCAACTTGCGCGACGACTACCTGCTAGTCAAAACGGTCGCCGTGGCCCTCAACCCAACAGACTGGAAACATGCGACATTCGGCCTGGCCAAGGACGGGTGTCTGCTAGGGTGTGACTTTTCCGGCATTGTCGAAGAGGTCGGTCCGGCCGTGACCAAATCGTGGAAGAAAGGCGACCGCATCGGTGGCGTCGCGCATGGCGGCAACGCCGTCGAGCCCCAGGACGGCGCATTCGCAGAGTACATCGTGGCCAAAGGTGATATACAGATCAAGATACCCGATCACTTATCCTTTGAGCAGGCCGCCACCGTCAGTCTCGGCGCCACCACGGTCGGCCAGGGCTTGTATCAGAAAGCCCTGAAGCTCAATCTGCCCACGGACCCGATCAAGTCCAAGACATTTGTCCTGATTTATGGCGGAAGCTCGGCCACCGGGGCCCTGGGGATTCAGTATGCTAAGTTGTAAGTCAGTCAACAGTTTACTGATTAAGCAGCATTTTTGGGTCTCAAAAGTCAACCATCGATCCATCAATGCCATTTTCTTCCCCCGTCTCCCTTTGACTTTGAGCCCCTTTTCATGTCCAAAAACAAACCACTCTTCCCTTTTGCCCTCTCCAACAAAAAGAAAGAGACCAAAAAATACAGCAATTCTAACCAGATTCTTTTGTGGCCATCAGATCCGGCTACACCGTTCTAACGACCTGTTCCCCCCACAACTTCGACTACGTCAAATCCCTCGGCGCCGCCGAAGTCTTCGACTACAAGGACAGCGAAGCTCCGGCCAAGATCCGCAAGTACACAGACAATCAGCTGACGTTGGCATGGGACACGATCAGCACGGAACAAAGCGCCCAATTCTGCGCCGACGCGCTGGCCGACAACAGCTCTGCTGGTGTGATTCGCTACGGCTCCATTTTACCCGTCAAGTTCCCGCGAGAAGGCGTCGAATCCACCTCGACACTCATGTATACTGTCTTTGGGGAACCCTTCGATTTTGGACCCAACAAGTTCCCCGCCACACCCGAGGACTTTGAATTCGCGAAAAAGTTCATGGCCATCACCGAGGCCCTGTTGGCGGAAGGGAAACTCAAGCCGCACAAGGAGGTCGTGGGACCCAATGGTCTCAAGGGCGTCATCGACGGTCTGGCGGATATGAAGGAGGGGAAAGTGAGTGCTAGCAAACTGGTCTATAGGGTGGAGGAGACACCGTGAAATACTGTAACAGTGGTAGTAACTACATATGCCGGTCGATATAATGCCTAGGTACTGTCACTATCCATCTACATTCTTCAGCCTCTGAAACTGATATTCCATCCATGTCATTCATTTCATTACTCCTGATCCATTTGGCTACTATTCATCAGGTAGTGCTGCTTCCTTGGCGAAAGATTTTGCTTCCAGCCTGCCTGGTAGTGACGCTCAAGTCTGCAGTGGCACGCGTATCGTCCGCAGGCAACAGCGACACAGGCAAGTGCAACCTACCTGAGATTTCCTTCACTGGCGCCTTCCTATTATTCTACCTTGCGGTGTCGTTCAAATTTTCTCCCAACCCAAACGCCTAACTTTCATTACTCCTCCCACCTCTTCGTCCCTCAAGACAGCTGCAGTAAACCATCCTCTCTTTACATGTCACCAGCAGTTACCTCGCTCTTCGATTCGTCTAGATCTGTCAACTGAGACAATTCTAACACCAGAACGATTCAAGTTTCGCTCCCCTTCACCAAGACACATTAGCAGTCAAGCTTCCACCCACTCCCACATTGATTCTTGTTGCGCAGTTACGTCAATGATACGGGATGATTGGTTAGCGGGACTTCTGAAAAAAATTTCTACAAGCCCTTGTCGAAGCATACAATGTGCCAGACAATGTGGGCCATTCGGAATCGCTCTTGTTGGGCTGGCAATGGATGAACACAACCAGACTAGAGGCCAAAGCCTGGTCACAAGTACGCGACTTTACGAAAACAAATTGAAGCCTTAGATCTCGATCCTGCACCAGTCACCCGTGCGGTCCCTGATTATATACTCGCCGACAATCTAATTGTCCTCCCTACTGATGACGACGAGCCCGACACTTCGCGTCTTGCATCCACGGGCATGTCTCAGGACTCCATCGCCGCATTTCGCGACCTGTTGATGGAAGAAAGGCAAAAGCATCGTCGAGCTGTTGAGCCAATGTGGAAACGAGTGCAGGCCCACGCGATACAGACTGTGGACGACATAAATGAGACCAAGCAAAACATCCACCTATTGGCACGGGCAACCAAGACTATCTTGACAGAGACTTGGCCATATGTTCAGGAAAATGCCGAAAAAATCTCGCGGACAATCCAAGATGCCTGAATCCTTGATGGCCCGAGTCCGGTCTATCCATATTGAGCAGGTCCTCAAGAAACATGCCATCAACTGGAGCAACCTTGAGCAGCAGCGGAAGAGAGTAAACGCGCTCATGCATTCGTGGCGTGTGGAAGAATTCACCAAATGTCGAAACTCTGACGATCCCGGTGTCATCAAGATCATGATGGCAGCATCCCCTTTGACATTCAATATCATGATGGATGAGTGGTTGCAACTCTCCGCTGGTATGGCTCCTTCCTTTTTGCTCCCTGACCCAACTAATTCCGAGCAGAGCGGCAAGCTATATGGCAACCAATATTGAATGATACAACAATAATACGCCTGGGCTCTGACATCGCTGGTTGCGAGGCTAGAATCCAAGCCATCCAAGCCATCCAAGCCATCCAAGCCCAACATGACTGTTAGGAAGCCGTCCTAAATGCCATCGCCACCTTACATCAGTTTCTGGATCAGGAAGTTGTTCATGTCTTAGTACGGCCTGCGAGCGAGCAGGAACCGCATCAAAAGATTGTGCGAGATGTAGTTGCTTCTATCAATCCCCGGGGAGAATCTGTTGCGCGATCTCGAGAGGATACCGACCTCTTCCTTCAAGACACCTGACAAGCATGGTAACGAGCAAGCGTAAAATGCGTCTTGACGCATTGGCAGTTCCAACATTATCCGCCTTGGAAGATACAGCCTGTGGTCTGAAGATTGTGCGAGATGTGGTTGCTTCTATCAATCCCCAGGGAAGTACCTCTTGTATCTATTCTAGTCCCTGTCGGGTCTATATAGGTCTCTAGCCTATCTATCCACCGGGAGCCCTCCTGACTCCCACCCTCCACCCTAAGCGTTCGTTGCTCTAAGGACCCCAGTAGGTTGTCCGTTTCCTTCGGGAGTACTCCGTGGTATTGCTCCAGGCGTCTCGTTGCGATCAGGAAGGCCACCGCCTTCCTCCTCGCGTCTCCGAAGCAACACCTCTCTCAATAGACATATCCAAGAAGGCGCTCGATAGGTCATTACGTGACCTGTTTGATGTCGAGAAACCAGCCATAAGTTATTGTAGTTCTCCTGCTGTCCCTGTTTAACGGACGGCGCCAGCGAAACCTAATACTGGGTGGCCTGCGATAGAAACAGCGACGGATTCGAGGACAGGGCGCCGTTGTATGGTGAACGAGCACAAACTGTCGTGACTGGATGCGAGTAGGAGACTACTCCCTTCTGACCTGCTAGGAGGGGGATGAAACTTGTGAATGACCAACCCAGACGCATCACAGCAGGCAAGGCTGGAGATTCAATGGTTGACGCAACTCCCGTGGTGAGTAGCCGCCAGATTCCTTGACGGGATAAGCATGACAGCTCCGGGTTCGTGACATCTCAGTGTTGATAGATGAGTGAAGTATCGTCGGTACTGTTGTCCAGTATGAGCCGAAATTGTGGCCCCCAAGCAGGATCGCAATGCGAGGATGAGCAGGCTTTGAGTGGCCTCCCGGACTCATATTGGAGGCACAACTCAGCAAAGACAGTCGAACGTGCCGAGTTGCAGTTCAATTCATCGTGTCCAATGCTGGACGTGTGGATTTGAAGGAATCCACCTTCTGCTGATGACAGATATAACCCTCCGGCGGAATACCAGTCACGCCCGTTCTAGTTTCGTGTCTCACCACTCGTTCTCCGCTTATGGTTCGTCGTCAACCTTCCTGTCAACGACCTGTACACCGCCCATGCCACCTTTCGTCCGGCCTGACGTGCGCTTCTTGACATCCTCCATCTCAGAAAGCATGACTTCGTTGAATTCTTCTGGGCTGTCAAGGTAGACGTGATGACCAGCCCCTTTGATTATGACCACTTTGGCACCACCTTGATCCTCGGCTATCTCGGCGGGCGATTTGCCTTTCAAAGCCCGCTCACGTTCTTCATCAATCTTCCTTTTGGCAGCATAGCCCCCTTTGACATCCATCCAGTCGTTTTCTCCATACATGAGGACAACCGGAACGCCATTCTCACGCACGGTTTCTGTGGAACCGGAGTTGGGCTTGGTAACGGGTAACGGCTGTCTTCCGACGCCCTGTATGCGGCGGATCAAAGGACTTCTGGCAAAAGCGCCGGGAGCAAGGATATATGCCAGGGCATATTCGCCACTGCCACGGAGACGGAACAGACTGTAACTATAGTCGTGGAGAGCCACGGCTTCCTCACGCGGTAGGTGTGAGAATCGTCGACTTGTCCAGCCCGAGACCAATCGTGGACCTAATGGGCCAGACCACCGGACGAAACTGAAGGGGGAAACGTTGGCATCCCACAGATATGTCAGCCATTTAGGCAGTGGCCGTCTTGGGGTCGGAGCGCTGCCGTTGCTGGCATTCGATCGGCCGACGGTCTCCGTTGATTGGTCTTGGGTGAACTCATTTTGTAGGGTTGATTCAGGTGGTTCGGGCATGGCGGCATGGGTGGCATAAGGATCCTCGGGGATACCGACGGGAGAAGCTAGGATGAGCTTGTTGAGGTGTCCCGGATATTTCAATGCGTAACACACTGCCATATAGCCGCCCATACTGTGTCCAACCAAAGTCATCTTGTCAATCTTTCTTTTCACACGCCATTCCTCCAGAGAGTCTACGAACCACGCTTCCGCCTCTTTTATTTGCTCTTCACGAGTCTTGGCTTTAATTTTGAAAGGCGGACGAGATGAGCGGCCCATTCCCAACATATCGAGTGCAAACAACCGCCAGCCTTGAGGACGGGACAGTGCTTCGAAGTTCTTATAAAAGAAACCCAGGCCAGCACCATAGCCGTGCAGGATGACCATATTCTGCTCGGGAGTCTCGCCCGTGCGCTCCACTGAGAACTCATTCAAGGCCCGGTTCTTGCCAGACAACTGGACCATACGGGAATACCACGTTCGAGGGCCGTAGGGGTCTGTGATAGAGGTTGTCCGCACAGGAAGGGCTTTGGCCGTAGGATCTTCGTTAACTGACATGGTCGATGGGTTCACAGATGGCGGTTCTGAGCCGGTTTGGGTATGGGTCGGGGGCTTTTGTAGGTAGGGAACAAAAGATAGGACTCTATGCTCCGCTTCTGCCGCTGGTACATCGTTCCACCATTGACTAAAACCTTCCCTGTAGCTCAAAGGGAATAGGTTCTCGAATCGGCTTCTGCGTGGGTTGTGGTCTTGGGCGCGTCGGGAAGCCAATGGGCTCTGTTGACCGCGACTTTGAAGTTCACTATCCGACTCTACTGCTTCGGACGACATGACTGGAGGACGACGCGATGTCGGAGGAAGGTCTTCTGGTTCAGTGAGTGTGGCTGCGGTGGACTGGTGCAGAAGGGAAAGGCGAGGTAGGCGGTGCTGTGGGCGCAGATTGATGCCAATGTGGGTGCGTATGCTTCGAGGAGCTGCCTCTAGGATTGCCAGAGGCAGAGAGGGTTTCATGCAACAGGAGAAATATGGACTCCTCACAGGGCATTGAAGCCTGGGGCGAGTCGAGGGGCAACTTGAATGAGCAGAAGGAGACACTGAAGACAAGAGACCCGGTGGGTTTGGGTGGTTGACCAAATTTAGATTGTAGAAGAAAGAAGATTAGGCAGACACGAATGAATGCATCGGTTGAAATGAACGGAGATCTAGAGGCAGCCCTATGGATCACAGTATGTTTGTTGGTGTTGACTGTGGCCATCATCACTTTCTCTCTCTCGCTCGCCGGCTTCGCTCAATTCCAGCGGGAAGGCAACTCTGGCGCTTCATTCGGCCGAGATAATCCGATTCAAGTCACATGATTTGGGCTTACGTGAGCCATTCTCCGGGTTCTGCCGCACGTGATGTTTCGTCACTTCAACTTTCAACACCACCGACACCGACACCGACAGCCTTGCATTGGGGACACATCCGACTCTGTCTGTACACGGTACAACCATTCGACACTCCCCAGAGCGATCCATGGTGTATGCAGCATAGGAAACTTCCCATACCCCTGCGAAGAAGGGTTTCCGAACAATACTACATGTTGCATGCCTAAACCTGCGACCATGATATGATGCGAATAGTCATTGTCCAGCTCATCCACTGCCTCCTACGATCTGCGGCGCATATAACGAATAAGTCGGGCATACCTTCTACCGCTACCACGATATAGTCTACCGGTCATGGCGTAAAGGTGCTATACCATCTTATAGCGCTCTGCTTCTTGCCGAACTCGACCATCATCACTCCCAACCCTCTCGACGTTGTCCTCGCGGTTCCCGAACCATGGCCAGCGAAACAAGGCTAAACCAGATCCTCAAAGGTGCACCTCCCGCCGACATCAAACTTCTTCCGACCGCGCCGCTCTCCGGCCTTGGGAAAACATCCCAAACCGAGAAATACACGCCAGACCCTCTACTCTCAACCCTGCCGTCTTCCCCGCCCCAGATATACTTGAACCTTTTAATCCTCGAATCCTCCTTGCGCGCCCAATACCTACATCTGGTCGGCCGTCGACGTCTCAACACCTTCTTCCTCCTTCTTCTGGCGCTGTGGAATGGCTTCTTCTTCTACGCTCTGTTCCTGCGTCCACGCGAAGATGGAACCGGACTCGGCGGCTCCGTCTACTGGGTAGTCGAAACATCAGAAAAGCTAGCTTTGATGGGTGGTGTCGTGACTGTCTTGTTGGTCTGGGGTACGGGACAATGGGAACGGGGGATCCGTTGGCCTCGAAAATGGCTGGGCACGACCAATCGCGGCCTCCGCGGCTTCAATCTACGTGTTGTCGTGATCCGCGGCAAACTCTGGCGTGAAATGCTAGGACACCTGTCGTTCCTGTTACCACTTCGCATGTTTCGCGAAGCCGGCGGCTTCGATTGGCACCTGGTGGAGCACGAGGATGGAACGGTGGTGGAAGAAGACCTAGCAAAGGGCGGTGATCACATCATGCTCTTGCTGCTCCCGAAATCTTTTAGTCCCGAGTTCCGCGAGAACTGGGAAGAATACCGGACAGAATACTGGGAGAAGGAGAACGAGCGACGGGCAGGACTGCGCCGAAAACTGCACGCCCAGCGCCGCGCCAGAGCAAAGGAATTGGGTGGATGGAAGTGGTGGACGGGGTTGTGGCGGTTCACAGGCCACAATCGACATGGTCGTCGACACCACGACCTGGAGAAACATGCTCATGGTCACCACACTCACCATTCATCTCGACACAGCAATGCTGTTGACTCGAAGAGCAGCAGACGTCGACCGGGCCTCGAGACGTTGGATTCAATGGGTAGTCGGAGCCGACAGTCGTCAAGGTCGTCGACCCCTCAGTTCGACCTGGACGGCAACAACAGCAACGTTGACCGACCATCGATCGCCGCAGAACGCATGAGACGCGGCAGTAGCGTCAGCAGCACGGCGAGCGTACGACGCAAACCCACCAAGGAGCGCAAAGATCGAGATAAAGACAAGGCAGCCCACTCTCATCACCACCAACATCATCGGGATAGCCTCTCCACGTCACCGCCAGGAACCAGTCTCACACCGCTCAGCCCACTGACGCCCTCTGTCGAGGAAGACGAGCGGGAAGAACGCCGTCGACGTCGTCGTCAAGAGCGAGAAGAGCGTGCGCGGGCGACGGAGTCGTCGAAGACAACAACAGACCAAAAGCGTGACAGCCGCTACAGTTACAGTGACCGTGACAGTGGCACGGGAAGTACTCCTACCACGCCGGCGGAGGAGATGATATGAGGCACAAGAAAGGATATAAATCACAGCGACTGCTTGATTGGTATGACTGTATCTGGCCTGACACTATGTGCAGGAATGGGCATGTCAAGTTGTACGCCATCCCATATGGACGTCTATTAAGATTCTCGATACGTAGCGTAGAATCGCTATCGCTGATATGCCCTCACTCCTCACGCCCTTGCGTTAATACTGTTCCACGTTGTACGATGCTGTACGGTGTCCACACCTCGCGGGTGACCGAGTGAGTACCTTGCCGGCTCATTAGTTTCTGTTATCAAACCCACAAAGGCACGGGCGGTGGGAGAGATCACGGCTCTGTTGTTGACACAGATATCATTATTTGAGCATGGTCAATGGCGTCTGAATGAGCCAGACGGAAAGGACTAGTGGCCTACAACAACAGGCCCATCAAGCAAAATGGAGGTTAGTACTGGTTGATTGGCACCTACTTACCTAGGTACCAATAGGTATGTATTGTAATAGTGCGTCGAACATGAAGGTGACTACCTAATTAAGCCACTATGCTATCGTGCTATGTAAGTTTCGAACATTGGATGAAATACAGCTGCCTGACAACAATCTTTTCCCTGCGTACGCTAAGTAAAATTCGCATCCTACTACCTATATGGAAATGTTGTAATCCAAAGTCAGACAGTGCACATTCGGTACCTTGACCAGACCGCTCACTTCCCTACCTAGGTAGGTACTACAAGGGACCTTCCTTTCTCCTTTCCTTTTCCCTTTTTCTCGCCTGCCACTGCAGAGAGGCCACATCCATGCCATGCCCATTCCCATGCACATGCCAGCCGTTGTCTCAAGGGCAGAAACAAAACCACTGTGGTAGTGGCAGTGGCTGTGATATCTCAGTCGGGAGCATGAAGCCAATGACCGAAATCATCAGACCACAGGAGAGTATCTGTATGTCGGAAGATACCTTATTGATATGTCTTCATATCAGGACTGGGATGTAGAAAGGAGCTTGAGCTCGTCCAGCCTGGTCCTGTCCTCGTATCAATACCGTGATGGCACTGCACCAGAGGGTTGCAGTGCTGCAAGTCCAGCCAGCAAGCCAGCAAGCCTCGTGTAGCCGTAGAGTGCGAGAGTCATCCGTCTCCGTTTCTTGCGGCATCGTGCAAATTCCTCTTGGACACCAGGTCCAATGCCACTGGATACAACGCAACTCCCGAGCTTCAAGTTGAATTTTGACCAGTAACCATTCGACTCGCCATCGGCCGCAACGGTATGCTAGTAAGGTAGCTCATTTACCTACCTAGGTAATAGTCCGAGTCACCGTTCAACCGCCTCGGATACTTGTTGTAGTAATCAGTTTCTCCTCGGCAGTACATCTTTCACATCTGCAATCGCCACCAAGCACGGCGCGTAGTCTGGCTCTCCTCTGCCGAACATCGGTCTCGTGGATATCGGTATAATGGTTCCAAATCTCCTCACCCGCCTTGATTCCGGTCCACGGAACGGAAACGCCGTTGGCGTTGGCGTTACCATTACTACCATTCACGCTCCCATGACCATTCGCCAGACTTGAAGAAACCTGCTGCGGCTGCCAAACTCTTTCCCTGACAACAGTCAAATTCCTCACACCAGACGGTTTCCAAGTCACATTCGGATTGCAGCTATGGTTAGCCAGACACCAAAGCGGATGGACGGCCGCGACCTCAGGCTTGCCCGTCCAAGTGGACTGCTGGGCGTCCGCGACACCACGAAACTTGGCAAATAGGGTCTGGATGATCCACCAGTCGTATTTTACCAGCCATTGCTTGCTGTACGGCCGACAGCGGGGGCGGGAGTGCATCAGGATCTCGAACCACTGCAGCACCAATTCGACGTGGTGGCGCACGCTGTAGGGCAGGGTCTTGGGACCGGACTTCAAAGGTATCTTAAGGTTGTTGGGCGCCCGCGACGACCAGTCACCCCACAGGTACTTGATCTCGAACAGATCCAAGGGATGGACTCGCTGTGTTTCGGCCATTTGCATGGTGCGCGACAGCAAGAGGAAATACAAGTCCCATTCGGGCGTGGTGGAACTCTCGGCCCGTCCGAGGACGTGGATGTCTTCGTTGCCGCTGGTGCCTGGGCAGAAGGGCGTCTGGCCGGGAGGATAGCCCTCGTCGGTCTCTTCGTCGTCCTCGTTGGGCGCGTGGTATTTTGTCCTCGCGAGGTCCCAGCACGCTTCCGAGCAGAAGGGGAGATTGCATCCGGGGCAATACCACCGTTCACCTTGAGGGATGGTTTCCATGTCGGCCGCACACGCGTCGCACAACGCCTCGCCGTGCGGTCGGATCGCCGTCACGGCCGATCTTTCTTGCAGGATCGTGGCCCCCGGCGCGAGGTCCTTTTTGGCGTACAGGCCAAGCTGTGATGACCCTTCTGGGCTGCTGCTTGTACTGGTACCTTGTTTGCCGCCTGTCCTTGGCGTGGTCAAGCTTGGCAAGACCGTAATTTCAACCTCCAAGTCTGGCGCCGCCTCCCGGAGCTTGTTGTTGATCTCGTCCAAGGCGTGTCGCGACATGCGGTCCGGCTCATGGTCGTTCCACGGATACACCTGCCGCAAACTGGATCCAAACAGACTAAATTTGGGCGTCTTCCGCAGCTCCGACACACTGGTGTTCAGACTCAGGTCCGCCGCGTACACGGTGAACAAGTCGCAGAACTCGTCCACGGCGGCCTCGGACGGCGTCATCGACGGCGACTCTTCGGTGGCTGTGGTCTCCAACAATTTCTTCTTGACCTCCAGCAGGTCGTCGATCCACAGTTTCGCCTGGTGTTGACACCCCAGGATCAGAGCCGAGCGACACAACAAGATCAACGACCGGTACTTGAGCTCCAAGGCAACCGTAGGATCTTCAGAGACAGGCCACGGGTCACCGTTAGCTTCGAGCGGCTCCAGGTCCGAAATGTCTGGCCCTTCGAGCACCACTTCGCACAGCGTATATGCCACGTAGGCATCTGCGAGCGCGAGCTCACTGTACCCCAGGGCTTCGTAGATGGCCGCCCGTTGCAAGATCAGTTCCGGCACCGGGCCGGGACTTTCGCCCAACTGTTCGGTCAGTCGGTGTCGCGCCAGCAGCAGCGCCGTGTATTGGTGTCCACGGCTACGCAGGGCCCTGATGGATTGTAGAGACGGCCCACAGGGCGAGTCGAGGTCGATGCCATGTTCTTCAGGCAGTTGGGCAAGACATTTTTCAAGATACTCCGGCAGCGGTGGCAGCGAGGACGTGTCGTTGTCGGTGCGCCCGTTCATAATGCTCTAGGAGGGGCGTACAGTATATTGTTTACATATCCCTCAGCCAGACGAATAACTCTAATCTGGAGATAGTGATGTTAATTATTGTTGTTCGGAAAGGTCGGAAAATGGAACTCGGTGATGCTGTGGTGCCAGTGGCAATAATAATAAAAATATCAAGAAAGTATCGGAGCAAATCTTTTATAACTTCGGTTCCACAATCGAGTTGGAGTTCGTCCTTCAAGTTCCGCATTCCACGTCCAGATCAATTTTGGCCTGGCGGAAGAACCAACGAAGATGAATGTACGTTGTGAAGTTGAGCGGGAGACACAATCTCACAATCTGAAGATCTTTATACTAGGAAAAAGATAGACTTCATGCACATCTGGATACGGGCACATCTACATGTATGGAACCGAGCGGTCTCTGTACCATTTGGCCCGTGTCCGCCAAAAGTCCATTTCCTAACAGAACTTTCCTCAATGCTCGATTGCATGGTTCAAGCTGTCTGGGAGTTGAGGAAGATATCTATCTACTTGGTACTAGTAGGATCGAAGCTCAGCGGCCCGGCAAGGGCTTTCTGTCTCTGACTCTGTCGATCACACTGTCCTATCACCCGTGGTAGCGTTGTTTCACATTGCTTGCGGCCTCGGATTCAGAGCAACCGTGGACTCGCAGAACTCAGTACGGTCATTCCACACGGCAGAACTGTACTAGTATGGTGCAATCATCCACCATATTTACCGTAGTCCTGAGTTGAAGCGTCGCTTACAGCCTCGGGCCGGGGTGGCGGTCCACATTACATGACCTGGGACTTGATGTCAGCATCATGTATAACATAGTCGAGGCACTGCATGTCCTCTCGGGCCTTGAATTGTTTCATACCTGGCAATTCTCATCCACCACAATGGTTGCGCCGCCAGCTCCGAACCCTTGCTCTCCGATCGCTTCAATCTGGCCCCGTTGTAAAGCCATGGCCAGTCGAGCCAACATGCCCTCCTGCAATGACGCCAGACATGTCAGCATCATAGTCAGACCAAAGTCAAAGCATGTCCAAGGTGGACATCAGCCATGCCCTGACCAGTATCTCTTCCATGGTACCTACCGTGACATATGTGTCTGATGCACCCCGCCTCCGTTCCACGTCGTTGCGACTGATGATTTCGTAACTGCGATGCATTGCTCGTCGACTACGAAGCCGCCGGGCCGAAGTTGCATCCTCGGACTGTGCCTCTTCATCACTCTCATCGTCCTCGTCTTCATCATCTTCCCCGCGCATTCGTCGGCTGCTTCTTCGCGCCCCGAAACGTAAAGAACTGTGCATCCCTCCGCCTGGGTTGGCCACATCGATTCCCCGTTCCGCCATCTCGCGTTCTCGGCTGTCACCGCCAGGGCCAAAGATCTTGATCGTGCTGTCGATGCCACTGCAAGCGATCATGGGTTCATATGGATGTCCCTGGACCACATTGACCACCTCGCCATCGCCCTCCAAAATATTGAGGATTTTGCTGGTTTTCCGGTCCCAGATGAAGAAATGTCCATCGTCCGAGCCACTGACCACGTACTCGTCGTTCAGGCCGTAATAGTTGACGTCCTTGACCGTACGCGTGTTGCAATGTCCCTGGTACACTCTGGTGTGCGATGAGTACGGCACATGCAGGTTGACCAGGGCCCGTTCATGGGGCCGGGCGAACCCTAGCCGGCGCCGAAACAATATCCTTTCAGGCGCTCCCTCATCGTCGTCATTTTCTTCCTCACCGTCAGAGCCGGAGCGCTCAGACTCAGACTCCTCGTTCTCGTTGTTGTCCTCGTCGCCCTCATCCTCGTCTTCGTTGGCGTCCTCTACATGTGCTGCTGGGGGCCTTCTCATCTCCATTTCGGACCCAGCGACACCCTGAGAAGCTTCCGGCGAGTCCGCGGTCCTCACAATGTCAATGGCTTCCACAATGCGTTCTTCCTCATCTGGATCAATGTCCTCTTGGGAGCGTTCAGTGCCCTCTGTGTCGGGCGAAATCTGAAGTCTCAAGCCGCCAAAGGCACGATTGACGAAATCATATGTTACCCCTTCACCGGCACGCATGAGGAGACTTCGGCCCACCTTGACTCCCCAAAACCGCGCTGCAGCTCCCTTGTCCATGACTCGGATAGTTCTGCAAGCGCCGGAAGGCTCTGTCACTGTTTCTGCCATGCCATGTCTCTCCGCCAACCTGACGCTCACAACAGCCGTCAGAAACGCTTGCACCGCCGATGTCTGGCTGTCAAACACCATCCGTCTCTCATTGACCTCGAAGCGATTCGTGTCCAGGTCGACAACAGGGACACTGTCATCCGCGAGATCCAGGAGGTACGACCGCAGCTTGTCGACAAAAGTGTGAACTGTGTCGTCTTCGTCCAGAGGGAATCGAGGACTATCGCTACTTACATTAGCTGGTCTTTTGAAACCTTGCAAGACCGCCTCTTGGCCCCCATCTAACCACAGAAGGATGGCTTTCAGGAAGTCGTAACAAAATCTTGACTCCCGAGTGATATGTTTGCCTTCATGAGCAGCGGGCCTGATCTGGGTGAAAGAATTCAAGCGCCCGTCCGGAGCAGAACTGAGAGTTTGCAACCGACCGCCCAAACATCGGGCTAGACAGCCGGCTGCTTGGACAAACCGCCAGCTGGCTTGACGATTCCTCCTCAGTGTGTTCTGTAGTCGAACATCTTCTTCACTCGGGTTGACTGGATAGGACCAAGTCCGCATAATCTCTTCCATCTGGGGCAGCAAGGATGCACACTGCCCTAGGACAGAAGTGAAGACTGCCGTGTGAGGCGTGAGCTCCTCGGAAGTCTCCATCAATAACGCGGTATCTGCATTTAATCTGGATGAAAAGTCGAATAATGTCTTTCGCATTTGGACCAATGCTCGAGCCACACGCTCACTCGATCGCTGTGCCTCTGTGAGCAAAAAATCCCGAGGAGAGTGATGTTCCGCGGCTATATTGGTTGGATTGGCACGAATAGGTATCAGCTCAGACTCCCCATCCTCATACCGCGCCAGCAGAGCGGTGTTTCCTTCTTCAGCCTGGCTATCGGAGACACGCCGTAGACGTCTACTAGGATTGGCCGAGTCAGCCAAGCTGCTTGATGAAGCGTTGGCCTTTCCTCTCTTCCTCTTCCGGTCTGATCGATTTCTAAGACGAGCAGCTTGAAATGCCTCGTCAGCTTTGGCGTCCGCATCCCTGGCATCAGGAGACTTGACTATATCAAAACTGTAGATGTGATCGCCGGACCAAGAAGCGATCATCTCATTCGGATTAGCGTCGCTGATCTTGCAAGCAGTGATATGCCCATGGTCAGTCGAGCCCATTTTACGCTTGTTGTTGGGTGCAAACCGTCGCACACAGCGGGTAGCCTCGGCCATGCTCTCATCGTCGTATGTACCGACGACAGGGACCCGGCCTCCCGGACGGCCTTTCTCCGCGTCCATATCTCGGCCCAGCATCCGTCTGTCATGCAGAAAGCAATGAAGGTGAGCCCCGCCTAGGGCGATATACTGAGGCTGATTGGGCGCACAGGAGATGGTGTTCAAGTCCAACCCGTATCTCTTGTAGGAAATGAGCGGCGGGGGAACGTCGCCGACTTCACTCTCCGTATTTGCACGGTATCTGGCATACCCACGCCCACCGGGAGGAGGAGGGTACGCAGACGATGGCTGTCTCAAATCCCATTGACGGACCTCTCCGTCCTCGGAACAAGTCAAGAAGAGGTAGGGGCTCGACTCCGTCACGATCCGCTTGACCCTGTCTGCATGACTTCGGTACACACGCGCGTTTGTGTTCCCTTCATTCAACCACCTGGCGTGGCGGAAGAAGTTATTAAACCTCCGACTTCTTGTACTCGCAGCAAATGTGGGATCGGTCGACCCACTGTTGGCGGCACCACCGTATTCTAGGTCGAAGACGCGTACTTCCGAATCGCCTGCGCAGGTTACGACGGTTCGGTCACCCGAGTGAGGCATAAACTTGACGGAAAAGATATTGGCACGATGACCAGTGCTCACACACGTATTCAAAGTGAATGGTTTGGCCAACCCGGAAGGGTTATAACCCCAAATGTTGAGATAGGTATCGTCCGAACCCGAAGCGAGTAGATTGCCACCTGAAGACCAGCTGCCAAAGTCAGTCAAACACCGGTTACGCCGGAGCGGGAGGGAAGCGGAAACAGTACCTCAGGGCGTTGACACAACCGGTGTGAGCTCCAAGCTCGTTGACAATGTCCAGATCTTGCACCCATGTCTTGTCACCATACAGAGTATTCACGGAACCACTCTTTCTAGATTCGCCCAAAGATCGCTTCAATAACTTGACGTTGAAGTTGTCGCTGCCCATTGTGAACTAGTAGCCGGGATGAATGCAGCCAGCGGCGATGCAGGGTAGAGTTGAATGCATTCAGAACGTTGTTGAGTAGCGGTATGAGCCCAGGAGCTACCTGGTCTTCAGACACACTGAGGCTGAAGCAAATCAGTCGGTTGAGTAAGTCGGAGGCGGCTGAAAGTTACCGGCGGATGATGAAGGACCTCGTGGCATGTGGGAACAGGTGGGAGAATCCGAGCGAATGTGGCGAAGACGAGCGGTCTTGTCTGGAGAACTGGATAACAAGTTATGCGAAGTAATGCCGCCAGGATCAGTGGAGTTGTATTGCAGACTGCAGCCAAGGCGTATCTACTGCTTCTGTGAGAGGCAACAATCAAGATGCACAGGCAGGCCAACTTGAAGTGGTGCTGCTGCAGCTGCGCTGATGTGGTTGAGTTGTTCACCCGCAGCCTTGCCACCCCGCGTTCACTGCAAGTGCAGCTCGCGGCCCGCCCAGCCTCGCCTCGCAGCCTTGCAGCCGCTAAACACCGCAAGGCTGTACAGTACCTCCCAGTTTGGTTTCTACAGCTTGGACGCTGTACACTTCTACACAATTTGTGTTCTATTTGCATCGTGAAGTCGAATAGACTCGTGTACCACAAATTCCGTTCTTTCCCACCAGCTTGCGAAGCTAAGTAAAAGCCTATGGCCGATCTATGGCTTCATCTGCTCCTTACATTTTCCTCCATGGGGTCCCGTAACCTGAATGCGCCGTGGGCTTCTTATGACCTACTTGACCTTAATGCATATCCCAAATGCCCTTTCTATTGACGGAATTCTTCGGCCATTCGCGCGCATGGTTCCCCGCTGCTGATACAGCTCGAGCGACCGCATCATCCATCTTCTTCTGCTCTTGCTGCACAATGAGGCGTTGAAGATCCCGACATACGGCGATCTCTTGTAGTAGCTGGTCGGCGAGTGTGGAATGCGCTTTGATCAAATGCCCGAGAGCGGATGAGTCGGATGGGGCTTGGAGATTGGCCAATGCCTGCGCGCAAGCCTGTATCTCGAACTGCACGCCCTCCATCGACGATGGCCATTGCGAATCGAGGGCAGCGGCCAGACTCACCGGTGGCTTATCGCTAACTCCACTGCCAGCAGATGTGAAGTCTTCGGAAAGTACAACCGCTTGCCACTTGTCGAACTGTTGCATTAGAGTGTCCAGCAATGCACCTTGTTTGGTAAGCTCTTTCAATTGTCTGATTGTCTGCGCTAGGACGAGTAGCCTGTCCGATCCCTTCGACGTTGTTGAGGATTGCCCCTGCCCAGCATCAAGCCAGACTTTTGTCGCATGAGAGTTGACTTTGCCTTGCCGCTCTCCTTCTAATGACTCTAGGGTGCAGAGTTTCTCTCTCAGCAGGTCAGAGCGCGATGCCAGCTGCGAAGTGATGCTGTTTGCATATCTTGAAAGCATATTGTCAGCTTCCTCATGGACCGACATCAGCTGTAGCAGCTCGTCTCGGGAGCGCCAAACCAGCGCCGAAGTGAGAGACGAGGAAGAGGTACCGCTCGAGCCTGAGTTTCCGGGTGGTATAGTCGAACATGGTTGAAGTGGGACCTGTTTGGTTCTCTTCGGACTGTACTGCTGGTTGTAGTTGGTGAACTCGGGTTTCTTGAGGCTGGGCTTGTCGTTCAACGTACGAGTGGTGCCTCCTGACAATGGCCGGGCAGGCTTTTGGATTGCTTCAGGAAGACGCCGAGCCCGGGAGTCCGGCTTTATTGAAGAACCCAAGGTGCGACTGGGTCCATTGAGCCTGGTGGACGCGCTCAATCTTCGACCATGCAGCTGCGAGCTGGGAGCCGCTATTGAGTCCAGTTTGTTTGACGGGGCTGCCGGCCGTGCGGCTTCCGAAGTGGCATCTTTGGAAGGATTTCTGAGGGTACTTGTCGTAGAGTGACTTCTGGTGTGGCCTGCCGTTGACTGGCTTGCTGTAGGGACACTCCTCGGTAATCCAGTCTGCGGCGGGCGAACCTGGCCGCCAACTGCTGTAGAAACATTCTCACCTCGCTGCGACGGCTGCTTTGGCACTCCGGTGATACCACCTTTCACCGGGGGTGCGTTCTGAGGATTGGACTTATGAGACGAGCCATCTCCGGCTTTGTTTGCCTTTGAGGAGGTTCGCGCATCGGTTCTGACTGGAATAGGCATGAGGCATGATGTCAGTTGTGACGATGGATGCACCGGGATGCTCTTGACGCGTATCAGTCGCTAATAAAGACTGTACCTGGTACTAGTATGGGCGCAGTTGAAGTGCTCTTGGTCCAGTTTCCACGTAGGCACCTATATCTCGTTGCTATTGGTACAACGTGAATGGGTTGTGCAGGGACACGTAGCGAGGTTTTGAACTTGAGGGCCTCCGCAAGTAAACAGCAACCAACAGCAACCGTCGAATCAGCATCTTGAGAGGACATCGCAAAATGTCTCCGATTGGCTGTTAGCCAGCCTGGTGGCTTACATCAGCCAGCCCGGGAGCGTCACTTGTGGAGCCCGTCTTTTCACACTCTGTCAGTGAGTTTCGACTTCACGGCCTGTTGACTACCGGAAAGAGCTCAGACCGCTCTGGTTCTACCGCCTAGTTCAATGGCTTAGAGAGCGGATGGACTGATGGTCTGCGAGCCTCTGTGGGTGTTGTCCAGGAACCATGAAGACAAGCACAAAACAGCAAACGCATGGCCCGCTCGAGTCACTCGGCTATGCACGCTTCGGAGACTTTCGAACAGACAATAGGAGGCCCTAAGTTGACCACCAAACGTGCTCATGGATTGTGTGAGATTATAAATATAGGTCCATCCAACCTGGCTGCTTGTCAACCGGCACTGAGCACAATCTACTAGAAGTTCGTCCCTTTTGTTCCAAGAACCGGTTCGCCCAGTGGTGTACTTGTGCGACAGCCTATCGAACCACACAATCAGATACTCAAGCCTCAGGCATTCCTCGGCTCACACTACCTCCACAAAATGGCTGCCACTTCCACTTCACCAGAAAAGCAGATGTGGGAGGACCCGAAGGTTGCTAAGTCCTACGCTTCGGCAGAGACCATCACAGGCCCCTACGCGCAGCGTCTACTCGAGCGGACATTGGCACCCGATATTGAGGGTGACAAGGAGCTGGAGGTGCTAGATCTGGCCTGTGGCACAGGAATCGTGTCAGCCAAACTCATGGAGATACTCAGCCAAACTGCGACGCGCGGTGTGAGTAGCCCGGGGTTGAACCTGACATGCGCCGACTTCAGCGAAGCAATGGTCGAGCTTGTCACCAGCCGCATGAACACGGCTGGCTGGAAGAACACCAAAGCCGTCAGGGCCGACGCCATGGATACCGGCCTTCCCAGTGCCGAATACACGCACATACTGATGAACTTTGGTCCAATGATCGTACCAGACTGGGCAGCTGCGCTGCGCGAGATGCATCGTATGCTGCAACCCGGTGGTACCCTAGGGCTCTCGTCGTGGAAAGAACTCGGCTGGTACGCAGACGTGAGCGCTGCATTCGCGGAAGACCCTGAACTGCCAGCTTTTCCGGCAGCTGACAAGATGAGCAATCTCATGGCCGTTAACGGCCACTGGGATGATGACCAATGGATCAAAGAAACAGTACAGGGGACCGGGTTCGAGGATGTGTCGGTGGAATCTATGCCACACAAGACCACTTTCCCGAATGTAGATGACTTCTTCCCCTTCATTACAGGCACATTAGGCTTCGTTGCAGGAAGATACTGGACCAAAGAGCAAAAGGACAAATATAGTGATCGAGCAAGAGCTGTTGTCGAGAAGTACATGAGGGATAAGTACGGTCAGGGTGCGATTACCTGGGATTGGGTGGCTCTTCTGACCACAGCGAAAAAGCCAGCCTGAAGGACTCAGACTGGGGAGCGCATCGTCGTTCGGCTGGAGCGCAAGCAAAGCATATCCAGATGACGCTTTCGTTCGAGGTGCTGTGTTCCACCCTTTTCCCTACCTCAGGGGCTCCTTGGCAACATAGCCAGATCTTGGAAGAACGGAACATAGTGGAGTTGTTGTTAGGTAGTCAATGTGACTGTAAGGGCTTACCTCTGCTACCAGCTCGCTTGTGGGACTGGGAATAGGAAGTTCTAACCCTTGACATACATCATCAAACTGCGACATTGCTCGAATTTAGCCAAGTAAAGGCCAAGTCGTGTGCCATGACCCCGTCGTGATAATCAGAAGAGTGAACATGGAACTGGTGGTCAATGCGGAGGAGACATGTGCGAAGTGGACCGCCTGACACCGGAGTGGCGATAACAAACTCCCACAATTTTTCTTCCAAAGCCTCCGTCATAACAAGAGCCCTAGGCTGACTTTAGGGCAGACTCCTGACAAGCAGAGACGCCATACTCCGGCAGGATGGCCGTCAAGGGCCGAATTCAAGCCACGCATGTTACCGTCATCAACGAAGCAGTCACTCCGATCGGCCAATGCCATGATGGCGGCGGCAATGTTGAGCGTAGAACGAGATACTGTAGGCCAGCGACGTCGACTTCAGTGAACTCCGTCCAGACCGCACCCATGACCAGGATGCATCGAGTGGCATCTTTGGGCGAGGTCAACGCTGATAGTACTCGCTTGCGCGATGCAATCTGACTCGTGCTCTATTGGATAAAAACCGGGACATTGAGCAGCTTCTCGTGCACGAACGCCCATATCAGGAGCGTCTTCGGACGAGGCAAACCGGCAACTTCCAGAGCCGAGCAGATATTTGTCAAACTTCCATTCTCCTATTCTCTTGGTCCGAGTCCGAGCGTCGAGCCTGACTCGCCGTCGCCCTCGTCAAGTAACCAAGATCCCGGGACTTGGGGGCAACGATCGGAGGAACCACCACGTGGAAAACCCAAGGATATGGCAGAGCTGAAAGATCCGGTGCGGGACATCGGCAGACGTATCTCGGTGTGGCATAGTGCCTCGCAAAATTCGCCGTAGGTGATGAGGCTATTGAGTGCACGGGCGGACGAGAGCAAAAAACCACGAGGCATGAATGGGGACGCCGAAGCTGAACCTGACTTTTCTGTTCGCCCAAGCGAGCCGTGGATCCCCGGTCTCATTCCGTGTCGTCGGAGATATGATGAAAGACAGAGTCTCAACCCGCGATGTCACTCGAAACGGGTACGTAGAGGAAAAGTGGTAATATGGCGCATGTTCGGGGAGAACTCACTCAGGTATAAGAGAATGGGAAAGTTCTTGGTAAGGGTAAAATGCAACTCACTTCCAGAATCCCTGATACTCTCCATCAAGTTGCACTTCAAAGAATCCGATTCCTTCGACTTTTCAGCTGCACGTCATATGCAGGGACGAATATTCCTCTTTCTTGGTTGAACCAGTAAACGAGCAAGACCTTGAAACCCTTCAGAAAGCGGCTGGGGCATTGATACCCTTTCTCACATGTTTTACTCCTCCATAGCCTATAGGCACCTTTAGGCACCGATAGGCATATCGTCTAGAGGATCTGCCCCCTAAACCGTGCTAGGCCACCCTTCAATTCCCGAGCGGTGAAGCTTATCGCCGCCCCTACCACCCGCTAAACCATCCACTACCGGCACGCCTAAGGCCCAATCGATCCTCCGAACGCGAACGCCGGCCAACCCGGCGCTTCCTCTGCAAAGCAACTCTGCCTGCGCCGGTGATTGCTCCATACAATCTCCACCTTCACTGCGCGGTTCCCTCCTAGACACCTTTTAGTGACCTTTAGCAAACACCAGCCTAACACGACTCTACAACCTACATTGTACTACTGTACCGCCCTACGCTTCTACAGAAGATCTGGACCTGATCTTCTTCTCTCCTCCCTCTCACTATTCTTTGCGTGACCACTGCGGCCTTCCCCTCCTCCGAGCCAGCTGCTCACCGGCAGCCTCAACGGCTTGCACTTCTCGGGAGTTGCTGGTCACCTCGAAGATCATCTGTTTATCTCCGAAGGCGACCGTCGGTCCTTCCTCACCTGGGCCGGAACTCGTCAGGAATGCTACAATCGTGTCCTGTGGCACAACGTCCAACACTACACTGGCTGTATCTTAAAGACAGCTTTCCAGAGCGTTATGCTCACTTTTGCGCTCCCGCTCCATCAAAGACCTCAGCGACACAATACCCAATGTCAACAAACACACAGACCACCATGACGCCGCGGACGGAGACGCCTACAAAACAAATGACTCCTTCGGACGACCACATGTCGACCTTCCCCTCCATGGCCTCTCTCGCACTTCCAGAGAGTGTTGAATTGCCGCCCTCGCCCCAATATGAGGCTCCCGAACTTCCGTCCTCGCCGTCGCCTGCATCCTCGCCTCGAGTCGAGGGCGGATCCCAAGCAGACCGCGCCGAATATTTCTCCCTCACTACACCACCTCGGACCCGGCCACTATCTCCCTCAGGAAGGGTGCGGCCGCTGTCGACAGGAGGAAGCACCATCCTACCGCCTATGCAACGAGCTCACTCCTCACCTGGCGTAGATTCCTCTGGTCGATACATTACCCCTTATGCCACAAGCAGAAGACCCTCTTCGCCGTTGAATTCTGGAAGGAGGAGGAGTCCACTGAGGTCGGCTATGGAAGAGACATACCCAAATCACAGCAGCCTGTCATCCTGGAGTGGTCTGAACATTGAACCAAACATACCGGAGAATGCAGAGCTTGAGTTGGCTGGGGATGTTGAGGCTCCGCAACCTTCACCTGTTGCCTCATATTCCAACACATTCCCCAGATCTCGTCGTCGTATACCCCTGCACCAAAGTGCGAGCGCACCGTCATTACACGCCAGAGCCGTCAGTCCGAGCTTGTCTGGGAGAGTTTCGCCATCGCCATCCTTTACTTCGCAAAAATACGCTTACGAACCTTACCCGTCGTACTCATACAGCTCCGCCTCCAGTATGCCCAGTACGCCCACATCTTTTCGGTCGCGGTCACCATCTATCAGTTCTTTGGAGACCATTGAGGATACTCCAGATGCTGAGGAAGCAGCCCTGCTCCAAGACGAAGAAGCAAAATTGAAAGGCGAAGAGGGCGACATGATTGAGACACGTAGGAAGAATTCAATGGAGAGTCGAGCAAACAACTTGCGGAGCAACAAGGAGAGGAAGCGATGGTCCGTATGTGGGGCCGAGAGGAGGGCAGACTTCTCCCTGGAGCCTATCGAAGAATGATGGAGTGGCAATGGATTGTGATGACATGCGACTGCGTGAGCCACGAAAAAGGGCGGGCCCCGTTGAAGTTCGCATAACCTTGGACATGGCAGCAGCCAGCGTTCAAGGCTTTCAGAGAGGCACAGTTCAAGTTGAACAGAGATACCCAGATGGCAGTGTATTTTGCTTTTGCGACGGCGTCTGGATTGGCCAACAGTCAGGGTGAGCGGTTTTAGTTGCCACGTATGGCTTTATGAGAAATGCGAATATGATATGACAGACTCGACCACTGGTCGAGTTCAGAACAATCTTTTTATTTCCTTTTGTTCAGTTTTGATTTGTGTTCTGTTGTACTACTCGGAGTACTGTAACGGCAGCGCAGCCTCGTCGGAGGTATTTTAACGCCGCAGACCCAGGGCGAGGCTGAACCCTGCATGAAACAACACGAACATCTGGCCCAAATAATCCGCTGCAGTGACATGAGCCCGCCCAGTCAGTCAACAGTTGACGCTCAGACAGCGCCATTAGGATATCCCTTGCTGTAAGTCGCGGCCTGCCGACAAACCGGGCTCGACGTCGACGGCCGCTACACGTGATAGATCTCGAAACGAACAGCTCCCAAATGAGGGCTTCCATAAAGTTCATCCTTGGAGAGTAGCGACTCGGACGGTTCCGCGGGGCTCCTCCTTCAAGTCGAAGCAAGCACTGCAGTGCCCGCTGTACCAGTAGCGGATCAAGAGAGGAATACGGGACAAGATGGAATCCTTTGAGAAACATGGACTAGACGAGTCGGCCTTTGGCGATTCGGGGCTGGCTGGGCTAAAGACATTTGACGCATTTCGTGAGTGGTACACCCAGAGGATCTGGGACCCTACTACCCTTTGCTTCAAGTTGAATGCTTAAATTCTTGTTATTCCTTACATTGTACACTGCAGCAAATGGGCCACTGCCCTCCGAGTCCATGGCTCCGGAGTCGGGTGGCCGCGGCTTTTGCGCCTTGCGTGCATTTTGTTGTCTACGAACTACCTTACGCGCGATGTGTTTTATTGCAGTGGACTGACAGATGTGGGTGTGTGTTATTACAGCGAAAACGAAGCCAAGCTACACATCGACAACGACTCGCGGCGGACAATGGACGGTAGCGATCATGATCCTGTGCGCGTGCCTGACAGTAACTGAGCTGCGGACATGGTGGCGGGGCACCGAAACACACCACTTCTCAGTCGAGCGCGGCGTGGGCCACGAATTACAACTGAACCTTGACATCGTGGTGGCGATGCCATGTCGCGACCTACACGTCAATGTGCAGGACGCAGCAATGGACCGGATCATGGCAGGCGAGCTGTTGGCAAAAGAAGACACGAATTTTGAGATCTGGACGGATCCACGACAACGATGGCGGCGCCGACAGAAGAATAAAAACAAGCAATATCAGGATCTACACGGAGGCGACGAGCAGCGCCAGCGACAAGAGGAAGAGGACTCGCACGTCGGACATGTGCTGGGCCACATGCGCGAAAACAAGGGCCGCAAATTCCCCAAGTCGCCGCGACTGCGGGCCGGCATGGCCGTCGATAGTTGTCGTATCTACGGGTCGCTCGAGGGCAATAAAGTGCAGGGGGACTTCCACATCACGGCCCGGGGCCACGGATACATGGAGTTCGGCATGCAGCAGCACCTGGACCACTCGCGGTTCAACTTCTCGCACCACATCAACGAACTGTCCTTTGGCCCACATTACCCTGGTCTGCTGAATCCGCTGGACAAGACTTCGGCCGTTACGACTGATGTCCACTTCATGCGATATCAGTATTACCTATCTATCGTGCCTACCATCTTTACCAAGCGTCGCGTGTCTACGAGTTCCGGGGCTCTCGATCCCGCCGCCATTCCTCAGCCTCCGACATTAGATCTCACGCCCAACGACCACCGCGACAAGGACGGCGTTGTCAGACACGTCCCCAACCCACATGCTGGGAGGGACTCCAAGTCCGTCTTCACGAATCAGTACGCCGCCACCTCCCAGAGCCGCGAGGTGCCCGGGAACACCGTGCCCGGCGTCTTCTTCAAATATGACATTGAGCCTATCTTGTTGATCGTCAGTGAGCGCCGCTCCAGCTTCCTGGGTCTCATCGTCAGACTCGTCAACGTCATCAGTGGCGTCTTGGTCGCTGGCGGCTGGATGTTTCAGATTTCAGAGTGGGCTTATGAGGTTTGGGGCCGGAGGAGGCAGAGGAGTACGGCGGGCATGGGAGTCATTAATGGTGATATCAATGGGGATTTGGATCGAAAAAGATAGAAATCGCGAAATCGCTCTTCAGTATGGTTATAAACAAGCATGGTTACATGTAGTTCCGAGAGCCTCAGCCGGCGTTCAATGTGAGACGAAAACGTAAGATTACTTTTTTTCCTGCTGGGCCAGGCTCTTTGAAGCGCGCGAGCAGTGTACTGTGTTGTACCATCTCATAGACACTACGTTCTCAAAGGTCCTCACCAAACTTGAAGGGCATAGTGCATTGCCTTACCCCTTTGAGAAACAATCTTGGAGTATAAACCCATGAGCTCTTCAAGTTGATAATGCTCGACGAAGGTCGGTGCTTCCAGGCACAACTTGAACGACATCAGTCACTGCAGATAAAGCTGCATCGGCCACCTAGGTGTCGGCCAGATGCGTTCCCGAGGAATCAATGCCAGAAATGGCGCATTTAATCCTAACGAACTAATCTGGCTTCTCCGGATCCTCGGCAAAATGGCCTCCAGTTTATTCCCTAGGTCATCTCATATCGAGGCGTTGGTACAGACATCGAAGTCGTAAACTCGTAAAATTCCGTAAAAAGTACACGCCTTCCGAGAGGACGGCAAAAGAGATCGAAGCCGCACACGTCCATGACCGCTCTCATCCACCTCAGCCTGAGGACTCAGAGACGACGCTATGTCATTAAAAAACCGAAATCTCAGCATGGACAGATGTGGTTATTATTCCAGGCCATTGTGTCAGGAGCCATTGAGCCTCCATGTCACGATGCAGCATGGCTTGAAGTAGTAGATGCGGTTCGTTCAGCAAACCAAGTTGGTGGGACATGCTCAAGAGGCCACCCTGCCATGTGCCACGACGTCCCGGTAGACATCCTCCGGGAGTTCTCTCACGATCAGAACCGTCATCTTGATCACCTCGTCAGCATTGAGGGCAGGGAAACTCCTCAGTAACTTGGCGGGGCTGGGCTCCTCCAAAAGCTTGTCCTTGAGCAACAACAGTTGTGCTACGACACATATGACGTTGAGATGTACTCCAAAGGCGAAGAGGAAATCCCACAGCTTCAAGACCTCAGGAAGAGGCGGCGTGCATGCACAAAGCGTCAGGACGGATGGAAAGGCGTAGATCTTGGCCGGTAGAGATTTACTGAGCAAGAATGATGAGAGGGTCGGGTTGATGTATGAGAGAATTCGGTCAATCAAGTCCAGTCCTCTATGCACGCCGGACATGGTGGGAGAAAGGTAGGAAGGAATATGCTCAGTCAAAAGACAAGTGAGAAGGGCGTAGGCCTGAGCTTCCGACCTAGAGGCATACAATAATGGTGCTGAAAGGACATTTATGCCTTGGAGGTACGTCGCCTGCGGGTATCTCTGAGCGAATTCGGAGCGAGGTTCGGAATTTTGTTCATCGTGGATGCGCCAGGCTGTGGCATTCAATAGTCTAGTGAGACTTGCGTCGGTGACGCGCCGTTTGAACAGCGTATCGGTCGCGAGGGTGCGGAACACATCATTCGAAATCTTCTCGTAGGCAGGACTCCGACTGCGGTGGATCAGGTTGAGGTATGTATCGGTGGGTAGAGGAGCCACATTCAACAGCGTGAGCCACAAGTATATCCGATAATCTGACATGCCTTCCTTGGTCGCCGTGACACCGCTAGTCAAGATCGAATGGCGAAGTAACGACAGCGCAGACGAGGGCGTGGTCCCTGGAGGAGGACCGTCGCGCAATGTCATTTCCAGGCTGGATTTCCGAGCGTGGCTGGCGATGTGATTCGAGGAAGGGGTTGAAGGGGGTGGCCGGCGTGAACCTCGTGGGACATATGGTAGAGGAGCGTCACTATTGGCACGAGCTCGTGAAGCAACCGTAGTGTTTGTGCTGGACATGTTCGTATTGGCATGGGATGAGGTTGGTGCTTGATGTAGTTGTTCTCGTGAGGGCTTTGTTGACACTCCTACCCGCGGTCTCAGGTTCGACGATTGGGTGCCCATGTTGCCGGCGGAGGAGAGTTGATTGTGGGATTGCAGTCTACGCAGCCCACGGGATTTTTCGTAAAAGGTCTGGCTCGGAAGCGTGTTCTTCTCAGGTGAGTCGGGCAGCCTCACCGAGGTCGGGTCGGGAGATGGAGGGAAGACATGTCGACTGGCGTCCAGCTTATGTGGGGAGAGAGACGCGGTCATGATGGTGTGTTGATTGTTGATCGATGCAGTGTGGTTCTCGGGAGGACGCCAGCGGGAGTGCTAGTCGAACGAGGCGCGAGGACGGGAGGACGACAGGGAAGCAGGGAGGACATGGAAGAGGGCGCCTGAGTTTGTGGTCTATTTGATCTGGAGGGAACCTGAAGCGAGTACGATCGCATGCAGCAGGATTTAGTGGTAGAGGTGGAGGAGTGTTTTCTTGGGTGTTCAAGATTGTAAACCAGCCACTGACCCAGTTTGGACGTTTGGGGGCCGCGGTCGCAGCGGGAGACGCAGACACAGCGCCCGGAATCCAGCACTGCAGATAATAATATTCGTCAGTGCCCCGCCAAACTGCGCCCTGGAATTTGCCCGGACGCGACTCAGCGCGTTCGCCTGGTGTCGGGCAGGGATCCGGGGTTGCACTCAGATTTCAGGACGAGCATCGCTTCAGCTCGACCAGATGAGATGAAGTGTCGAAGTCAATAATAAACATGTATGCATAGGTAGCAATGTTGTACAGACCATCGTCGCCCGATCTCCAATTCGCCCACGCGCAATGACCTGCAGCACCGCGCACGCTCTCATCACATCGCCCCAGCCATTCGCTCGCTAAAGACAGTGACAAGCGCGACCAAATGGCTCCTCCGGGCTCAAACGATCTACAACGTTGTACGGCGTGCAGCCTCCCGGTCTCGCCCATCTCCACCTCCACCAGACACACCGCCAAAATGAACCACTTTCAAAGTCTGATTGACAACCACGCTCTATCCTCCTCCCAGACTTCGACTGGCGGTTAGAATTCCGCTTCAACCAACAGAGGCATCCGACTATGCTCAGTCTGATGTGAATTCATATCGAGCTGTGCTGGACTGAAGACGGAGACTTGTGGCAGCCAACCAGCACCAAGTTTGATTGCGCGTTGTACCGCAATGGCAGGACGTCGCCCTTCCGAGACCAGTGCTCTCCTCAGTGAACATGGGATTGACGACATACGAAAATCCATAGCCCAGGTCGACCAACGGCTTTATGGTACTGCTACGGACGATGATACAGCTCTTGACAAGAATGAGGACCTCGAGACCAATTGGAAGACCGAAACCGGTCTTCTAGCTCGATACTCTGGGCCCCTGATACTGACCTATGTGCTACAATACTCTTTCAGCCTGGTCACTGTCCTGGTAGCTGGTCGTTTAGGCACGAAAGAGCTTGGAGCGGCGTCGCTCGCGACCATGACGGCCAACATCACGGGTCTATGTGTCTACGAAGGACTGGCCACGAGCTTAGACACGCTGACTTCTCAGGCATTCGGCAATGGGAAAAAGCAGTTGGTGGGGCTACACGTCCAGCGCATGTGTATGTTGGTATGTGTTGTGACAATTCCAATTGGCGCTGTCTGGGTGTGCTCACCATGGATTCTATCTGCGCTGGTGCCGGAGAAGGACGAAGCTGTCTTGGCCGGCACTTTCATGAGGATTTATCTGATGGGGGCTCCCGCCTGGGCGATATTTGAAGCCGGAAAGCGGTTGTGCCAGGCTCAAGGTGACTTTACTGCGTCGCTCGCCGTAATCGCCTTCTGTGCCCCCTTGAACGTGCTGTGGAACTGGCTCCTTGTCTTTCATTTCGAATTGGGCTTTGCAGGCGCTGCCTGGGCCGTTGTGATCTCCAACAACCTCCAACCCATTGTTTTGGCTATCTACATACGATATTTTGCGCCGTCAAACCTCCAGTGTTGGCCCGGGCTAGAGCCTCGTCGAGCGTTCCAGAACTGGGGCCCAATGATCAAATTGGCCATTCCTGGAGTGCTCATGACTTTTTCCGAGTGGCTGGCCTTTGACATTCTTACCATTGCCGCCGGCCATCTGGGCGCAGCCAACCTAGCGGCTCAGTCAGTTCTGATGACCGTGGTGGTCACCATATACCACATTCCCTTCCCGATCTCGATCGCTGCGTCGACCCGATTTGGCAATCTGATCGGGTATGGAGCCTTGAACGCGGCTCGCACGGCGTGGAGGACACATTATCTGATCTTCATGTGCATTGGCACATTTGACGTGATCGTGCTAACTTCATGCCGACATATTATTGCAGCCGTTTTCACCACCGACGAGACTGTCCGCGCAGTCGTCTCTTCGGTCCTTCCCATCACGGCCGCCGCACAATTCTTCGACGCCCTTTTGGCCATTTCCAACGGGCTGTTGCGTGGCCTGGGAAGACAGAAGGTAGGCGGCTGGGTCAATCTCGGGGTCTATTACCTTTTCGCCCTGCCACTGTCGTTCCTTTTGACATTCGGGCCGCCACACATGGGCTTAGGGGGGCTGTGGATTGGCCCATGTTTGGGTCTGGCTGTTGCGAGCATCATGATGGCAACATACATGCGTTTGACAGACTGGCAGAAAGCCGTCGACGATGCTCGGGAGCGGGAGGAGTGAACTTGTAAGCAAAAGAGCATCTCGATGTGCTAGCTACCATTACGTCGGCTTGGTCATACATGAGTTTGCCGGAATTGCGCGGGATGCGATAGATCAAAAGCAGGAGACATTTGGGGTAGATTTGTTTTGGAGTTAGTAGGTAGAAAGCAGTATCAGAACGGTACTTATGAAGGCAATATCGTGGTCGACATGGACGTGGACATAGATCATTCCGCTTCTTTATCTACAATGCTCAAGTTAGGATTTATGTCTCACTCCACGTTGCTTCTCCATGTTTAATGTCGATCCACATCCATGACCACCGAAAGGGCAGCGCCGGATACACAAGTAACCGCTCTCCCTCACCACCCGGCGGCGGGCACCGCATTTTTTGGTGCTTTGCCGCCGCCAACCGCAACCAACCGGGGTTTGCCGGCTTCGTCTGGCATCACATTGCACCACAACTTGAACCTTACCGCAACCTGCCATCATTCTGATGCCCTCCTGACACGCAACATTATCATCGCGGATTCAATTCCTTAATGGCATATAACTGCAACGGTTCCATTGAGCTGGTTGCTGACCGTAATCCCGCGCCTGGATCAGTGCCGCGATCCGAACATTCCATATCACTCTACATTGTATACGTCAGACGCAAGATAAGTGCTACTAACTTAGGTACCTACTAGGTGCCCTTCTATTTCTTTTTCTCTACCCATACTAGTAGTGAGATCCGTCTACCTCCGGTTACCACTGCAGTGTCCTGCGGTCCATCTCCGTTCCGATCCAAAAGGTCTCCTTGAGGGGAGTTAAAGCAAGTGTACCGTTGAAGGATACAAGCATACTATCCACATACATACTGGGCGAGGACGTCTGTCTTTACGAGGTGCTAGTATCACATCATGGCCAACGCCAACGCCAGCCACGTCGACTTGACGGAATATCTATTCACTCGAATCCACCAGCTGGGAGTGCGGGCGGTGCACGGGGTGCCAGGCGACTACAACCTCACGGCGCTGGACTACATCGAACCAGCCGGATTAGAGTGGGTGGGCAATGCCAACGAGCTCAACGCCGGGTATGCGGCGGACGGGTATGCACGCGTTCGGGGGGTGTCGGCGCTGGTGACGGCGTTTGGGGTGGGCGAACTGAGTGCGATCAACGCGATCGCAGGGGCATACGCGGAGCGAGCGGCGGTGATACATATCGTGGGCACGGCGCCAACGCACGCGCAGCAGCAGGGGCTCTGCATGCACCACTCGCTGGGGGACGGCGACTTCAGGGTGTTTGCCGACATGTCGGCCAAGATCACGGTGGCACAAACGAACCTGATCGACCCGGCCACGGCTCCCGCAGAAATCGACCGGTGTCTGCGTGAATGTGTCGTGCAAAGTCGCCCCGTCTACATCGAGCTGCCGACCAACATGGTGAAAGCACGAGTTTCGGCCGCGCGCCTGTCCACGCCCATTGATATCTCAGTGATCTCGGCCAACAACGACGCGGAAGCCGAAACAAAGACAGCCGACCGGATCCTCGAGCGCATCTACGGGTCCAAACAACCATTCATCATTGTCGACGGGTTCACCTCGCGCTACGGCATCAGCGACGAGGCCGACGAGCTGGTGCGCGTGACGGGGTTTCCGACCTCGACCACGCCGTTCGGCAAGGGCATTGTCAATGAGACGTACCCCAACTTCCACGGCATCTATGCCGGCATGGCCGGCAAGCAGATCTACATGCCGTGGGCGAGAGGGTGCGACGTTGTGATCCGTTTGGGTCCTTTACCCAGCGACGTCAACACATTCGGCTTCAGCACGACGCCGGACCCCAAAACGGCAATCACTTTCGAGCGAGACTCGGTCGAGTTCGACGGCTCCAAACACACAGGGCTGCACGTCAAATCACTCCTGCGCAAGATTTTGCAGCGGCTCGACCCGACCAAACTGCCCAAATACGACCCCTACCCGGATCTAGGTGACCCACGCGCACAACTGGACGCACTGCCGCCCACGGGCGAGGACGACACCATCGACCAAGCCACCTTTTACCAGCGCATGTCGAATTTCTTCCGATCTGGCGATATCGTGCTGACCGAGACGGGCACGCCGTCCGTGGGCGGCCGCGATTTCGTGTTGCCACCGCACACCAAGCTGATCAACTCGTCTCTGTGGTTGTCCATCGGATACATGCTCGGAGCGTGTGCGGGCGCGGCATTGGCCCAGCGCGAAATGATAGCGGAAGGGCTATGGCCTCCAAGAAGCGAGAAGAAAGGAAGAGCAGCAGCAGCAGCAACAGAAACAACGTCAGGCAGAACCATCCTCTTCGAAGGCGACGGCAGCCTCCAAATGACAGCCCAAGTCTTTTCCGATATCATCCGCAACCGTTTGGATGTTGTAGTATTCATCCTCAACAACGACGGGTACACGATCGAGCGCTGGATCCACGGCATGCGCGCCGGATACAACGACATCCAGCCCTGGCGATACCTAGACGCGCCCAGCTATTTCGGCGCAGACCTCAACGACCCCGACTACCCGGTCTTCACGGCCCGGGCCGAGTCGTGGGGTCAATTGGATCGGATTGTGGACAGCGAAGCCCTCAAGAAGGGGAAAGGTCTCAATATCGTCGAGGTCATCATGGCTAGGGAAGATGCTCCTGAAGTTCTGAAGAAGTTGGTCGAAAGCACGTCGAGAAGAAACAGTGGCGCCTCGGTCGATTTGTCTGTCGAAAAGGACCGTCCAAAGGCCATTACGCATGAAGAAAAGGTCATGAAGGTGGCTGGTTGAAGAAGATTGCTACATATATAGAGGAAAAAAAAGAAGAGAGGGAATCAATGGGTATAGTAGATACGGTGGTTAGTTGTGCTGCACTGCATGGCATAAGATGGTCCTGGATGGTTGGCCAGCTATGGTTTTGTATGGTTTTGTCGTCGTCACTTAGTATATTCTGTTCATATCCCAATATCTACTCTTTGCCTCGCCTTATACATAGCTAGTACTGCAGCGGTTGGGTCCATTTTTATTTTCCCTTCTTGGACAGGCCAGGCCCCCAGTCACAGCTCACTAAGCCGTGATCCAATCCAACCACCAGACAGCGGTGACTCCATACGCGCCTCAGATCGATTTGAATATCCTACTGCAGTGGTCGTAGGCCTTTGGGAGGGAATGGGAAAGGGTGAAATAGGAAAGCGTGAGCAGACATGGCGGGAGGGTCAGAACAAGCATCCTGGACCAAAAGACACCATCAAACACAGATGGTTCCATTCATTTTATTTCGCTCAGATTATACAGGGCTAATCAATCGTTCTCTTCGTGACAGCATACCGAATCCAATACATATCTTTCAACTTTACTTCCTGATCGCATACAGCAAGCACTTCTCCCACCAATCCCGAAGCAGGAGCACGGTGGCTCTCCCATCATCACGCCTCTCCGTTCCATCGGGATTGCCCATGATGATGGCAAATATCCAAAACACTGCAACCACCCACGCCGCGACCGCAATGGGGATACTCAGAAGAGGAGATACCACATGGATGAAAACCAAACAGAAGGGACTAAACTCGAAGGTATGGACGTCGTCCAACGACCTGGCGCATATCATCTGGAGATGGTTCCGAAATACTGGAGCAACCATGCGGACGAGAGGCGTGCTCGGCGAGCAATCTCGGCGACATAGTCGGAGAGGAAGAAGTAGAGTCACCGCGAAGACGGCGAAGACCGTGTACAGCGCGCTGAAGAAACAGTGCAAAGGGTCGAGAAAGGACATCCAAAACTAGTTTCTCATCGTCAGTACAAAGTTGCGAAACCTGCCTGCAAGCACAGACAACACGCCCACCTACCAGAATCCACAAGGCATGGTCATCTTCCCGTTCCTCTTCTACATGGTCTTCATGTATGTAATGGAACACAGCCGAGTTGTTTTCCACCATCTCCGACCGCGCCATGTCGCTCCTACGACGGCCATTTTCCGTCCGCCAACCGGGATGCGACTCCCTGCTTATCGTCGTTTCCATATAGCCCCCCTCAATCTGAGGACTGTACTGATATGATGGCTGTAGGTAGTTCTTGCAGTCCGAGCTGGCGGACGAGCCGGACCCGCCGCTGGAGATGGAACCGGGCACTCGATTCGGTTCGGCTCGCTGAGGCGGTGGAGGACACGTTCGAGGATGTGGGCTGACATGGGCAACTGGGGGCGGCAGTAACGAAGAGAACGGCGGATATGGATGTTGGTACTGGGTCGTCTCAGAGGTAGGGTTCGTTGATTGTTCATAGTACGTTGCAGACTGTCTCATGGGCGGCCACTTCGGCTCAGATGCCATGGTACTGATCAAGCAAACAAAAACGAGGTGGCTCTTCCGGCACAGGTCGTCTCATCACCACACACACAAAGAGGTGGGTTAAGCTGGTCCGAGGTCGGCGATGAGGCCTGAATGAACAGGACTTTCCGAACAACGAAAACGAGAGGACATGGGGAGCCAGCGAGCATGAAATAGGGACATGGTTATAAGAAGGAGAGCAGCGGACAGCAGAGGAGGGCCACGACAGTCTTGTTCTTGGGATCATCCTCCGCCATCTCGCCCTCTGCGCTGCTGGGCTCCTTGTGCCAATGCTTGGCCGACTGGGCAAATACTTGGCGATGGATCGTCTCTCGACGGAGTGCACGCGATACTGTACCTCTGCCGTGGAGAAAGATCCCCCGGATACTAGCAGTATGATGCATGTTGATTGCTGTCTGGTCGCTGGCCACAATCGAGACACTTTGCCCACGATATCTAGCCATGTCGGTGGTATAAACTCAGCGTAGACATGATCAGGAAGGACGCGTTCAATCAGGCTGGCAGTGGGACTGGGATCTTGGAGCCCAGCTGCCCAGGACTTGGCGAAATGTCGACTCGTCACAGGCCGCCGCAGGAAGATTATTGGCACTGCACGGCGCTGCACTTGCACTGGCAAGGGCCCATGGCGTGCGCATTATTACAATATGTTTTGGAGGAGCCGCAGGGGCCAGCCAGAGAGCCTGCCGCGCTGCAGGCTTCGCCGCCGCCTACCACTAGCAGCACCCGGCTCTAGCATACTACCAGTAACTTGTAGGGTTCAATATGCCCCGGATATATTTGCTCGCGGCGAAGCATCTTCTACTAAGACATACAACGTGATCCTATTGAACGTGTGCCATGCAGTGCTAAGGTTGTGAACACTCTACAACTGTAGAGCCTCGATGTCTGGGAAAATCAGTTTGTTCCACATCCCCGGCAATGGCCACCGTATTCAAACCACCCTGGCAGCTGGAAAAACACTCAATTTATAGCCCGAGAAATTCGATACGGCGAGGAGCCTCAGGGCGAATACAAAAGGTAAGTAAGCATCTGAAGGTCAACTAAAAGACTCGACTCAAGGCGTGGCCAGAGACAAGGCTTCAACCACGTATCTACAAGTATATTGTAGGTATATGTTTGAGACCATGTTCCCTGCATCTGTTTGATATCGGCTGTCGGTCGCATCCGCAGCCGGGGCACCGTCACATGACCGGGAGTTTGCGCGAGATTCTGTACCAAAGTTGGACCAAACCGTTGACGAAAGGGCAACATGGTCCAGCCAGCAAGATTGAGGGTGACCATGCCGCTGAGCCCAAAAAAGACTTCACCATACTGCCGCAAACACGCAGCGGAAGAGCATAAGTGCACATTTGCAGCCACATGGTTGAGAATGAAATCGGCGCCTGCTATCCTCACCCACTTTGAATTATTCGTAAGCTCCTCTATTTGCCATGCACAGTCGCCATGTGTGTGCGATGGACCATGCAAACTTATTAAGGCACCAAACAGTCGGTTCTGCAGAAAAGATGGACAAATAGCTCTTGCCCAAACGGATCTCGACGGTGAGCCGGCCAATCTGGGCCCCGACATTTTCCCATATAGTAGAACTTGCCCTTACCACATAGCTCTTGGTGAGGTTCGTCGCCAGGACAGTCCTCCTGATTTATAGACGAATAATTCAATCATGCCACGAATCCGACTTCCTTCCGGATTGAGCTGCGGGTAAGGCCAAAGTCTCATGTCCTCCATCCTCGTACACGGTGACCAATGCTTGTACCGTACGGAAAAAGAGCACTTTCGACGGCTGCTGTGCCACGACAATCATCGGAATACACACCACCATGTACCTGCAAGTCAGTGGACTCGAGACAGCCGCTGACACCGTAGGCACGGAATCAAACTCGCATTGCATGGGTGCTGCGGAGGGTAGAGGAGGATGTCTGCCGCGGAGATCGGTGGACACTCATATGATAGGACAGCCGCCGGATTTGCCTGGCACCTAGGTGCCTGGGACTGCTGGTACCCTAGTTCGAAGGCACTGTGTCGTACCGCATGCCCGGGTCACGCTCACGGTTTCCTGGGTAGAAGAATCATGTTTGTGGTAGCCATGCGGCCAACCGACTAAGCTCTGCATGACAAGTCCTCTGAAACCTGGGTGGGTGCCAATCTAGCTGCAGTCATCCGAAGTACGTCTCACCAACTGTGGCCCATGAAATGTTTCGACTGCTTGTACAGAGAGCAATGGGAGAGACAGCTTCGAGAGTCGAAACGTGAAGATGCAAAGGTGCATGATGCATTGGTATAGCAGCGAAATATCTTCTTGGTGCGGATTGAGGCCAGCGGAAGCATTGTCTCTACATGGGAACATGCGTGGCCATGTCAGGCAGTTGTCGAAATCGTGATGACAGCGGAATCTGTACCAAGTCCGTGTGGGTGATACAAGGGGTTGACGCCGTGCGTGGCCTCCCTGACTAAATGTACAACCTGCCAATGCTTTGGTTGTGCTGCAAGGCGACAGGCGATGAAGGATGGAAGCTAGATGTCAAGAACCGTCACTCACGTCAACAGCCAAGCCAAGCGTGTTTGTGATGCAGAAGAGACGGGTTGATCGATTGATCGGCTGCCAGTGTCAGAGCTTACAGGAAAGGTACCTAGGTATTATTTGCCTGTCGAGATACGCCTCATTTCGATTGTTTGTGATGGGGTCAACGCTGGGAGTCGCTCACGTGACAAGCACAAAGCTTGCGCTTAGGCTGCTCCCGCTTAATCCCCGTTCTGGGCGAACGATCGGGCTGCAGTGCAGACTGGCACGTAACCACACCCAAGCCTGATGAGCCTCGTTGCCACCTAGGTGGTTGCGACCACCAGGAAGCGATATTATTGTTTGACTGCCTGTAGAGTTTCGCCAGCAGAAGGAGCCATCACTGCAAAATCCGTCTCCTTTGATCTCTTTGGTACCTTGACATGGTGCCGGATATGCCATCCTCCCCTGTGGTAGAAGCCCTCGGTATGCAGGCCAGAGCGTGATACAGCATTTTGCCGGCTAACATACCAGACCCTGCCATCTCCAGCCTGCGAAACGTCACGCTTTAAGAAGGCGCGCCTGTGGCACGGCGAGGGGCGGATGGCTGGCAGGATCAGAGGTGGAGTCTTTAGGTAACACGAGTATCGGCCGTTTGATTCGGAGTTCGCCCATGACGCCTGAAAGCCACAGTTCCCGAGCGTGCCAGGGCCTAACGATGCCCGGAACCTTGGCTGCAGCACCAGGCCTAAAGGGAACTCGCTAGTGCCCGTCCCTCGCCGCACTGAAAGAGCCACGGAAATGACGAGGCCTGGAACTCAAGCGATGGGATTCATGAAGAGAACGTCCCTTGGGTGGTAAGCGAAAATAGAGACATGCTGACGAAACAGGCACCAACCTGTCTGCTTCGCCTCGTCGATGCCTCGTCGATAACACATACATAGTAGGTCCGTCTACCTCAGGGGATGCAGCCCTGCCAGTCAAGTTGGCCGCAATCAAAGATCCGGAGCGGCCAGGTCGAGGCACGAAACACGAGAAGTTACTGTCCAATAAGTTGTACCCAGCTGTGCAGAGAGACCAGGAGGTGGTTGGCTGGGAATCGAATCTTCTGCCGGTCGCTTGCTCATCGCGCAGCGCCAGATTCTGGAAACAGGCGAAGATTGGCAGCAAGCTCGTGGAAGACAACGGGAAGCTAAGCCTCTAGGCGACCTTCCAGGTATCCTGGACTGTGGAGAGCGAAGCTCAGGAGGCATCCACGGAATGGGGCTGAGCCATGGAGCGCGAACAAGCCCCGGCGCGCCATGCACCAAGCGAGAAGCCGCCTTCTCCTGGTCAATCCTCTTCTCCAACAACAGGGGTGGCTCCTGCTGACAGGGGCTCTTTTCATTTCGTCACTGACACCTCCCTCCTATTCGTCGTTTACTAGGTATTATTATTGCGAGTCGAACGAACAGGGTGGCCCGTGCCTCTCCGCTCCTCGGGCCTGATTAGGGCTACCAAGGTAGTTCGACTCGGCTTCACGAGCCTCATCAAGGACTGAAAAACTCAAGATTGAGCGGATTTTATATAAGCTCTGGCTACTCATGGCAAGAAATGGGTGCGTGGTGAATGGAGCGCCGACGTCGGCGCAGGGACAACAGCCAGGGCACCCTTACAAAGGGAGCTCGAACTGGCCGGGGTCATGTCTGAGATTCGTCCTCAGCCTCGAGCACACTAATAAAAGCGCCGGCAGCAAACAACTCCGGGCGGAAAATTGGCCATGCGACAGATGAGATGTCCGAGGCAGAGCGTCGAAATATGCTTGATTGAAAAAATCCTTGACAGAATAATATAGTCTTCGCGACACCTCAGACGAATATAACAACAGCGGATGGGCACGGTGTTTATTACTATCACACGGAATCTCGCGTCCGCACACTGCGACCCAACAGAGACCCTGCGGCAGTGGTAGCCGTAACACGTACGGGAAGCGGCAGCAGGGGAAATCGCAGGCGCTTAGAACTCCGTATCCAGCTGACAGGACAGACATTTTTTATGTTTGGTGAGGGGACGCCACTATGGTGGAGGCCGAGCGGACGTTGATGTGAACCGCCAGTTCAAGATGTTCAGGTGAGGGCTTTCAAGGGCATCCAGTCCCCACCCACAGAACTGGCGGACCGACTGACTGTTGCTGCCCCTGCCAAAAACATCCACATCCTAGCCCACCCACCCACGGCTAATAACTGGCAGATCAGTCACTCAGGCTGGCACAGATTGTCGGCCACTGCAGGGCCAGTGCAGTGTGACTGGAGTGCGGTTCCAGCACCGCAGGTGGCACGGTGGCTGCCCGCTGACAACTGGAAGCATTGCATTCCGTTGCGCTGCAGTGCTAGTCCTCGTAGGCGGCCTCCACAACTGGCCACAACCGACTCCCAGTACTAGTGGTACCTGGTAGAAAGAGTACCAGGTAGTGCGGCCGGCAGGAAGTGTGTGATGCCAGTGGGCGGTGCGCCCGGGCCACTCAAGCTGCATGGAGCTCTTAGCCCAGACCCATCCCCATCACGCTGCATCCATCATCGCCCCGACGCCCATGACATGTATCCATTGCCGCATACATCCACTGGCACCCACAGGCACTGGCGCTGCATTGAGAGGCCCAAGCCGCTACCTAAAGCTTACCCACTCGCTCCCACTCGCCCTGGTGACCTAGTACAACCGTAGGCGTGATTAGGTACCCAGCACGCCCCATCACAACCCCCGGTTAGGCATGGCTTCCATGATTCCCAGCCCAGGTCCGACTAGTCGCGGTAGCGTGTGCCAGTGCCACCCCTCTAGCCCGATGTCAAAGTGACCCAGGACTTGAGATCTACCAGGCCGAAACCCTACCCTTAGTCGCTTCGTGTGCTTTTCTGTTCCATCTCATCAACTTTCCCTCCCATCTAAGGCCCCATCCCCCATCTCCCGTCGCCTAACTTCTCTTCCGGCTTCTTCTCCGTTGTGTTGCCTATCATTTTGCTCCCTTCTGCATCATTCTTGTTCAACACCACGCCGACTGCTGTGCTGCTTGCTCGCTCTCAAACCTTTGCTACTTCTCGCTCAACGTTTCCACCTTTCTGCGTCGGCGCTCGCCAAGTCATCACTGTTGGCGGACTAGCCTGCCGCCTTTCCGTAGCGACCGAGCAACTGTTGCAACGCACCAACCTTATCCTCGAAGCCTAGCCACAGTTCCCGGCCCAAGCCTTGCCCTGCATTTGTTCGAGCAAACTCTGTTAGCTCAAAGAGTTGGATAGTTGTGAAAGCTTGCCCGAGGCTGAGCTTCAGCCGGTACTCCGTGGTGGTTGAGCCTCATCTGGCTTTGATAGACGTCGCAGAGTCTTCGTTGCCCAATTTCTTGGCTGGGTCAGCATAGACCAAGGCCTAGGTGGTGACGATGGCGTTGGTTCCTCATCCCTCTCCTCCGGGCGTGCTCGGATTGCAACACGCGCCACACTTCAACCAAATGAATGGTGGTGGTGCTCCAGTGGACGCGCACATGCAGCGACAACGATTACTGGCACAACTCAACGAATCTACATGGCAAAGAATAGGTACGTTTATGCATTATATATTGTATGCCATGAACGATGAGGCTGACTGGCGTGATCGCAGGTTCACTGAATGAGTTACTTGGCGACAATGAAGGCGCTTTGTTCGCATATGAACAAGCTCTGCGACACAACCAATGGTCGCCTACGACCTTGAATGCGATCTCTGGCATCCTTCGCACCAAGGAGAAATATCCAGAGGCCATGGAGTATCTCAAGAACATCCTCAAGGTAGAGCCCGCTAACGGCGAGGCTTGGGGGAATTTAGGTACGGTTGGGTCCCGTCGCTTGGTGGACTTGGCTAACCCGCCAACTAGGTCATTGTTACTTGATGATGGACAACCTACAGGAAGCGTACACCGCCTATCAACAGGCCCTGTACTATTTACCCGATCCTAAGGTAGGCGACATCGCACCAATGACGCGCTCGCCATCTGACTCCCTATAGGAACCGAAGCTCTGGTACGGCATAGGCATTCTATACGACCGATACGGCTCCTTGGAACACGCTGAAGAAGCCTTTTCCCAAGTTATGCGCATGCAGCCAGATTTTGAGAAGGCCAATGAGATCTATTTCAGACTCGGCATAATATACAAGCAGCAACAAAAATTCCAGCAGAGTTTGGAGGTCAGTTACCTTGTCCGGATTGCACTGTGATTGGCATCTTAACCCTCGTTTAGTGCTTCAAGTACATTGTTAATGACCCACCGCGACCACTGAATGAAGAAGACATCTGGTTCCAGATTGGCCATGTCTACGAGCAGCAGAAAGATGTAAGCTCATTCCGGATGAATTGCAAGGAACATACTTACAGCCCTGCGTAGTTCGAAGCTGCAAAGTCTGCATATCGGCGCGTGTTGGAAAGAGACCCGAAGCACGCAAAGGTTCTTCAACAACTTGGCTGGTTACACCATCAGCAGAGCAACAGCTACCAGAGCCAGGAGCAAGCTATCGAGTATCTGGAACAATCTGTGAGCTCAGGTATGTGTCTCGCTGGAAATGCCCATGTATGGTCGACTAACTCGCTTCTAGACAATCAAGATGCTCAGAGCTGGTACCTTCTCGGAAGATGCTATATGGCTCAACAGAAGTTTCCCAAAGCATATGAAGCATACCAGCAAGCCGTCTACCGAGACGGACGCAATCCAACATTTTGGTGCTCTATTGGTGTTTTATATTATCAGATCAATCAATACCGTGATGCTCTAGATGCATACTCGCGTGCCATTCGACTGAACCCTTACATTTCGGAAGTGTGGTATGACCTCGGAACTTTGGTGAGTACTCTAACCTTCTGCATGCGGGAGAGCTAGTGCTGACATTGTTTCCAGTACGAGTCGTGCAACAACCAAACATCGGACGCCCTCGACGCATACGCCAGAGCTGCGGAGCTTGACCCTACCAACACTCACATCAAGGCGCGTCTTGCTCTTCTTCGAAGCGGTGTTCAAACCGGGCCCAACCAGCACAACGCTCCGGTGCCACAAGATGTCCATCCACAGGCCTATCAAAATGGCGTCGGTGTGCCTCCTGGTCCACAATGGGGAGCCCCTTCTTCAAACAATCAACAGTCTCAACAGGCTCCTGTTGACCCTGCCAGGGTCAGCGATTGGACAAGAGGCATTGCTGGCATTCAGCAACCACCGCAGCCTAACGGCTTGGAAGGTCGGGATAGCATGAGAGCTCCTCCTCCTCGTGCGCCCAGCCCACGTCAGGAAGCCTCGCGACCGTATGACTCAGCTCGGCAAACACCTAGCAGGAAAAGGCAATCGCCATCGCCTAAGTTGCAGCAGCAATCTGTGCCTGGGATGTATGCTCCTGGCCCTCAGACTCTGCCTCAGGTCAACCTGCAGGACCGTGGGCCTGGTTTCAATGGCGGCGTCCGTCCATCTCCTACCATGAGCGGAGCTCCTCCTCCACCCACTAATGGCAACACTCCCGGAACAACACTGCCTCCATATGGGCGACCTTTTAGTCCCCCTAGTGAGTTGAGGCCTCTGCGGGACGAGCATCCTCAGTCGCCGGGCGCTACATTCCGCCAACAGCCGTACCATTCCGGGGGCCCCTTCCCTAGCATCGCGAATGGAATGCCTTCAGCCGCGCCACCGCTACCAGCTACTGCAGAAGGACCAGCACGTGATGAGCGGCCACCGTCTGCCATGAAGCGATCCCGGGAATGGGAGGGTGAACAGGGACCATCTAAAAAGCTAGCTAGCGAGGAGACCCGTGCCCGTCTTGATGATCCAAGCCGTCGGAACAGTCCTCCAGGTCGCCTGCCCACCCCTAAGGAGCATTTCAGACGTAGCTCGTCTGAAGTGCGTCGCGAGAACGAACGACGGGCAAACGAGAATTATCATCCCTCTGAGGCAGCTCACAACCCTTACAGTCTACCTCCGCAACAAATCCCCTCTATGCAATCGATATTGGACGGCCCGAAAGAAGCGCCACAACAAGAGCATGTTGAGCAGGCAGCACGCAAAGTGGACGTCGACGAAGACTATGACAACAACAGTGAAGACGACAAGAGGGCAGCCGCTGGACAGGCGATAAGTAGTCCTCAAGTTGGAGGTCCTCAACCTCCTCCATCTGCGACCCCGAAGACGGAGAACGCTTCATGATCTTGCAGCAATTCATGCGAGCCTGCTTTCCTTCTCTTATCATGACTTGCGGGTGGTTGAGCCTCACGGTTGTGTGGAGGCAACTGACAAAGGCGGGTCGCGTGTTGGAAAAGCGATTGTTTGATACCTTCTGCACTGTGTATATGATTATGTATTTGCTTAGCAATGAATGAAACATAGCTATTTAGAATGCTCATGTTGACCAGGTAGTAGCTCTGTAATAACCTTAGTTGTCGTAATATACTCGTAGTCGGTGTAGTTGTAGTAGTACTAGCCACCCAGCCTGAGATGGTGGAGCGGAGACGCTGCAAGGGACGCAAGCCCACTGCCAGTGCAGGATGAGAAAAAAAAGTCGGGTCACGTGAGATACAACCACGCCAAGAGCAAATCTTGGCATCGGTCTCCCGCACGAAAGCCTTCCAGGCTTTTTCAAGACCGTGCGACTCGGACTTGGATTCTCCAGCTTGACAACTTTGACCGCCTCGCTCAACAACGACAAGATGTAAGTGTAAATGAACCGTCGAGACTGGTTCGCCTGCTCACATTCACTCCAGGTCTCACCGAAAATTCGAGGCGCCGCGACACGGTAATTTCCTCTTTGCAAGACGTTCGCATTGAACCTTCAGTGGCTAACTCCTATGCGCAGGCTCGCTTGCTTTCCTGCCCCGAAAGCGAGCTGCGAGACACCGAGGAAAGGTCAAGAGGTTGGTTCTCTAGAAGTCATGACTCGCTTTAAAGAGTCGAAGCTGAAACATTTCACAGCTTTCCCAAGGATGACCCAAAGAAACCAGTCCATCTCACCGCAGCCATGGGATACAAGGCCGGTATGACCACCATCGTCCGGGACTTGGATAGACCTGGCGCCAAGATGCACAAGAAAGAGATTGTCGAAGCCGTCACCGTGATTGAGACACCTCCGGTAAGATATGAAAGTTGGGCTGAAGTGGGCATTGCAGGCTGACCGGGGGTATAGATGATTGTCGTTGGTCTGGTTGGCTACATCGAGACTCCTCGCGGTCTCCGATCCCTGACCACCGTGTGGGCGGAGCATTTGGGCGACGAGCTCAAGCGTCGATTCTACAAGAACTGGTACCGATCGAAGAAGAAGGCCTTCACCAAGTACGCCAAGAAGTACTCAGAGAACAAGTCGACCTCAGTCACTCGTGAGCTTGAGCGCATCAAGAAATACTGCACGGTCGTCCGTGTCCTCGCCCACACCCAGATCCGTCAGACTCCGCTCAAGCAGAAGAAGGCGCACTTGATGGAGATCCAGATTAACGGCGGCAGCATCGCTGACAAGGTCGAGTTCGGCCATGGTCTGTTCGAGAAGCCGGTTGAGATCGACACCATCTTCGAGCAGGATGAGATGATCGACTGTATCGCCGTCACCAAGGGTCACGGCTTCCAGGGTGTCACCAGCAGATGGGGAACCAAGAAGCTGCCCAGAAAGACTCACAAGGGTCTGCGAAAGGTCGCTTGTATCGGTGCCTGGCATCCTTCGCACGTCCAATGGACGGTCGCCCGTGCCGGTCAAGACGGTTACCACCACCGTACCTCGGTGAACCACAAGGTCTACCGTATCGGCAAGGGCAATGACGAGAAGAACGCTGCCACCGATTTCGATATTGTCAACAAGCAAATCACACCGTAAGTTTGGTCCCGTGTTTATCTTCTTACGGACTTGAAACTGACGTTGTCTGGCAGAATGGGTGGCTTCGTCCGCTACGGTGAGATCAAGAACGACTTCGTGCTCGTCAAGGGTTCCGTTCCTGGTGTCAAGAAGAGAGTCATCACCCTCCGAAAATCCATGTTCCCCCACACTTCCCGCAAGGCTCTCGAGAAGGTCGAGCTCAAATGGATTGACACTTCGTCCAAGTTCGGCCACGGCGCCTACCAGACTCCTCAAGAGAAGAGACAATTCTTGGGTACGCTCAAGAAGGACCTCGTTGCTTCGTCGTAAATGGACTTGGGCGTGGATTTGGGCTTGCTGGTGTGATGAAGTTGCTGGAGTTTCTCAAGAGACGTATTTCATGCTCTGCGTGTCTCGTCGAACTTGAACAAAACCCCTGAAAGATACCATACTGTTTCAATCTTCCGTCCTCGAGTTTCCGAGATGGAACTAGTAGCATAGCAATGGCTCAATTGGGGAAATGACAAAAAGTGAATGCATCAAAATTACTCTTGAGCTATCTCTCGTATGGTTTTCCTGCCAGTCGAATGAGAGGCCAGTAACAGCGGGTTGCCCGCGGGTGTCTTGTGCGTTTCCCGACCTTCCATGTTCACAAGTGCTAAATATCAGCCGGATGGATCCCGTCGAGGATTTTCCCAACCATTCATTCATTCAGGTCATGCTGACGGTGGTCTCCTGCAACTGGATGTCGAAGATGCGACTGTAGAAATTGATCACATTGCCGCAGATTGCTCGAGACCTATGTACCTAGGCGTTCTATGCATATCACCTCCACTGCATCCTAATTTTCTACGGTTCAATTCCACCAGAGACTCGTGCTCACTTGCTTTAGGCAAGGACCGAACACATTCGTCAAGCGGGCTCTGAGCCAGTATATGGGAGAAGGCGAAGTCTTCCGGTAGCCACTATGACTTCCACTGAGGCCACAGTATCTTCCATCAAGGTAAGGAGGCTTATGTACCGTATCTGCAGTACCTCATCGGTGTTGAATGGAGTTTGTGTCTCGATGTCGTGCGTGTGCAACTCTGGTTGCAATGGTCTAGGTTCAAGTTCGTGGCCGGAACTACGTCACTGCCAGTAACGCAGCATCTGGTGCACTCGCAGCACTTTGTTCCAATCCACCACTGCAAGACACCTTTTTGCTCCCATCATCTTGAGGCTTCCTTCTGTCAATTCTCCTGGTGATTCCGGACGAGATTCGCCTCTACTACTAGGTAGCAAGACGCTTGTTCACTACAACCGTCGAACTTGAACCACCAGCATCATCTCTGCTGCTCGAAGAGCGAAAACGACGCACAACAGGCAGAATTGCAACAGCCAGCACTGGCACTAATAGCAGGAGCCCTGAGAACAACAGCACATCAAACCCTGGCTTCACACCTGCCTACCAAAGCCTGGTACTCAGCTCTCATCAAACCCTGGCTTCACATCTGCCTACCAAAGCCTGGTACTCAGCTCTCACCATTCTCAGACCCAGGAGTCTCAGAGCCAACATCAGACGCTTCTCTTCCGCAGTCCGAATCTCCAAACACCAATCCGCTATTCTACCATTCTTGACGTCGCCATCGTCACATCTACAGCAAACACCGTCGTCTCTCTATCTACCCATCCACTCCATTCGCCGCCGCACCATGGCCGACGACGCCTCATACACAGCTTTCCTAGAGAAAGCCAACGCCGACGTTAGTGGTCCAAGCCACAGCCACGAACAATCGCCATCGACCTCGCAAGCACGGACGAAACTCGATCCGACGACCTCGACTACATCCCAACTCGAAGCCTTACCAGCCTCCCTCAAGTCGTTGCCTTCGGACCTGACATACACGTCGGACACAGATGAGCCATTCCAGCCGATCGCCCTGAACTACGCAGGCACGGAGCTTCCGAATGCAGAGGAGTTCCGCAAGTGTTTGGGCGCAAAGGGCCAGACCGCCGGCGCGGTGGAAGAACTGTCAGCTGAAGAATTCGATCCTCGGGGTCAATATAAGGATATCATTGAGCGGGTAAGTCAGGCCGCAAAAGAACAGAACCTGAAAGTCAAGGTGTACAGGGTCGAAATTAGTCGGACGAGAGCAGAGTATTATATATTGACACTGGGCGAGAAAATGTTGGTCGGTGTGTATGTGAAGGCGGTGGAAAGCTAGGTAGTAGTGTTGGAAATACACAATTGTTTAGACAGCTTATCCCTCTAATACTGTGGCGGGAAGCATACATACTTACCTAGGTATCTAAGGAAACTTGGCTGGTTTTCATCCCATACGTTGTAGTATGACGGCCGGGTAGTGGTCTATTTCACGAGATTTGAAGACGAATCGGGGACGCCAGTGCAGTTGCTTTACCGAAAGACCTTCGCCATGCGCAAAAAGTTGATTCGGGCCGTCGACCATGGGGTCACTTCAGGGCAAACGAATACAACAGCCGGCAATAGCGAGGTCCATTGCAAGGATCGTAGTAGTGGCCGTGAGAACAGACTGCAGACTAGGAGATCTAACCGGGCCACCACCGTCTGGCGGGTTGGACGACAGCCTTGTGAACTGTGTATGCATTTATATTTACGAAACAAGACGTAGTTCAAGGAGACATGAGTGCTACAACAAACTCGACTACTGAGGGACTCCTTTCACATTCCCCGGTCACACTTTAATTTTCTGCTCTCCTGTCCACGCGCGCGTATGGCAATACCGATCAGAGCCGTCACTGGAAACCATGGCAGCGCAGGCACCAAAGAGCGCTAGGAAACACCAGTGGACAGCGACAGCGAAAGACCGAGGCTCCCTTTCAGGAGTAGGGACAGTTGCATGGCGCCGCGTTGTAGGGACGATGCTTCAGAACTCCTTGAATATGGGTGATGGCATGATGCATGTTAGGGCACATGTATTGTGCTGTTCTCTTGGGACTTAACAGGTAGTTATCGCATTGGCGATTTATTTCCTCGTTCAGGTTGCACAGCAGGAACGAAATCAGAGCGGCAGGGACCTGGTACCCGTGAAATCGAATCGGGAAAGCTCTTCTACCTGTAGCTTGGGAACCCGCGCGGAGACTGAGGACGTTCGCCCAAGCCTCCTCCGGACAGCACGCAGGAGGCTGAGAGAACCATGAACTATGGATAGAAACCGGGGTGACAAGGATGTGTCGTGTGAAGGGTTCCTAGCTGCCAATTCAAGGTATAAGGCATCGAGGTGGTAGGAGCGGTTATCATCACTTTGGTGACGATGACCGTCTTCGAATGAGATAGCCTAGACTGGTCACAAGCATAGTGAATCGGACGGAGTGCCTTGTTTGACGGGGGTTTGGTTCACTTGGGAAGTCCGATGTACAGGGTATGAGGTTCTCCGTAGAAGGACAGGGGAAAGGAAAAGCAACTGTACCTTGACCATCTGCGTGTACTGTCTTGCCACCACAGCTTCGGTCTCGCAGCAGAAGTTATGATATGCATCAGCAACGTCGAGATGTCATGAGTCGCGTGATATTCGCACAAACAATGAGGATCATGATGTCGAGGAGACAAAGCGGCGCTGTTCAGACAAAGTTGAACAGTTATATCGGCCAATTGGAAGTGGACAGGGCGGCCCGAAAGTGGTTATCTGCCCCGGGGAATCCAGGTGTAGTGGCTCAGACTTCGACAAAGGGTTTTTGATTCCGTGGCCAAGCACTCACCTTGCCGTGAACGCGAGTAATCGAACAAGATCGGAGGGCTGGACGATTTCCCCTGGACGTCGCAAGGCTGGGCGAACAGGCGCAGCATGCATGTCTCTGAATCCAGTACTTGTGGTGGAGAGATGATTCGCGCTCATCATGCCTCTTTACCACACACTGAGAAAGACACAATAATATTACCAGACGGTTGGCAGGTTCTGGCGCAATTTAAGAATAGCAGCCAACAAGGCGTCAAGAGAAACCTGACATATGGAGTGTGATTTCTCACCAGTGGAAGGCCAGTTCCATTTCGATCGGGGCCAATGGTCTCTGAACCCTAGTTTGACATGGTGGAGGCCCGGAAGGGGGTATTGGTGTCAGATTTGCTTTGCAGGATCGCCGGTATCCAGCTGATGGAGTGTCTGCCCCATTCTGCAAGCCATGATTCGACATCTTCGAGGCAATGCGGTGCCACGGCCGCCACAGAGCATACTGGACGCGTCAACCCCCCTGGGTCGCTGTTTTGCGTTGGAATTGTTTGTTTGCCTATCGCTCCAGCGTCTCCGCCGGTCCTTCTTGAGCAGAATCTGGACCTCGTGGGGCAAATGATATGGATATGGTAGTGCTCGGTGCGGTGGGTTGAAAGCTACAGTACATTGTAGTACCATCTGCGACAAGCACCCGCTCCGAGAGATGACCTTGCAGAAGATGTCTGATGGAGAGCTGTATGCGGCAGTTGTGTTATTACAAGTAATTGTGTGTGAAGAATGCTGGTATGATCAGCGAGGGACGAGCCCGGTGGCAGAGTTCGCTCGGGCTCTGAATGCTCTTGCAGTGCCGTGTGGGAGCCGTAGAAGATACGAGATTCTGTACGATGTAGAGTTTCCGGCCGGCCTGGGGTGCAGCAGCACGCGTCTTCAGAGAGGACGAAAGGCGGGCTCGAGGAGGGTGTTGTTGTCACTATCGCCGGAGAGGGCGCAGGAGGGCCATCCAGGCACAGCGCAGGCGAACAAAGAACCCGGGCACCTGCAGCCTGATTGAGGCTGGACACACACAACAAAGGTCACTGGCAACCATGCAAGAGCATTATTTGATTCGTCCCTCCCGAATCATGAACGGCTAGAGTCCGATACACTCTACTTGAAGCGTACCTCCACCAACAATTGTACAACCTGGAGGACTGAGATTCCTGTCTTCCAAGGTTCTCGTCTCGCAATGTGGCGGACGCAGTTTGAGTCGCGCGCTGATCGCAGCTCTATAGAAGTCCTTAACGGCGCGAATCCTGGATTTTCAAAGGAAAGAAACCCACATGCATCTGATCACCGCTCGAGGACAGGGTTGCAGGTGGTAGTACCAAGAAGAAACCCAGGTACTGTCCCTACCTAGGTAGCGACCGCAAACGAAGCCCGTAGCTTGGAAATTGAGCCAGGCGGAGGTGGGCCTAGGTTTAGGAGGCGTCCCCTAAACTGAACCCCCTTCAAGTTCTACTATAAATTACTACTGTAATATTGTAGGTGCTAATAGCTGCACTGCCAGTGGAGGTCCGCCGCCAGCTCCCGTGCTTACTGGATACCGTACTTTTTATTATTTGCCGGCTTGTCGTAGGCTAGCCACGCCCATTTTTAAGTGGTGCTCAACCCTCGACTAGCAGGGCCAGTGCTCGGATGCTGCTAAACCCAGGTACTGCCAGTGCCCCCCCTGTGCTAGTCGCTAAAGCCCGCCTGCCACCGGCCTGCGGCATCGCCTGCGCTGCGCTGTGGTTGTCCACTGACACTCCTTGCCAGTTGCCAGCAGATCACGAACCTGAATCTGCATCTGCATCTCGAAACTCAACTTTCCAACACCAACACCAACAAACACAATCCAGCATGTTCGTTGCCCTGCCATTTACGTTCTTTATCCGTTGCTCACCCTGAGGCAAAGAGGCTTCCACTCGTTCATCCACTTACTTCGCATACACCATTCTCGCCGGCCATTTTCACCGTTTCTCCTGGTCTCCATTCGCCGGCAAAAAGCTCTCTCTTCACTGCCGGCCAGAAAGGAGTCGAGTTGCCTTGCGGCCTCAGCTACTACGAATACACCCAGTTCTCACAATAAGTCACGTCTCCAACCAGCTTCGCTTCTTTCCATACTCTTCATCGAAGTCAGCCTCGGTGGCATGCAGCGAGTCCTCGCCTGACTGACGCTGCTTATTCCTCCGTCCCGCAACCTCCCGTCAGCCATCTTCATACCGCACCTCTTTTTTCCTGGTCTTTGTATCTCGAATCAATTGAATACAACCATCCAGCAAATTTCTGGCTTGGTGGCGGATCTCCTCGCCGAAAAATCACGGTTGTCAACGACGGGTCACGCGAATTGGCGATCGATCTCTCTGACGACGGGGCGATCGCCATACCATAATGTCGTCCCAAAGCAATAGCAGCAGCTCCTCGTCGCCGCGAGTACCACCACACATCCGCCTGAACTCGGGACAAGAGAACATTCTCAACAGCGATGCAAATGGGTCGTCGAGGACGCTCGTCCCTACAACCTCTAGACCCTCGACAGCTAAATCACAACTACAGAATGTCTACGCATCTGACGTTCCGCGAGACTCTGCGGAGAGATTACTACCACCTTCGCAAAGCCGACCGAACCGCTTTCGAGACGATCAATCTCCGCTGAGATCGCCTGCTCTTTCGAGTTTCTCGTCCCGACGTTCGAGTTGGGAATCTGATCGCAGCGGGTTCGAAAACCCTTTTCGGGATTCAAGTCAGTCGAGGCCCGGTTCAAGAGCTGGCAGCGATGACAATGATGTCAACACTCAGACTGTCTCTGAAAAGTATAACATTCTTCCATCCGCCGGACTGCTTCTATTTCCCGAAGACGTCGAGAAAGACGACTATTTGCACAACCCCGATCCAAACGGCGAGCCACGTGACTGTGACATTTTCAACAAGCGAGGCATTATCAACATTGGTGGCCTGGCCCTGCTTACGATAGGGATATTAGTCCTGTTTATAGGCTATCCAGTATTGTGCGTTTCCTTGTTCCGCTGACTTTTGCCGCGTACTGACAACTTTCACAGAACCTTTGTGCAAAAGATCACCAACACCGCCGACCCCTGCAAGGACAATATCGGGTGCATCACCACGGACAAGATCGCGTTACTCAAGAACATTCGGACCGGGCTTATTGACCCCAACACTCCTGCATCGGCCAAAACGAAAACAGACTACCATGGCAATACCTGGAACCTGGTCTTTTCGGATGAGTTCTCAACCCCAGGACGAACCTTTTATGACGGCGACGACCCTTACTGGACTGCCGCGGATATCTGGTATGGTGTGACTAAGGACTTGGAATGGTATGATCCGGATGCCGCTACCACAAATGATGGTGTGCTGGAGTTGCGGTTCGACGCTTTTCAAAACCATGGTCTCAACTACCGCTCGGGCATGCTCCAATCATGGAATCAAATGTGCTTTAAAGGTGGCAGGCTGGAGGCTAGCATATCCCTTCCCGGCCGCGGAGATACGGTCGGTTTCTGGCCTGGCTTTTGGTCGATGGGCAACCTAGGACGGCCTGGTTATGCATCGACTACGGATGGGCTCTGGCCATATTCCTATGCCGATGTGTGTGACGCTGGTATCACAGCCAACCAAAGCTCACCGGACGGCATAAACTATCTGCCTGGAATGCGTCTACCAGCCTGTACCTGTGCTGGGGAGGATCACCCCTCTCCAGGCAAGTCGCGCTCAGCCCCCGAAATTGATGTACTCGAAGCCAGTGTGGCGCCGTTCGATGCAGCGGGCAACCAAATTGGCGTGGTATCACAGTCTTTCCAGGTGGCTCCGTTTGATGTTTGGTATCAGCCAAACTATGAGTTTGTGGAGGTCTTTGATTTCACAGTCACGCAGATGAACACCTACAAAGGTGGCCCGTTTCAGCAGGCAGTGTCAGGGCTGTCGAATCTGAACAATCAATGGTACGATGGTAACGCGTATCAGACGTACGCCTTCGAATACACGCCAGGCGCCGAGGGAGACATCACCTGGTTTGTCGGATCGGATCCTGTTTGGCGGCTTCAGGGCCAAGCGCTTGGACCGAATGGCAATGTTGCTCAACGGGTTATCCCAGAAGAACCGATGTCGGTCATTGTCAATTTTGGCATGTCTCCGGGTTTCTCTGCTCTCAACTTGACCGGATTGGCTCCACTTATGCCGGCCATCATGAGGGTGGACTATATCCGTATCTACCAAGATGATGATGGCGAAATGACCTGCGATCCCGAGGGTTATCCCACCACCAATTACATCAGCAACCATTACAACGCCTATCATAATCCGAACATCACCAGCTGGTAAGTTGTCCTGTCTCGGAGGTTGTTTGATCAGGAACTAACATGACTTTGCAGGTCCAACACTGGCCACTCGTGGCCCAAGAACAGCCTGGTGGACAATTGTAAAACCTAATCCATAATATCCGGGCTGCGTGTCGAGCTCCCCTATCTACTGGAGTGTACAGATGTTTGTTGGTTCTTCAAATTAGCGGCATGGCAACAGCACCCTGGCGTCGAATTGAATTTGGGAAACGGATTTGGTGGGACATGGAGTACCTGGTTTGGGACGGGCCCTTGTTTATTGCTTTTGGATTTTGTCAAACCTTATGACCAAGAAGGGAATCACGACTTTTCCCGGTGTATTCGGCGAACGACTCAACGTGAAGGAGCGGCGGGACTTCTAGCGGCAGGCAGAATAGATGTCGCGCCAAAAGGAATCGGAACCGGAAACGCATTTTGCCACAAGTCTTGATCATGAGGGAAGAATCAAGGCGGTGTCCACTTTGGACTGAGCAGACCGGCTTGCGAGCGGCCATTAAGTATTTATATGGTGACATGCCAATAAACAAGATTGATACCATTATGTCGTCCAGATTGTGTATACGGCGTCTCATGCCCAGTTCACCTGGTACAGTATTCATGTCACGTGTCGGCGGGTTTGCCCCTATTGAACAATACTAGTAAGCAACCCATCAAGATGCGATGACACCTTTGTCGTACAACTACTTCTATTACCCCCACAGGTAAGAAGCATTCCGCCTGCACAGTCATGTTCAATATCACCAGAGTCACAGGTGGCCCTTCTAAGGACGCCACGAGGGTTGAACCCAGTAGGGAACGGGAGGACACGCCTAAGAAAGAACCGGAGGAAGAGGATTATTCTGAAAGGCAGAGACGAGAACGAGCCCAGGCCATACTCAACAACTATCAGCTATTGATGGAGTATGCAGTGGCCAACGGAAGAGTAAGTCAGGTCGATTCCAGAAGGACGCTGTATTGATTTTGCAGTCGATTCCGCAGACACGAACATACTTCCGCAAGGTGGCCCTGGGCATGAAAGCAGATCCGATTATAAAGTATTGGTTTAGTGACGTGGCTTGAACTGCTGTGAAACAGTAAGAAGATGGCCTAATGAATCAAGGCTCCTACACCTGAAGATGTCCACGTTCCATCTGTCATACACAACAGGAGACCCATGGCACCTAGGCACATGGCTTCTGTTTGGCGACACCGTCACAGTGAAATGTTAACCACCTGGCGAGGATAGTGGTTGATATGCGCGAGGCTCTGATATTCAGATTAGAAGATAACGTGCACCGTCGAGCATGACAGCACCAATGTCGCTATCTACAAGATCCTCCGGGAGAACAAATGTGACCATGGCCAACTTCAGACGGTGTTGGATTTTTGTCCTGGGCGCAGCCTTGCCTGGCCGGATGCACGTGACGAGGCTGAAAGCGGACAAAGGCGGTGAAGGATAATTTATTCTGCCGGGACAAAATTACTTGCCAGCGCAAGTTGAACTCGACTTTTGCAGAGACAAAGAGTTGTAACAAGTCAGACTTACGGCGCACCAGATGTTGTTGCCCGTCAAGATGTCGTTGGAGGAGAAGTTGGCCAAGATAAAGTCACCTAATCTCCAGAGTCAACAACATGTACGTTCCTGCCAACGTCGGAAAAGACTCTCTTCTAACCGTTCCAGACTGCGGTCGTCTTGTCTTCTATTGAAGAAACCCTCCACGAACAGAAAACGAAATGTACCGCCACCGCGTATTTCGCTGCCCTCCTGGCATTGTTGAAGCAATGCTCCGCTGCGGACGGAAATGGTAGCGACAATGAGGTGGTAGTGTCCACTGTATACCTGCTCGATATTGTCACCTCCCACGTCCCGCAAGCCCTCCTTCGATCGCAATTCAGTACTCTCTTATCCTTCCTCGCGCCCTATCTAGACTCGTCTGTGACAAATGCACCTCTCATACGGTCCGCCATTGGTTGTCTGGAGTCTTTGTTGATCGCTCAGGATTCGGCGGCATGGAGTCTCCCGCAAAATCAAACAAGTCCTCGACAGGCAGTCCTGGCTCTTCTGGCGTTGGCGATTGACTCAAGGCCAAAAATAAGAAAGCGGGCGCAGGCAGCTTTGACGAATATCTTGAAGAACCCTCCGCCAGGCCCTGCGATCGACCATCCGGCAGCGGAACTGTGTGCGGTCGCGGCTCAGAACAACCTCAAAAATGCCATCGATGCTGTGACCCGAGCACGACGCCACAAGGGCAGGGGTGATGAAAGCCTCGAACCCGCCGTCATCCATGCACTTCAACTCACCAAGACGCTTGCTATGGCTTCTGGTGGGTGGCCGAGCAAGAAGATCGAATCACTATGCGAATTATTGCTGTCCATCTCGCGGTCACGGAATGACTACCTGGTGATAAGTGCCTTTGAAGTCTTCGAGGTGATTTTCGAAGGCATGCAGGATGAAGTGTCGTCTTCAAAGTTACCACGGCTGCTTGATGCCATTGTCGAGCTGAAGCCTGCCCAAAACGATTCACAGTTGTTGCCGCCTTGGATTGCCATTTTATCAAGGGGTTATGGCACATTCGCTGTGGTGGAGCCCGAAGAGACATTTGCAAAGCTACCGGAGCTTTTCGATTTAGTAGCGTCCTTCTTGACGAGTCCATCTCCCAACATCAGAGTGTCCGCGGCGGAATGCCTCAAGTCATTCTTCGCCAATTGTATTCCGGATAGTGTCATCGCGGAGCCATCGGTCTATGATGAGAAAATACTCGAACAAATCGCCGCCAAGGCCCTTGGCCTCCTATCGATCAAGTACCAGACGGCATGGATGGAGGTCTTCGGCACTCTTTCCGCCTTATTCGATGCTCTGAGATGGCGTGGCGACCCGTTTCTGCTCGGTATTGTCAAGGCGATCGGTGAACTACGAAGCAATGATGGCTTCCAGGGCAAGAAAGAAGCCGACGAGGTACTCGGTCATGCCGTCCGCAATCTAGGCCCTGGCGCGGTCTTGACTGTGCTCCCACATAATCTCATCAAACCCCAGCCAGGCCAACCAGGACGGGCATGGCTGCTACCACTGTTACGTGATCACGTATCTAATACCAATCTCGGGCACTTCAAGAGCGAGCTGGTCCCTCTCAGTGAAGCCATGTATCAACGCATTATCGACCACGGCAACGCCGAGAAGACGATGGACATCAAGATCTACGAGACTGTGGTTCAACAGGTTTGGGCCACTCTGCCTGGTTATTGTGATCTTCCGCTGGACTTACCGACTGCCTTTGACCAAGCATTCGCCGAACTGCTGTCAAATCTGCTGTACAAGCAGACAGAACTACGTCCAGACGTATGCCGAGGGCTGCAGAATCTGGTGGAGTCCAATCAAGCGCTCCTAGCCTCAGACCTGCCTGATGATGTCCTTTTGCTGGAACGAAGACTTTCCCGGTCAGATGCAGAGAAGAGCCTTCAGCACCTGGCTCAGTTTGCCGCTAACCTTCTGGCTGTGTTGTTCAACGTCTACAGTCAAACGCTCCCACAGACGCGAGCGTACATACTGCAATGCATCAACAGTTATCTCAGCATTACGCCGGAGAAGGATTTGGTTGACACCTTTCAGAGAGTGTCAGCCATGCTGAACGATGCTTTGCCGAAGCCAGATCAGCAACCGCCCAAGAAAGAGCCGAATCAGGCCTCAGCCAACAAACTCCCACCCACGTCTCACACCTTGCTCGATCTAGTCATAGCACTCTCCGTTCACCTTCCCCGATCAACGTTTGCCGACCTCTTCGCCATTTCATCTAACATCTTGACCAACCCAGCAATACTCAAGTCCGATCCGCAGCTCATTAAGAAAGCCTACAAACTGATACCCAGGCTAGCCACGTCAAAAACAGGGGCGGAGGCGCTTACAGCTCGGAACGACGAACTGCAACAGCTGATTCTGCGGACGTCTGAGTCCACTCCCGTTCCTGCGCGGCGTGACCGCATCGTCGCCATCGAGACGCTCATCTCGTTCCTTCCCGTGACAGACCTGCACTTCATTCCCAGCATTCTCAGCGAGGTGGTGCTGGCTTGTAAGGAGAGCAATGAAAAGGCGCGGACTGCAGGTTTCGACCTTCTCATTGCCGTGACGAACAAGATCTCCGACCCGTCTAATCCGCCGGGCACGGTAATCCGCAATCGACTGGTCCCTCACATGCCCGACGACTCGCCCGATGCTCCCGCCAACCTGGAAGAGGTCTTCACAATGGTCAGTGCCGGATTGGCAGGTGTGGCTCCGCACATGGTTGCTGCCAGCATCATAGCTCTCAGCCGCCTGCTGTTTGAATACCATAGGCAACTGAGCGATAAGACAAAAGAGGAGCTCGTCGACACAGTCACAATGTTCTTGCAATCAAACAACCGAGAGATTGTACGCGCCGTACTTGGGTTTGTGAAGGTCATGGTGGTTGTTCTTCCGAACGAGATGTTGGAACCGAGGATGTCGACTATAGTCCCCGGTCTGATGGTCTGGAGTAAGGAGAACAAGGGCCGTTTGAGGGCCAAAGTCAAGGGCATTTTGGATCGATGCTTGAGACGGTTTGACGCTGCCAAGGTCGAAAGCTGGGTCGGCGGCGATGATCGAAAGATGGTTGTGAACATCCGAAAACGACGGGAACGCGCCCGGCGCAAGAAGAAGGGCACTGATGCGGATGAAGATGACGAAGATGCGGAACAGCAGCCGTCTGGCAGCAAAAAATATGACAATGAGTTTGATGAGGCTGTCTACGGGTCAGAAGACGACGACTCGGAGATCGAAGGTGGTGACGGAAGTGACTCTGATGGAGACGACACCATGTCCGGCGTTGCGTTCAAGAAGAATGCGGGTGCGGCTAAGAGGCGCAATCAGCAATATATCCGCCAGGAGGACGAGGACGACGAGCCTCTCGACCTGCTGGACCCGAGGAGTATGGCAAGCATTTCGACCAGAAAGCTTGGGCGATTGCGGCACGAGCAAGCATCAGCAGCAGGCAAGAAGACAAAGGCCAAGGTCAATGAGGACGGCAAGCTCGTTTTCGGCGGACAAGATGATGACGATGACGTGGACGTGGACGTGGACATGTCTGGCTCCGGCGCCGCTGAACAGGGCCAAGACAGTTCCATCAACGCGTACCTCGATGCCGTGTCAGGGGCGGATGCAGTCCGTCGTGGCCAGAAGGGTCGCCTTAAAGTCAAATCGGGCATGCAGAAGAAAGCGAAGCAAGATGCCCGGCAGCGCGATAAGGATGAGATGGATCTCGATGTCGAAGAGGCCAGAGAAGTGGCAAGACAGATCATGCAGGGCTCCGGGTCGACCAGTCCTGGTGCCAAGAAGAGAGACCCCAAGAATCAGCGACGAGGGCTGGGTGTGGAAAAGAACCGGAGTGGCAATGCATCGACCAAACAGAGCCGACCCCAGTTCCGCGGTGGAAGTGGCGTCTCGAAACGGGGGAAAGGCCCAAATGTGCGATTCGCATCGAGAAGAGGCGGGAGGCGATGAAAAGAAGATGTTGGACATTGACATCGTACCTTTTTACCACGCCGTACGAGAATACTAGACTGGGATTGATGGCGGCACTGGCTGTGCAATGAAACGCGCTGGAAATAATGCGATGTTCAAGGTTTTCTACTGGTCTAAGTATGACATGACATGACAAGGCTATAGTACATGATTGCTTTGCTTTGCTTTTTTCCGCTCTTCTCTTCGTTGTCTCCTCTCATCTCATGTCACACATTTGCGGTGCCTGTTGCTTTTCTTGTTTCTTCTCTGTCTGCGATGCCTGTGGTGTTTCTTCAGAAGTCTGCAGTAGCGATGGCTGTGGTTGTTGCGTTTCCATCTGCAGAGCCTGCTGAGTCTCCGGATGCAGCGGCAGTGCCTCCTGTCGTGGAGTCTCTTCTTTGTTCTCTGTTTGCAATACCTGTGGTGTCTCTGTCTGCAGTGGCTGTGGCAGTGCCTGTTGTTGCGTTTCTTCCATCTTTATTGCCTGTTCCGTCTCTTCCATCATTTTTCTTTCGTTTTTCTCTTCCCTTTTCCTTTCTTCTTCCAACCTCTCCTTCCTCCGTCTCGCCGCCTCGTTTCGAATCCTACTCAGCCTCTCCTTCCTCCCCTGTTTGAGTCGTCGCTGCAACCTCCTCTTCGACACTCCCAGCCCATGAAACGCAATCTGCTTTCTAAGGGGCTCCCTGCGCACCGGATTCCTCGGCGACAACAACATCTCCACAGTCTCTTGAGCCAATTTCGGCGGCCGTCCCAAATGGCCACCATTGGCTTGGACCAAAGGTCGCGTTCGTCGGTACGCCGCGGTCCCCAATTCCTCGCGCTTCTTCAGCAAGTAACACGCCGTCGAAACGGATATGTTGAGGCGGCGGCTCAATGACCTCAGGGACTCGTCCTCGGGTCGTCGGTCGTAGGCCGTGTAGAAGCGCGTGCGGCGGATCGTGTCCCATTCTTCGCCGGGGCGGCGGGAGCCTTCGGTTTGTAAGGGTTTGACGTTTTGGATGGTTTGGTAGGGGTGTGTGCTGGGTCGGTTTGGGTCTCGGTTTGAAGAGCGTGTGCTTGGAGCCATGTTGATCGAGGTCGATACCTAAGGTATGTACCAACCCAGACAGGTAGCTAGGGGTGTTGTGGAGGGTAGACGGGAGATATCTGTTGAATACTAGTAGATGGTTGATTCTGGATCTGATTGACCCAAATGGAATTGAAGTTGGTATTGCAGTTGGTGTACTCTTTGTTATATTGTGTCTTCAAAAAGATGTACTACTTGTATGTTAGTAGATGGTAAGGAGTATCCACATCCACAGACGCGATGCTCTCTACCCCGGGGGAACTTGAAGCAGGTGTATGCATAGTAGGCTTGTGTTCCTGTTGACATCATTCTTCCAAGGGGTGTCGCGTCGAGGAATCCGGGGTATGGCGTGTTCCGTTGCGCGAAAAACTATGGCATCAATGGCGGGATCCATCTGAGAGCATCACTGCCAACGTGCCACCAGAAATGAATTGGGTACCTTTTACACAGTATATCCGATGTGACCGGCATGTACCATGTCCAGCGCGTAGCTCCAGGGTATCGTACCTACTTAGGAGCGATGTACATGCGTGGTGTTCGAGATGGATATGTTAGTCGGGAAAACTTGAGCACCTACACATACTGTACTGTTATATCCCTCTTGCTCGACATACCTAAGATAGTTCAAGTATTTCCCCTAACATAACAGTATCTCCCCTTCCCATATAGCCAGAAATCATACTGCACAGGACTCTTGTTCGCTCTTTTTCTCTCTTGTTCTTTCTCCCGTTTTCTTTCCCTTCTCTTCTTTTTCTGCCTTCCCCGGTATCGCTCCCTCCAAGCTTTTCGTGTCATGTCACGAAATTTCTTACAAGGCCTGCCTCAGAATCCCCAAGGGAAGGGACCCGAAGTAGCCACATATTAGCCCATGTTGCCCAGGGTTCACTCTAGCCATTCACTGGCACCGCCGGGCTGCACAACATTGGGCTCTTCGTTAATCATACTCTCGGCGTCGCCGACCTGTTTCCTTTCCGAGACCCCTCGGTCTCGTAACCGTGAACGCACCGCAGCCAAGCGTCCATGGCTGAAGCCCGTGCTTTGAAACGAGCTACCGCTGCTACCACTGCTCACCGTCAATCCTTGGGACCTGTTGCTGCTGCTGTTGCTTCCGCCCCTCATGACTGCTGATTGTTATTGTAGAGGTTCCGACGACGAAGAAAGCCGGTTGAGGTGGAGGTACACGTCGGTTCCGTATCTGCAGGCAAGGCGGGAACTGTTAGCAGGCCAACCAACACCCGTAAATATCACGAGACAAAATTAGGCACTCACCCCTCCATCGAAATCAACTTTAAATCTCCACCGAAGTATCGTGCATATAACCGTGAAATGGGTAGCCCGTACCCGAATCCGGCCATGGGCGCCTTGAAATCGCTCGCATTAAATCCAGGATCCAGCTCTGGCGTGGTATCGACAGTAGTGTACATGTAGGTCCAAACAAGCGGAATGGCGGAACGCGGAATGCCGCCTCCCTCATCGCTGATTTTGATGGTGATGTCTTCTTTGCCTTCGGCGACAATCACCTTGGTCACAGGGAATTCCTCCTTTTCTGCGCCATGGGTCTCGACCACCGCTCGAAGGGAGTTCTTCAAGGTTTCAAACAGCATGTGCGACAGATGGCCCGGAACATACATAAATGTCAAGTTGGGGGGACAGAACAGCTGGACTTTGGGTGCGTCGAATAGGCCGTAGTGGTCCTCGCAGACAAATCGCGCGTTCTCGATCGCCTCCTCCGCAAGTTCCTTGACGTTCGTCTTGGTGCAGATGATGCCGACGTAGTTTGGATGTCGATGCGTGCTCTGCTCGGTGAGTGCGATGTGCTGCCCAATAAGCATACGAATGCCGATACGTGACATGTAGAATCGATCGAGGAAGGACTGGATGGAAGAATCGATCTGCATGCGCTGTTGTTTGCGCTTCCACTCGTTGATTCCCTGCGCCACCGTGGTCACCACTGGATCGTGTCTTCTCTTGATGATTTCGAGCATGCGGGCAAATTTCCGGTTATAATCCGCCAGCACCGGAGGCCATTCCTTGCCATCGTCCAAAGGGGCAAAGTAACGACGGGTGTTCAGTCCACTTCTGCCGTTGCCATTATCATCGGATCGAAGGCTGGGGTTCCGGGTGGTGGAAGCGAGTTTGTTGGCGGGTTTCTTGGGAGGGCCGAGAAGACGTTTTCGAGTTTCCGAATCCAACTCCGGCCGCGGCAATGTCGTGATTTCTTCAAATGACTGGGCATACCAGTCTCTTACTTTTTTTATCGAGGTCATCTCGTTGAGTCCATCTGGTAGCTTGCCCAACTCCTCCACTCTGTGGGCAAGACGCACGGGGAGCTCTTCGGAAAGGAACTGAGAGGCGCGAAAGAGCGTGCCTAAGCAGCAGAAGCACAGTCAGTGACGAACAACTTAGCATCAACTATACAACTCACCTGTCGACGGTTTCTCTCCAAACTGCACCATCTGGCGGAGGCTGACTCCGGTGGGAGGGAAGCTGGCATAATGAGAGATGGTTTGCATCAACTTCTCCGTCGGCCGCCACGACATCTTGACTTGGGTATTCAGGCCTTGCGGCCTGGATCACTCGAGAGGAACAATTCGAATGGAAGGTCACGGAGTCGAGTCGAGGACAGGAACGCGGTGACTTGAATTGCTTTGCGATTCAAGAAGGGATCGTGTGATGTCCGATGTTCCCCGAGTTCGTTCGAGTCAATATGTTTGGTGTTCAAGTTGCCGAGGCCGGGAATGACGCAGACCTACGAGGTCAAGATGGCGACTGCGGCCACCGGGGTGTGAATGTCCAGAGCTCGAAGAGAGCATTCGACCAAAGAATGGAAGTACTAGAGACACAAAGACAAGGCTCGTTCTGGCTGCCAGGCTGAGTCTGGATGGATGACTGTGCGGGCACAAGTCAGGATGCTGCAAGTGGTCGGCAGCGAAAGAATCCAAGGACGCAGGTGACTCGGCCGTTTGGCGTGAGGTTTAGTGGGCAGCGGAGTGCGGGCAGCACCAACTACAACTGTACAATTAGGTGTCGGCTTAACTGCGACGGGGGTTGCTGCTAGGCGGCGACTAGGCATAAAGTAGCTAGTGGACTAAGGGAACGCACCCGTAAGACGCTGTGCCGCCGCCCCCGCCATCCTTCTCCGGGGTGCTAGCACCTTTTAACAATTGCGTAGAGCCTGCTAAAACCAGTTCTCCTGCTTCTCCTCGTAGCGTCTTGCAGTGTCCCTCCACTGAAATTGCCCTCCATCGACCTGTCTTTACCCTCCTCGAGTTCATCTCCTTCTCCGGCGCACGTTCGGCTGTGGGGAGATCAATGCCAACTCGCCTCAAGCACTTCAAGCCGGTCTTCTTCTGCACCTGATTGTGGAGAGCCCCTCGGGCTTGATTGGTTCTGGTCTCGGCCACAAGGGCTTCTCTCCATCAAACCTTCAAGCGGCCGCCATGGCACCCTCTCTGCTCCGTCTGTGCGAAGAGCCCGCTTCAGCAGCCTGTGACTGTCTCGTGCTCTCAAACTTTGTCGGGCATCGACCCTGCCACAAGGAGCTTACCGTCGTCAGAAGAGAGCCTCTTCTTCCAGCCGCATCTGCACAATTTGCTATCCTACCAGTAGTAGTCAAGTCCTCTCACTTCAGTCTCCTTGTTCCTCAGCGTTTTCTTCGAGACGCCGTGTGCAACTGTGGCGAGTCTGCCCTGCAAGACCGCACTGTGTCCGGGGTTCTACTGTGGCTCTCGGACGGCCCCAGACAAGATGCGGATAAGCTCGGCCCAGGAGTCCGCTTATATTTCGGTTTCCATTGCCCTCGGGATTTCTCGGCTGAGGCTGAACGCCCGTTGTCAACTCTTCAGGTCACGCCGCTGAAGAGAATAGGGGTACCAGAGCTTGGAGGGGTCTGAATCCCGCTCAGCGCACAGGCTGTGTCCTCTGTGTCTGGGGAAGTTCTTATGATTGCGTATGAGCTGGCAGTAACACTGCGTGCTTGCGAGGTTTTTGTTGTGTTGGAACGGAAGTACTGACCGTGCAGCAATGGGCTACCTACAGTAGGTAGTCTCTCGTCCATGTTGGTGTATACGCCTCCTTTAGAAGAGTGTAGGTATGCGAAGCTGCGAAGGATGCGGTCCTGGTGAGTGCAATACCATGAGAGAAATTCTTCTCAGTATCAAAAGATAAGTGTGAAAGGCTAGGTGAAATGTCGTCTCCAAGAGCTGCCTGGTTTGTTGGTCAACAATACACTCCCATTGCACTCATGCCTTTCCATCATTCCAGTCCTAGTTGTGATTGTTCTGCACTGTTAGCCGTTTTGTCCAGACAAAAGGGGAAATGGGGAAAGGAAACAAAACATTGTTAGATGAGCAATATGCCTTGCACGATGAAAGTTTGTATGTGATGCTGGCGCCTTTTTGTCTAGCAGAGGCACCCGCACAACACTCTCGCGGATGAGGCCCTCGAGCATGATGTCGTCCTTCAGCGTGTCGACGACATCATCGTCGGGCGTCAATCACAACAATCACAACAACCTCAGTCCGCGCTCCGAGTCTTTCTTCATCAAACCCTCCCATCCTCCCCCTCGACAACCAGATCTCCTATCATCTCTGAACTCTTAAACCCCAAGCAAAATGGATATCGAGTACTACGAGTGGGCTCGACTGTCCCAGCCAGTGTTTCCTGCATTTCCCGAAGCGAGACGTCCACTCCATCTCCGAATTGCTCACAAGGTTCAAGACTTCCTTGACGAGCTCAACATCCCTCGCCTCTTCTACAAGACATTAGCCTACAGCTATGTCTTGGTGATTCTATGGTGCTTTTACTTGCTCGTGTCTCTTCCCCAACGATCAAACCATGAAGTTCAACAATTGCCAGACGACTTTCCAGTCTTTTCGCAGGAATTCGACAAGTGAGTCCAAGACGGAGGTTTGGTGAGATCGACTCGATTTGCTGACGGCCAGCAGCTATTACGAAACCTTCAAGGTGTCTTCAGGTTGTCATCTCCGCGAAGGTGACCTGTATATTGCTCCCAATGCGTCTGTTCCAGGCAAGGATCGCAAACCGTTCTGCGCCACCCGCAAGGAATTGCTCACCGAAATGTCCAAAGGAGAAACTCGCAGTCCAAATACACCTTGGGTAGTGCCAGGTAAGACATCCGTTCTTTACGTGAGCCTTTGCTAACCGCGCTGCCTGTTCAGAATGCCACTACCACTGGTACTCCATGGCCGAAATCTGCATGATCCTCGGCCGTTTCGACACAATCATCTTTGTGGGAGACACGGACCTTCAGAATATCTACAACGGTTTCAACATCCTACTGCGCAAAGACTTGGTCAAGGGAACCTTGGCTACTTGGGACATGGACTGGGCCTCTCAGTCACAATGCCTCTGCGAAAAGCAGTTTTCTCGGCCCTCCTGTGCAGGATCCTGGGTCACCTCGAGCGAACAAGTGCCCCGGCTAACTCGTGGCTTGTACCGTGGAAATCCATACATATGCGACCGTTCGACGACTCACGCATTCCTCAGACACTCTTCGGCCTCGACAACTTTGTTGTCGCGCGACGTCCTGGCCCGATTCAAGGCATTGCTCGATCCTCCGATCCCGCGTCCGCGCAGCAAACGCGTCGCAGTCATCTACTCGGCATCTCCCGTCCCTGTCTCCCTCCCGACCGATCTTGTCTTGGCCTCGATGCTGGAATTCAAGAAGGCGTTGTTTTTCTCCCGGCGGGTGAGACGCAGCAGGGCGACGTTGTGGGTTGGCCCCGGCGGCGCCGCTGGTCCCCGGGAGCTTGACGCCGACGCCGACGCTGAGCTCCGGGCGTTCGACGACGACATGGCCGATGCGGCTCGCCGCAATGGGATCGACGTGCTCTCCATGCGTAATCTGACCGCCCGTGCGTGGGGCCCAGGAGGACCTCGCTCGGCTGAAAAGTTGGCCATCACCCAGGCCATGATGGTCTTCAATTGGCTGGACAGCTTGTGATGGAGCTGTTCGCCCTGGCTGTGGTTTGGTCTGGTCTGGTTGGCCGGTCGGTTGCTGCCCGGCTTGGTTTCCTGGTTGGTGTGTTTGCTGGCGTTCTTTCGGTGGTGGTGCTTTTGCTGGTGGCGGTGTTGGCTGGTGTTCCTCGTGCTGGGCGGGCGGTCGTCTAGATGACGACGTTGGTGGCCTATTTGGCAAATGAGCCCAGATTGGCGCTATCTTGAGCGTCAATCCAATGCAGATAGAACAGCCGTGGTGGCGTGCTGTGCTTGCCAGAAGCAGCGTTGAGCCAATTCATACCTCTTGCTCTCTCGACTAGTAGACTGAATTTTTTAATTGTGGAAACCCAAATGGATGGACATGTAGTAACAAATACACGCTGGCAGTGGCAGTAGTATGGCTGTGTTCCTGCTGCTGTGCTCTGTACCAGGTAACCTCTGCGTGAGGAACTCAACACATGCATAGGGCTACTTGAATTGACGATTTTCCGGCTCAAAGGGCGCATTAAGCCCAAGACAAGATGCAAAAGCCTCCGGGTGAGACCATAGGACATGGATACATGACTACCACAATTTATATATCTGTTTCTGGTGTTTGAATGTGAGTGTAGTATTGTCCACCTCTACGCCATTCAGCCTCAGTTGATTCTGACGGGCTTGCATTGGCATTGAGCCAGTTTAGCCAGATCAAGCGACTGAGAACAAAACCCACTACAGCGCCTCCACGGAGTACCAGGTATTCCAGAGCATTTCACAATATTCTGCACTGAAACCCTCCTTTCTTTCGGTCCCCTGACTCAGCCGTGCCTGGTTTGCCATCGACATCAGCCCACAACCTTGGAACAGCCCTGGCGTTGGCTGAGTTGAAGGTTTTGACGACAAACTTTCCCAAAGAATAATTTGACTCAACCAATCTGTTCGACCATGCCCCGTCATCCTCAGCACGGCCGACTCCTAGGGAAGGAACATTCGACCAAGTCTCGCGACTTTGCTCTAATTGTACAGCCTCTTTTCCCATCCATATCCCTTTCAGTCTCGGACCAAGCAATAAAAAGCCGGTTCATTTCGGATGAGATGATAGGCATGGAAGACGGTCCTGCCCCGTCGTCATGCTGTCTGGTCTCGGGCAACCGTTGGTTCAATCTTCGATAATGCAAGGATCAAAACAACACCTCTCCACTGCCTTCGATTTCACCACCCCACAACTGCCCGACCTTCCTTGCCCTGATCTTATCCTTGCGCTTCTTCTCCAAATCAATCGCGCGCTGAAGCCGAAAGACCTCTTCGACATCGCCGAGCTCGTATCCGGGCGGCGGGTCGTCTTCTCTGTCGAGATCGACTTCACCCAGCAACAGCACGTTCTCGCCTCGGACGAGGTACGTGCCGCGGGGGATGTCGCAATAGAGATTGCGCGGGAGAGTGGCTGTACTTAACGATGTGTTGGCGGACAAGGAGGGTGCGTCCTGCGAGGCTGTTGCGGAAATGGCGTCCGGGCTGGTCCCCGCGGGGATGCTGACAAAGTATCGCTCTCGAGTGTCGGTCAGGACGAGGTTGGCGAATTGATCCCAGGATCTTAGAACGCCGAAGATTTTGCGGCCGTCGCGGAGGACGAGGAGGAGCTTTTCTGCAAATAGACCAAATGGTTAGTAACGATCAAGTCTTTATCCCACTCCAGAGTTTTTTTTATTTGTCCATAAGGTATACAATCCAAGCTCGACCGAAAACTGCCATGGAAACAGAATGGGAAGTGGGAGTGGGTATGGGAGTGTGTGTGCGGTCTTTCACATGTCCTCATTTTGGGATGTGATCAAACAACGAACATGTCAATGACATAGGTAGTAGTAGGTAAGACGTACTGTCCGTCAAATCCAGCAGCTGCGCCGCAGTCGTGAACATCTGCGGTGGTAACTGGGGGGCACCCTGCGGCGGCACGCCTGCAAAGACGGCATTTTGGTTTTGGTTCTGAGGCGCTGGTCCTTGTCCTTGTCCTTGTCTCTGCGGCGACGACGGAGGCGGACGGTCATCTAGACTGAGGTTTTCCATTTTCTGTTTCTGGTTTCTTGGTCCGGCGGGGAACAAGTCACCGGCGCGGGGGTAGAGGGGATGTTGGGTGTCGAGACGTGTGAATCGGTGTTGAATACAACTTAGATCGGTAGGCTGTTACTGGTACTGCGAGGCGATGACGGTGGGACTAGAAGATTGCTTCGACACCTGTGCAACCATGTCCGCCACCAGAAAACAAGTTGAACAATCTCGTACGTATGGCGTGGATGAGCCAAATTGAACGGGAATGAATACTGCCACAACTGCACTTCTTGAGCGAAGAACGAGCGCCGAGTGATGCAGTCAATGGCTTTCGCTTATGTAAGTATTGGGTTTTGAGCCGGATGGAGGCTTAAGCGCCAGGCGCGCGGTTGACGCGCTACACATACCCAACCCTACCATTGGACAGCCTGCTGGGCAGCAGCACATTCGTTCTTTTCACCAGAAACACCTCTCGGGCCTTTGGAAGGCGCAAAAGATGGAAGACGTGAGCTCGTTCGTATACTTCTTCTCCATACTCTTCTAGAGCCAGAGTGCATCTACTATGAAATCAATCCTCGGACGGAACAAAGCAAACTCGACCGCACGGCGGTTCTGAACAGCCGGGGGCCCTGGTTTCGGAATCGCGGCCTGCCGCCGGAGAATCGTGCCTCCGCAGTCCCGCCCCGCTTTGATCAGCGCCATTCGAGCAGTGGCCTCACTTCCCGCTTCATGGTAGCCTGCAAATGAATTGGATCACCATCATCCCCGACCAGTTTTCATATCACTTCAGCAGGGCCTGATGAGCTGGCGGGCGGTCGGTTTGATACTTGGTAAGATCACGGAATGACAAAGAACACGGTCCTGCAAGAGCGGTGGACTTCGGACGATTCGACCGCTGCCGCCCCTGCACTGGTTCTCTAACGGATACCTTGAATATAATATTACACCTCCCTCCCAAACAGTTTGGAAAGGGTACGAGCCGGACTTTGTGGCGTGACCCTTTTGCGACAGAAGAACAGTTCAACCGCTTTGAGATCAATCGCGAATCAAACATGTCGATGCTAAGCGGCTTGAAGCGGTTGCTCGACCAAAAGCGCAACCCACCCAAACCGGCCACCGAATCATTTGCTGGCCGGACTATCCTTTTGACAGGAGCAACTGGTGGTCTAGGCCTAGAAGCGGCGAAGAAACTCGTCGGCCTGAATGTCTCGAGACTTATCATCACGGCCAGGAGTGAGGAAAAGGGCCAAGCTGCGAAGAAGCAGATCGAAGCACGCCTTCGGGCATCCAAGGGAACAGCCGCCAGCAACTCGACTGAGATTGTTCCTCTGGTGCTCAACATGAGCAGTTTTGACAGTATTCAAACATTCGTCGAGACGCTCAAGTCCAGAGTTCAAAAACTTGACGGAGCAATCCTCAACGCGGGAACGTTGCAGGCCTCCTACGTGCAGAGCGCCGACGGCTGGGAAGAAATGCTCCAGGTCAACGCCCTCAGCACGTTCTTACTCGGCTTGTTGCTGCTGCCGCTTCTCACTGCGTCGGCAGAAGACAATGACGGCAACAGCCCCACGAATTACAAACCTCACTTGACATTCGTCTCTTCCGGTACAGCTTGGACAGTCAGCCCCGCAAAGATGACGGTCTTCATGGGAAGCGAAACGCCACTTGAGGACCTAAGCTCCCAGAAGCACTTCCCACCCGGGACGTTTGGTGGACAAACACAGTACGCACGGACGAAGCTTGTTCTCGAATATGCAGTGCGCCACCTGGCCGCCTTGCCTTCGCTCAAAGGCCCCGATGGGCAACCAAGAGTCATCGTAAACACAGCCTGCCCAGGAATGTGCAAGAGCGATCTGGGGCGACAGATGATGACCAACCTCATTGTAAAGCTCCTCAGCTGGATTCTCTTCACTGTCTTTGCTAGAACAGCGGACCAGGGAGCGAACACGTTCGTTACCGCCTTGACGCAGGGCGTCGAGGCCCACGGAGAAATGTGGAAGGACGATCGGGTATACGAGCCTGGTCCAATGTGTGCGACCGAGGAAGGTTGCAAGTTTGGCGACAGGGTGTGGAGTGAGCTGTTGCAAGTCATGGTCAAGGCAGACACCAGGACCAAGCTTTTCTTGTCCTGAAAAAGCAAACAAAACCTTGAACTCTTCTGTTTCTTGGTGCTTCGTAGGCAATCGTGGGCTAATGTAGCTCTGGTCGCTCAACACTAAGCTCCGAAGTCCCAAAGCCAGGATTGGGTTAGGCTGGTCTGGAGATAGGGCGGGATTTCCGTCAGGTTTTAAGAGGCCGTACTCCCAACAAACATTCCAGGCTATACTGTCCTTTGGTTGTGCTCGAGAGGGAGCAAGTGTTGGACAAAAGTCGACACTACCATAATAGTTTGCGACGGTGCCCCCGGCTGATTTTCGTCCAGGGCCACCAATGAGAACGAAGTCTCACCTAGGGAAAGCGAAATGTTAATTTCGCATCCTTCGATATCCTTTGATGTTTGCCACCAGTTGTTGGAGTCTAAGGCGTTGCGGCTCCATCCCACGTCGATCATGGGCGATTGTCCATATCCTGGGAGTTACACCCAGGCGGTTTCCGTCCTGTTCGTTACTGGCGTGTACTCTCATCAAACATCATTCGCCAGCACCGCTTGAGACGAGCCTACGCCCAATCATTTCCGGACCATCGGCAATGCACGCTGGATGTGCTGGCAACATCTGACAGGTGCATGACTTGCGGCGGGGAATAGCTACTGCAAGTCAGAAAAAGTCCCAGAGGATCGCCGAGCTCTGAATGTTCTGGAGCCGATGCCATGAACCATTTGCCTTCCACTGTGCCGGACTGAAAAGCTCTGCAATAGAGCTACGTTTGAGCTCAGGAATTTGCGAATCCAGCTTCTGCTCCGGACCATTCACAGGTCATCTGTTGGTGCCGTGGGCAAAAGAACCTACCCTCGCTCGTCTCAGAAACGCAGAAGAAGCGAGAGACCCCGCATATCGGTTCGGCCCTTGCCCATACCCTGAATGTTCACCTTCGAATTGTGATATTCGCGCGATTACCTTATAATGACTGGTGAGCTCATCATCACTTGGTTGCTGATCCAAAGTCCCGGGAATAAGTGATGGGGCTGATATAAGTTCGCATAGGACGGTCGAATCACCGACGACTCCTGCGCAAAAACACCCAGACTCCTCCGGTGAGGTGGTGCCTCAAGTGCACCGTCCAATCCACGGCTCAGAGCCACCCATAATCAGTTTGGCAACAAAAAGGCCCGGCGAAATCGGCCTAATGTATTCGAGAAGCACTCTGCAGAAACAGCGTCGGGCGGTGCAGGTCGTCGCGGAGGACGACATTATATCGATCGCCTCGACCGCCACCACAGATGCAGTGCCACCTCTCACCCGGTGTGCATCGACTGCAACCTCGTTGACATCTTCGGCAGACACAGACCTCGCGAGTAGTGTACTTGGAGAAGGACACGTGCTCGAGTCACAAGACGGAGTGTTGACGATCCCGCTCCGATATCAAGAGGATGCGGATCTGTTGTGTCCGTTCCAGATCCTCGACTGTGACCAGGTTTTTGCGGACATCATCCACTTCAAAATGCACGTTTTTTCCCACTTTCGCGGCCACGAATTACCCACCTCTGCCACTTGTTTCCTGTGTGACAATAAGTTCAGCCAGCAGCCTGATGATGACCCAGCATTTGCGTGGAATACCATGCTATCACACATGGTGCATGAGCACTTTCGCAAGGGTCAACAGCTTGCAACGGTGAGGACTGACTTTGCCTTGATGAGGTGGATGTACAGCAGGAAGATAATCAGTGAGCAAGAATTCAAAAGGACGCAAATGGTACCACTGCCAACCCTGCTGCCAGGAGCGGCTCGCAGGCAGCTTGTGGACGTCGTGGCAGAGGTACCACACGCCCCGGCCGCAACACCGCCAGCTGTTATATTGGCGCACATGGCACAGTCTGTTGGCTATCAAAATGAATCTTTCACAGTCAATGCAGGGCGCCGGCAAGAGAGACGTCGTCTTGACGCGACTCGAGCTACTGTTCGAGCCAGGAGTAATATGTGACAAAATCCTTACCATTCCATGTTCGGATGTCGGGAAGGCAAAACTAAGAAGAAGAAAGGCTGTCGCCATAAGTATTCGAACGGGCCGTTGCGTCGGCTCAAGCGCGACCACGCAAGGCGTCAGGCAACCTTTGTGTTCGGGACTCATCTTGATTGCAGCGATCTGACATGTACGATGAAAGCAGTGAAAGGCTGGGTGTAATATGCTGAGGCAGCCAGCTAGGCTCGGCATTCATGTCTTATGATAATGATGAAATGACAGACCATATTGGATTCATATTGAAACCCTGGTGATTCAAAAGGTGCTGGGTCCTTCTCAGGCTGTGGTCGTATAGAGGTACCAGGTACCTATGCTGTCGGCAAGAGTTGTTTTCTCCCCTCGGTTTCCACAGTGGCAACTGCCTTGAGATCTCCCACAAGGGAGGATCTTCTGGAAAATCATCTCTCAAGGATGGTCTCCAGGTGCGCAGTGACGGTGTATCTGAAGCAATCTAGGAATGCAATCGTAGCACTCCCATCTAATATTGGGATCCTCTCCGTGCTAATGCTAGGATCATTGGTTGCCTTTTGGTGCGCCTTGCATCGAACAAGCGCCAATACGGAGGAGGCGTGGGACCAGAAAGAATCAGAAGAGACTACTCTGATGGGCTATAGTACGGCATGCCGACAATAACTGAATAAGCAGCATGCTTCGAAGAGAGAAGACACAGAAGATGAAGTTCAGAAGTAGGAAGCCAGCCATGTTCAAATGTTCCAGATTGAGTCGGCCACGGCCCAATCACAACACGCCACTAGGATCTTCTTGCAACCACCAACTGACGCTTCCAGGTCATGTCACAACCCCGGGTTGCTGCACAGCCACTCGGGCAGCTGACAATGCCCTGCTTTGATGGGAGACAGAGAATTGCTGAGCATAGCATCGACCTGATGACAACCTCCAATCAAAACACGGCGCCCACCCCTCTTTTAACATACGGGGGGCTGTTAGAGTAATGCCGATGATGCCATAGTTTTGTCCGTGTATGAAGCAAAAGTAGCCTAACAGATTTAATGTTAGTTGGTGGTATTAACAATGGCGGGAGAGAATAGAGGCTTAGAGATAGGCAATCAGACAGCAGTTGGTACAATTTTGTTTTCCACAAGGAGTTTCAGAACAGGTCTGTGTGAAAATTTGCTTCATCATGTGGTAAATTGGGAAAGTGATAGGGTTGAGTGACTCACCTCGGAGGACGCTGAAGTGTGCCCTTTCGGGACCCATATTAGGGCGCCATCCCCTGTGAAGGCTTGAAGAAGCCAAGCAAAGATTTTTGACGCGCATCGTATGGAACCGAACCTAAACCACCACGAGCACGTTTCAGATCAACGAGATGATCCCGGCCGTTGATGGCATGCACCACCATCGAGTGTCCATCGAGATTCGGTGTAGGCGCTGCTGTGTCAGACGTGAGATTTAGTGGTGAAGCATCTGTAGGGGCGATGGCCGTGGGACGCTCAATCGTCACTTCCAGAAAAGCAGTATTGTTCCAGGAGGGCAGATATTCCAGCGGTCTGAGGTATCCCCCCACCTCAATATTAGGACCTAGTCTTACACTGCCGGCATTGAACTTGCGAAGCAATGACTGCCAAAGCACGGACAGGAACAGGCCATGAGAGACAACAGCAACGCAGTCCTGTGACATAGGGTTAGTCGAATTTAGCAGATTGTCTGGGCCGGTAGCAAGCAAGGGCATGATAAAATTGTCCAAGAAGATTTGGGCCCTTGTCGCCATGGACTCGGAAGTCTCCTGCGGTCGGAAGTTTTGGTCTGCTGAGACCGGAGGATGTGACTCAAAGGCCTGTTGAGCGCGCTTGGATGCCCAGGGAAGCAACTCGAAAGATCCGAAGTCCTGCTCGCGCAGAAGATCCAGCTTCACAACTTCAGGAACGCTATGTTGAAGAGACCATTGACCCAACTGATGCCGCTGGATCTCCTCGGCCGTCATGTAGGCTCGTTGGAGATCAGAGGCATAGATATGCGTGAAGCGGAGGTTGCGGTGAGCTGCAAGATACTGCCCTAGACGTTGGGTTTGAAGCACCCCATGGTTGGTCAACCTCGAATCAGAAACCCCGGCAAGGAGACCGGCAACATTGTGTTCAGTTTCGCCATGCCGCACCAAGAACAGACGCATGCCGGCTGGGGAGATCAAATGGCCCAGCACAGGAGGAAGGCCCAGGCTGAAAAGAAAGAAAGCCAAAGAGGAAGGATTGAAATGAGTAGAAATGAAGTGCGCACGACGACCTTTATATAGCAGGTTTGCCGACCACTCACGGTGCAGTCAGTTGAGTTGGTCCGCAGATTCTTGTGTCGCCGTCAATCAAGGTCACCAGCAAATTGTGTTACAGTGCCTGCGATTCGGTTGCCCATCTGAGAAACAATATCCCGGCAGACTACTCTCACTCGACTGAGGGAAACTCTGGGACAGAAGTTCACGTCCTCTCAACTAAGTCAACTCCGATTCTGTGCCTGGGACGGCCGTTGACGACAACTCTTTATCAAGATGGAAGGGTAGGCGTGCTGTCTCCAGTAACCTTTTACGAGTAGGGCTGATTCTTCGTACCAGTCTTAATATGTCAGAGCAGCGAGAGCTCCAATCTCGACTTGAGAGACGGCAGATGGGCGAGTTCATGGCAGTAAGTGTTCCAAAACCCTTTGTACGAGTTCGATCATTGCCAGGCAGCAGCTGACTCGGGCTCGTACTTCTAGACATTCAGCGGCCTTGTGCAGCAATGCTTCGATGACTGTGTCAACGATTTTACATCCAAAGCCACGACTCCTAGAGAACAGGGCTGTGTTTCAAGGTGTTTCGAGAAGCACATGAAGGCCACCGAGCGGTTGGGGGAACGATTCCAAGAATACAATGCCGCTTTGCAAGCCGAGCAGATGGGAAAACAGTGAGCAGGTCGAGCAGGTCGAGCAGTTCGAGCAGGTCCTCAATTGCCTGGACTCACCCGAACATGTGTATCACTACTACGGGAAGAATGCATACCCGGTTAGTTTATATTTGATGGCCAGAGAATCAAGGGATTTGGCGATCAAGTTTGCATATTAGCCCAATTGACTTGGTTATGCCGCATGTGTGCTAGATGGAAGCCTCATCAGATGTGACAACAGGCTGCCATGCATCAAGTTGAACGAGGCTGCCATAAAAAAGGCAAGGTGCATGATCTTAACACTACCACTGCTACTAAAGGACATGTACTGTCCATGTACATTATTAAATTATTGTGCAAATGTAGATTGGCAATCGGCAAAAAGTTACCCCTTCTACCTACCTTTACAGTACTTGCGGAGAGTCCAGTCTGATGGTCCCACTGCACCAATGCAGTGGCAGCAATTCGCAGCTGTCGATCTATTAGGAAGTTTTCCCCGGGCCGGGTGAACGCTTTCCCGTCGGTGAGTATCGACACTCATTGCAGCCTGAGCGCTGTCACTCGCACCCCGACATCTCTCTATCAGAAGCAGAGGCTGACCGCGGGGCTCGCGGTGGATTCCTTTGCTCAAGAAGATGAGCGCGTGCCGATTATCATTCACTGCCAGTGGCAGTGCGGTATCTTTGCCCCGACTCTCGACGGGGACTCGGGCTTTCATCTGGCGAATCTTGTCGTCCGCATCAAGACCTCATCATGATTCTCGCGGACTCCCCACATCCATGTTGCCTTCCGACAACCCCACTTCGGCAACCTGTTGATACCTTCTGAAGCCCCGGCCTGTGTTGTTTTTGAACTCCTCTACCCATACTCCGGCTTCCTACCACTTGAACAGTCTCTCATCTCGGTACTTATCAATCCAGTGTTTCTCCAAAGTGGTCAATTGCCCGCCAAAATGCCTGCTGACACCGTCGGAAAGGTATGTATACATCCCCAAGAGAAAATTTGATAGAGGCTGATAGGCGTTGGACAGACTATTACCTGCAAGGTAAGCACCCGGCACAGAGTACCTGGCTGTGCCATCATCTGACCTGTGTAGGCGGCCGTCGCCTGGGAGGCTGGCAAAGACCTCACCATCGAAGACATCGAAGTTTTACCTCCGAGAGCTCACGAAGTCCGGATTCAAATCTACTACACCGGCGTGTGCCACACTGGTGAGAAAAGCATCGTCAAGATGGTGGAACGGGATGCTGAAGTTACAAACAGATGCATACACCCTATCCGGCAAAGACCCCGAAGGTGCCTTCCCGGTCGTCTTGGGACACGAGGGTGCAGGTATTGTGGAATCCGTGGGTGAGGGCGTCACAAACGTGAAGCCGGGTGACCATGTCGTTGCTCTCTAGTATGTTCATGCCTGCTAGCAGAGACTTTGAACTCAACTAACTTGACTCAACAGCACCCCGGAATGCCGGGAATGCAAGTTCTGCAAGTCGGGCAAGACCAACTTGTGCGGAAAGATTCGGGCCACCCAGGGTAAGGGTGTCATGCCCGACGGGACGTCGAGATTCAAGTGTAAGGGCAAAGACCTCCTGCACTTCATGGGCACGTCCACGTTTTCTCAGTACACCGTGGTTGCGGACATCTCGGTGGTCGCCCTGACCGAGAAGGCACCTATGGAGAAGACCTGTCTGTTGGGTTGCGGTATCACCACCGGATACGGCGCGGCTGTGATCACGGCCAACGTCGAGAAGGGCTCCAACGTTGCCGTTTTCGGCGCGGGCTGTGTCGGACTTTCCGTCATCCAAGGTGCCGTTAAGAACGGTGCCGGTAAGATCATCGTGGTGGATGTGAACGACAAGAAGAAGGCTTGGGCTGAGCAGTTTGGCGGCACCGACTTTGTCAACCCCACCAAACTCAATGGCCAAACCATCCAAGAGAAGCTGATTGAAATGACCGACGGTGGTTGCGATTACACCTTCGACTGCACCGGAAATGTGCAAGTGATGCGGGCCGCCTTAGAGGTATGATGAGGTCCCTTGTCTACATATCGAAAGGCCAGTCCGCTAACTTCTGGAAACAGGCATGCCACAAGGGCTGGGGTCAATCCATTATCATCGGTGTTGGTCAGTATCACCCTAGTCGATTACTTCACTGGCCGAGTTGACATGCTGACGCTGTATCGCAGCCCCTGCTGGTGCCGAAATCTCGACAAGACCCTTCCAACTCGTCACCGGCCGTGTCTGGCGAGGCTGCGCCTTCGGTGGTGTTAAGGGCCGAACCCAGCTTCCAGGACTGGTCCAGGACTACATGGACGGAAAACTGAAAGGTTTGTCTCCCTTGGCCTTTTTTTCCTATGACCGCTCCGCTGACTTTTCTGCCTCGAAGTCGACGAATTTATCACCCACCGTCAACCCCTAGACAAGATTAATGAGGCTTTCCACGACATGCACGCCGGAGACTGCATCCGCTGCGTGGTGGACATGGGAGCCAGTAAATGACTACACTCGGGCCCCCCACCGACTGCGAAACTATGAGTGGAAGACATGAACTTGAACTTCTACGATCTCCTTATGTTTTGACGACGGGGTTTCGTTCTAGGTGGGAATTAAAAGCAAATACAAAATATTAGATCCGCACACGTGCCACGATCCTGTCCGATTTGAAGAAGGTCGTTTGTAATGCCGTAGACTCTTTGTCCAGCCGCCTCTCCATGCGTACCGGCTGTTGCACCTCGAACACCAATGCAGATGTCGAACATGACCACGAATGGTACAAAAGCGCCGAACGAGATGCGGCTCCAATGGTTGTTGTATTGTTAAATTGCCCAAAGCTTTCGTCGCCTGAGTTCTTGAGATACCGCTTTTCCGCGGTAGACTTCATTTCTTTTAGACCGGACAGTTCCTCAGGTAAGGACAGAATAGAATACTATACTAGTAGCAGTCCGTGTAATCCATGCCCTGTAGCCAAGTGGTGACAACTCCAGCATTTTTGGCGACACGATGATGAATGTAAAGTACCTAGGTAGCGAATGGCAGTTTCGGATATTTTTATTAAAATGCCGTGAGAATCGCCACAATCCACCCTTTTTTCTGCTCAAATCCAGCGTCACCCCAACTTTGAACTTCAACCCCCGCCTAACCGTCCTCTTGTCGTACTGCACGACCTGGGGTTCATTCCTTATATCCTTCCGACTACTATCTACACCTCAGTCGCTTATCTTTACGGCCTATATATAATACACACCGCCGAGGGCCACTGTCGAGCCAGCTTTACAAGCAAGTCACTAGAACTTCCACTGACACCTGCCTACCTGGGTAGCTTTCTCATCATGTCGCGATCGTTACTGTCCTCTTGCTGAGCCAAGGTCGCGGTTGATTCTTCCTTGTCTCTCAAGCGACTGAACTGCTTCAATCGGCCTGCCTCGTAGGATCTTCAGTGAGAACGAGGACGAAACGGAAGCTTGAACCAGGAATTTGGTTTTGGGTTTGGGTTTGGCTCACGTCCAGGCTCCCGTCTTCTGGGGTCTGGCTCCAGGTAACAAGACACAGCAAAATTGGGAGAATATGAACGATCATTCGGCTTTCTAGAACCCCCGGGACAGTCTGTGCCTCAGCTCGCGGCTACATTCCTTGTTACAACCATCTTTTCCCGAAGCCTGAGGCACCTTTGCAGAGGGTGGAGAGACACCAAAGAAAACGAACCGGAACCGCTGCAAAACCGCTCATCAACCAATGTCCACTTCCTCAACCTCATCACGGAGCCGGACGCGGGCACTCCGTTCTCTATCAGCGACCACACTGAGGCCCGCGAGGAAGAAAGCCCGGTTATACATCGCGCTCTACCCGCGTGGGGGATCGTCGACGACATCGTCGTTCCGCAACCATTTCACCTGCGACTCGTACCACTGGTCTCTGGTGGTAGCGCCGCCAACGGCATCGCGCAAGGACGTCGGCAGTACACGCTACCACGTCGCACATGCCGGGCAACACACGGCCTCTGCTTCTTCCGCTTCAACTTCAGGCGGCGGTGACCAATATTTGTACGAGGAGCAAGATATCGCATCTACGCCGGCCGCGCAGACGGGCCTGGTACGCATCACCGTGGCCAAGGTCGTGGACGAGGCCCGACTGCGCGCTTTGCTCCGCGACATCCCCGTGCCGCAGCATGGTGGCGATGATCCGACCTTCAATTGCCTGACGTGGGTGAGGGAGGCGTTTGTGAAAGCCATCGAAGATCCAAAGTGCGTCAAGAGTTATCTCCATGCCGAGGACTGGAAGGCCGTCGAGACCTGCGCTAGGACCTACTGTAAGCGGAAAAGAGACCTGGGCAGATTTCACCACACCCCGGTTCAACCTGAAAATGATGATGCCAACGCCGGCATTGCGTTCCCTTGGAGCCACGATGATATAAGTACCTTCAACTTCTGGGAGAATCGCGAAACAACCGCTTGACGAACGGCATACCGTTACCGTTATGGCTGTGGCATGCATCGGCGTCGTTTTTAATGAGACAACCACGATATGACGTGCTATGACAGTCATGTGCCTTGGATTGATATGCAATAACGTCTGGGACATCATGTTACACGGCCAATTTGGGATGTTTCAAACTTCCTCGACTGTCATGTCCTAGGCCCATTATGAGGTCCATTTCAACATTTAGGCTGTCGAGTCGAATGGGCCGGACTGACCAAACATATATACCTTACATCGATCGGCTTTGCGCTGCAGTGACGCGCAAGTGATGTGATGGGTTGTTGTATTGTTTTTTTGGCATACTGTACGTTGCCCCCAAAGTTGATATTTAAGTATTTATTTAGTATGACTGTTGCATGGGTATTCAGCATTTTATGTGTTACCTATGGGCGTTTCAATCTATGTATGCCTTGGGCCTTTCAGACTGCTCAACATCAGTGATTTCCTTGCATATACTTGCAGTTCCAAAATAGAATGCCGTGCAGAGTGTGAGATGTGGCCATCATCCTACGACTAATTGTATCACACGCGGCAGACATTGCCGCCCAGCAAATGTATCTTATCGCAACCACTTGAACCCCTTGAAGTCCACGTTGGACAGGTTCAAGTTGGTCAATGCAATGAGCCGGTCCTATGTACCACGAAGAAGCCAAGAGCCGGATAAGGTATTACAATATTTTGATTTGTTTCATTCGGGCTACCGCTTAATGCAGCCTGCTAATATAATGTGTTCACCAAAAGGTGAGGCAAAAAGAAGCCTTGCTTGCGCCTTTCACGACGGGGACAAAACGCCCCAACGCACAATCCTTGACACATCCGAGTCCGAGGTGTGATTCCGTATCCCAGTCCCGTGGCCCTTTACGAGGGCGCTGTTGAAAGCTGCTGTTCAACCCCCCTTGAATCCGAAGCAGAAACTCGAAATGCGAGATTACCGTCCATGAACTGGAGAAACGCCGCAACCAGCAACTTGAAAGCAGGAAAAAAAGCAAAAGAGGATAGACCGTGGCCATGCCATCTTGATCGGAGAACTCGAGACGAGGTTACAGTGCTTATGCAACTGTAAGTTTGGGATTCGCTGCCGTCTACAATCCCCGAAGCATGACGGTTCGTTCGCCTTCCAATTTGGCGGCGTTTCTGTCCTTGTCGGCTCTCCGAGCATCCTCCAAACCTTCGCAATTATGGGATTCTAGCATCCGATGCTTGCCGCAGAATCGCTTCTGACAGAATCCACAGTCTCCGACTATGGGCTGTGCAGGAGCCTTGCATCCCTCTTTCGAGCATCGAGGTCTGTTGGACTTTCTCTTGGTCGGCGTCGCGGTTCCGGAGGCAGTCGGCGTTGAAGTGGAAGATGTAGGGGCGGGCTTATCGGTGACTGGTTCCTTGGCCGGAGGTTGTTGTGGTTCAGAGTGATCCGTCGGCGTCGTACTGCGTGACGGGCTCTGAAGTTGTAGGACTGATGATTCTTCTAATTTGAGTTCGCCAACTGTAGTCGACACATTGAGCGGTTCTCCATTCAGCATGAGGCGTGCGTCTGAGGGGATGTTCTTCGGTGCACAGAGGAACTCGAGGACGTTGGAGACGGTATGTACGGGTCGGACGTTCAGTTTGATGACTGCGTGATGCCACGTTAGTTTCGGAAGGAGATCTCAGCAAGTGGCCATAAACTAACCTTTCCCGCCGGCAGTAGTGACGTGAATTGCCATGCTATCAGCAGCGAGCTCTTTCGAGCTATTGGAAGTCGCTGAGCCTGATCTGGAACGCATGTTGAAGAATGTGAGATCGGTTGACGTGTGTGTTCAGAGGTGATAAACCAGCAGAGAGATAACCGCTGGGACGAAAGCCTGGCCAAGAGGTGCGCAGCTGATGACGAATACCGGAGTATGAGTGATGAGTGAGGCGGACCGAGAGACGTGTCGGTTGGTCCGAGCAATGGAAGTCGGCTTGACGGTAGTTGAGCGAGTTTGATGTGGTCTTTGATGCGTGAAGTGTCTGTTTGCGGCAGGCAGTTTTGTGTGAGAGAGAGTGAAAGGGAAGTAAAGGAAGATGCAGTGGTTAGAAGCGCAGATGTGTCATGTATATTGATTGAAAGAAGCAGGCGACAGACAGGCAGGTGGCAGTCGGTGGTGGCAGCTCGTCGATGGATTGCAGAGCTTTGGTTGGGCCGGCGGAACTAGCAGCACTACCGCAATGCGGTGTATTGCTAGCCACTACTAGTCGTGAGGACTCCGTTGTTGGCTGCAGTGGATGTAGGCCCGGGGGTCGTGACACGGTGGCTGCGGTCACTTGAGGCAAATGTGGCAGGGCAGGGCACCGACGACGACGGATCAGGCACTGTCTACGGATAAAACACGCAGGGCGGACCGATCAGATGGGCCAGGGACCAGCGAGGGACCAGCGGGCGCCCAGGAGGAGGATCCCGAGGATGGTTTAGATGGCGACGGAATGACGGGGAACTCGAACTTAAGGGATCACAGAGAGGACCCAGCGGTTTGGCATGCAGCACGGCGCCGCGGGCGGCGAAGGGTCGGTTATCAGTAGTGTGCTTTTGCAAAGTGAGGCATAAAGCACGACCGACACTACCGACTTTGGTTATCATGTGCTCCGTTATGAGTCAGTAATACTGGGCCGTCGAAGGTCGCCGCAAGTATCGGAACCTCACAGACTGCCTCTATTACTAAGGCACTACTCCTTAGGTATGTTAGGGGGGCAAGTTCCACGGTTGTGCTGAGACCTGAAGACCTTGAGCTCGAGACGGCGGTGACCTGCAGATGTTACTAGCACAGTAGTACCGCAACCAGGAAGTGAAGCGGAACCGGCAACAGTCAGTGAAAGCCAAGTCCAAAGATACTTCTATCCAAGCCAGACAAGGGGTCCAGACACGGGGAGAAGCGCTTCCAACTTAACCCGATACTAGTTGTAGCTGCCTACATACACAATCTCGGCTCGACAGGAAATGAGTATCTAGTAGGTTTCTTTACGAATCCCAGATCCTCATAGTGCAGTGGTACTTTATCCCTAGGTATCGATGCAAGGACTCGGGACATACAATACCAAAGTGTCTTGTGTCTCGGTTTGTCCGGCTGCAGAGAGGTCAGGCCGTCTGTGCTCGGTCCGGGCGCATGCATTGTTATCATTATTGGCATGATAGAAGAAAGGCACCTGGCCGCTAGAACCGTTTAGCATGTTGCTACTACCACGGCCATGGCCACGAGGGAACTGAAATATATGGCCTTTCGCTGACCAGCAGCCACCTAACGTTCAATAAACATGGACATACAACCATGCGCAACTACCACGTAGCCGAGCGGGCACTTGCATCTCGCCTTGCTTGTTCCATTCTCCAGGTTGGCCATTGACCTCCTTTTTGCACTCCGCCCAGGTCTTTCAGCCCAACCTCCGCAACCGGCACCGGCTGCTGCCACTGCACCTCACTGCAAGCTGCTTGTTGGCCACGGGTATTGCGTGTTCTGTGGGTTGGTGCCGAAATGATCTATGCCCCGTGCATCTACTGCCACGTAGGGTTTCCGGGCCTTATTGCAGATACCGCAGTGTCGCATCCACCCTTTCGCTTCTCGACCCATGGCCATTTCAGTCGACATGCCTGACACCAAGCTGACAGCGAGCAAATTCGGAAACGTGTCCGTGATCCAAGGGATGGATCTGTGGTTACATGCAGCATCATGCACATTCCCGGCAGCGTGAGCGTGGTCAACCCCATCATCCAAGTCAAAGGGGCTCCACAATGATTCCATCAAGGTGCATCGGACTGGGGTTGTTGTCTTCTCAACTATGGTTGTGACTGTTGTGTCCAGTCATCCCAGCCAGGGGAACGACTTTTGCTCCGGGTCTGCGGTCTCAATAGTATGGGTGTATCGTTTCTGGAATTGATCGCAGTAAAGCCCCCAGGACCAAAGTCCGTCTGGCGCAGCATGAGTGGTCGGTTCGTCATTTGCCGTCGTGTCGTAAAAGTAGACCTCATACATCATTCAACTCATGCGCCGTCGGTTTTCTTTTCACCCGCATCGGGATCGAGATAGTCGTCCTTCTCAGCCGCCTCGTACTCACCAATGAGTCCCATCACGACCTCTTTGGCCTCGTCGAATTCACCTAGGCCTTCGGCAAACGGAGCTTCCTTTTTGTACTGCTCCAGATAGGCATTGCGCTTCCTCATTTTTTCGTACTGAATAACGATCCTCCGGAACAGTGTCGACACGCTCGTGTGATTCGCTAGCATAAGCCCGGACACTCGGTGAGTGTTCTGCAGGAACGGGGATTTCTTCGTCAGGGCGACTTGGATCGATGCCGGACCCCAGGGAATGAAATTGGCCATGCGCCGCTCCCGGATACGCAGGAGCGATTTGTGGACATCAGTGGGATCAGCCTCGCCTTGAATGATGTTGAGGATCGAGATGTAGCATGAAGACTTGGAAGGGTTAATTGACACCATCCTGTTTTTGGGCTGCAGAAGGCGACGCATCACATCTAGCACCGTGGTTTTGCGCACCGTCTTTGCCTGATCGACGTTATCGCCCGTAAACGGCGTATAGGCAGTCATGAGGAAATGGCATCGCGGTGTGGGAATTAGCGATGCAATGATTCCCACGAGGTCGTTGTGCATGTAGCCGGGGTACCGCAGTGTGGTGGTCGAAGCCGACATGACAGTCGAGACCAACTGATTTGTTTGCTGGAACGAAGGCTCCTGCACATGCAGTCTCTCGGATGCTATCCTTGATAGAGCGCCATTGTCGAGGACCACCACGGAGTCGGCATTTTGGGTCAATCTTCGCATCGTCAGTAGACTGTTGTACGGGTTCACCACCACATCGCCAATAGCGGTGTCTGGGAACACCGAGTATGTCTGGATGATCTTCTTCGGAAATCGGTCGTTCATGCGCTCAAGTAAGTACGAGCCCAGACCAGATCCAGTTCCGCCAGCGATGGAGTGAAGCAACATGAATCCTTCCAGAGAGTCACTTCCATCAGCCTCGCGGTCAATCATGTCAAAGATCTCTTCTTGCACCCTCTCGCCCGCGGCGTATCCGGCAGCCCAATTGTTTCCTGCGCCCATTCCATGTTCTCCAATGAAATAGTTTTCTGGGTTGTAGATGTTTTTATACGGCCCGCTCTGGATGCTGTTAATCACTCGGGGCTCGAGGTCGATGAGGATGGCTCGGGGAATGTAGCGGGTGTCGTCGCTCTGGTAGAAGAAGACATCTTTGCGGTCACCGCCCTCGGTTGCGAAGTCCTCGAGATTGCCGTCGCGGCTGATTCCATGCTCCTGGCACAGCTGCTGCCAAAACCTGGAACCTATGGCATTCCCACACTGGCCTGCCTGTATTGTAATGATCTCACGGGGCATTTTTGGCAGTTTGCAGTGTTTGAGGCGGGTTTGGCAGAAGTGGTAACGAACAGTGTGAAATGCGGAGGGGGAGTTGACGCGTTGGTGAATTGGATTTGACGCGTTTCCCGCCGCAGGCACCGTCAGAGTGGGGGCCACAACTTGAAAGTCAATGATTGTTGACACGATCAGAAAGTCCAGGTTTGCGAATGTACAGGTCGAAGAGCTACTCCTCGCACCGAGGGTAAAAGACATGTGATTCTATCAAAACACCGGACGCCTCGAGGCTACATCTAAAAGTCAATGTCTGTCTCGCATTGACCTGAAGCCATCGTGGTCTCTGTCATTCAGTTCTTCGTGATCTGCCATTCGTCTCATCATCGCTAAATGTCATGATTGACTGAGCTTTGCAGTCGCCTTCGCCCTCAATTCATTCTTCTTTATGACCTGCTCAACTGTCTCTGGGAATCTGCGTTTGAAAGGTAGTGAGAAGACGATGATCAATATCCACAGCCAGAGCGTGTAAAGCAATTGCCTCCACGTCGGTTTGGCTCTGGGCTCCTGCTCATTCCAGTCGTCGCATATGCGCTTGAATTGCTTGGGATCGTCAGTGATAACTCCGTCCATCCCTTTCTGAATACTCCATTTCATAAGGTTCGTCTCGTTGACTGTCCAGACATACAGCGGTCGGCCTGCTTTGCGAACATCTCGTATAAAGCGTGCACCCACGGGTCCCATGAGGACCTTTTGTAACATATTGAAGGACACATTTGGCACTTTCAGAAATTGCCTAGAGTAGCATGTTGAGAAGCCTATGTTGCTTATAGGATACTTCGGCATGTGTTTCCTGCAGAGAGGTAAGAATTTGGCGGCCCATATTCCAAGCACCACGCGCTCCTCCCAGGCTCTGGCCCCCGGGTCGACAGACTCCAAAGTCGTCGCTATCAAGCGCATCACGTCGTCTGCGTTGTTGTCCATTTTGATATCGAGCAAAATCCAGATGTGCTCCAGACCCGGCTGTGCGACATATTCGAGCAAATCTTTCAAGCGTGGCATGGGTTCATGGGGCGCTTTCAGAGTGCGAAGCGAACTCAAGTACTCCCAGTCGCAATCTATTAGCTTTTCTTCCCTTCCAAAACATCGCTTGAGGTCTGGATCCTATGCAGACCAATTAGCAAAGTCATGAGAACTGGAACACATCTAGAACGCACATGGGACAGCACAACAACGTGGTCCTTTGAGAGGTGGATGTCGGTCTCGATGGCATGAGTGCCGACCTCGACAGCGCCTTTGAAGGCACTCAGTGTATTTTCAGGATGTTCTGCTTTGTATCCTCGATGGGCGATGGTCTGAGGGAAAATTCTCCATTGACTATCTGCGATAGCCCTGGTCCAGCTTGCTGTTGTGGATTAACAATCGAAACATGCCAAAGTAGGAATAACGTACGCATAGGATTGTCGTCTATTGAGTCCGCTTGCTGGATGTTAGTGCCATAGGTCGCTTTCCGTCCTGCTCCAGAACTGGCATCTTTCCTGAACAGTGGCTCTGTGCCCTCGAAATTTAGGTGCTGTTGATGCATTTTGAGCAAGAGACCGTGAAGGAGGAGTGGTTGCCTCCAGTTGTTTCGCGTTGGCGCTATGACCCGTAATGGCGTGGAGAAGGGTGATAGCAAGCGCTGGCAAGTGACAACTGGAACAAAGAGACAATGGCAAGTCGTATGGGGCCATGCATACAGCAATGATAACGATTGATGACACAGACTCCTGCGAGTGGATGAAGGTATTTAGTCTATTATTTGTTCTAGTTGTAAGGTGTGGATAGGGGGTGCATTAAAAGAGACAATGCGCACCATTGAGGCATATCCGACTCGGGTGTCGTGGCCTTCGCAAATCATGGGCGGATGAGCGTGGCGCCAGCTACGGCAAGAGTCATAGCCACGCAATCTGCGGTATACGCTGTACAGTGTGCTATACCGGCACAATCATACAGGCAGGTATTGTCCCGCATGGAGAAGGGCACTCGGATGGTCTGCAGCTGAAGAATTGCACCTGGGAAGACTTGAAGCTCTGTTGTTGGTCGAGTTATTCGACCGCCTTTTCGGCAATTCGCCAGCCCGGTCGAATAGTGTTTGACACGCTTCCAAGCGGCCGGGATGTCTCTGAGGGTTTGCTTGCTACTCCTGCATCCGGGCAAACGTCCCTAGCTACTTTAGAAGGGACATCACTTCTGAGGCACCTTCTGTTTCGGCCATGTTTCGGGCACATGTTGTGTTCCGCCAGTCCAAAAACTCGAGACTGTTCAAGTGCTCTTCAAGCTTGTCACAGCTGTGTATCTACCTTATGCATGTATGTTGAAGTCCACTACTGACGGTACTAGTACGGAACCACAACCTCACTCACTTCAAGCCATTTCCTACTGCAATCGGAGATTAGGCTCTAAAGGCCGGTTGGATGAATGACTCGTAGATCAATTGAGAAGACATGGATGACATACACACGCACATAACGGTCCCACGTGTCTACCCCAAGATCAATCAAGCTGGTGATGATGGCTGTAGAGGCTGTAGATCTGAGCACTCGACAGCTGCATATCTGATCTTATGAAGTGTGGCATGGACCTTCTAGTCTCAAGGTGTGAGCAAGTGGCGGGTGTGTTTAGACATGTGGACCTCATCGCCGCCCTCAGGGAGCAGTTTCTGACCTATACTGAGAATAAGATGCCCATCAGCTCAACGTAATGATAAGTAGTACGAGATTACAGAGCATGGCTAAAATTTCCGGCATACTTACCTAGCCTGCACCTGTGGTTATCTACCTAGGTAGTTTAGCATTTCAAGTTTGACGAGGGCTGTCGATCCACGTTGGGACACGGTGTACGTTGCACACCGTTGGAGAGACATATCAGGTGCCGCAACAATGACGGGTTAAAGTGGCGCAGGAACTCTAGGACAGAGTTCATAGCCACAAAAGTCCTCAGCTGTGGCTGTGCGTATGACGAAGCACAAGGCTTAACTCGGGTTGCGACAAGGCGAGTGGTTTCCCGGTTACTAATAATGGTCGCCAGTTGAAGGCGGGTACTAAACTGTTGCAAATAATATGGCCGGTGGCAGGCCAAAACAGGGCAGCTCGACGTCATGTGGCCTGCCAACAACAGTTGTTCTGGGGCGTTTGCTTCATTGGAAACCCACGGCACTAGTACAGCTATAGACTAGATCATACTAAGTGGTATTAGGAGCTAGAAGATTCACCCTACCTAAGTACGACGATTGCCTTGGACTGCAGGCCAGTGCCAGTGCCCTGTCCGAGTCCGAGTGCCAGAGGCATCCCGCCCACCCCAGCCACGGAACTCATCTTCCAGGTGCCTTAAAGCCTCCTTCCATCTGCACTGTTGCGCAAGCTCTCTCTTCTCTCTTTTACCAGTCCTGATCCAAGTTGCTCCATCACACGCACGCTTTCAGCACATTACTCAAACAACTCATACTTAGAAGCTCTCCTATCGACTTCTTCTCACCCCAGCCAAAATGCCTTTCACAGCATCGTAAGTCGTGATTCCGTCTCTTCCGCATCCCAAAACACTGCTGACTCACCTGCGATCAGCGACATTTGCAAGATCATTCTTGCTATCATTCTGCCTCCGCTGGGTGTCTTCCTCGAGCGAGGATGTAATGCTGATTTCTTCATCAACATCCTGCTCACCATCCTCGGTTACATTCCCGGCATCATCCATGCTCTGTACGTTCTGGCGCACCCGTCTACTCGTTGCGATAAGAGCTAACTTGGAGGGCAACAGCTACATTATCCTGAAGTATTGAGCGGGGACCATCAACCGGCCATCTCAATAACCTCCACGATACCCCGTTTTTCCGGCTAGGAACGTCACAACCTTGGCCTTTTCCTCGTGATATCCCACCACGCTTTTGATTGTTCACCCACGATACGTCGTGTACACCCATGCTCTCAACACGACTTAACACCCAGATCAGCTGAGACCGTCGACTGAGACGGCTGGAGGAGTCGAAGAGATCAAGGCCAAGTCTTCCGTCCAGCATGACCTGGCATTGAGGTGGCATGTTTGGGGTGATAATATAGAATGAAGGACTCTTTTGCTCCACGGAAGGCGACCTTTCCGTCCCCGCAAGTACGCAATGGCACCAATTGTGTTACAGGCTGGATGGTGGCCACCATAATCAGCATAATGAGACACTCTTAATGCAGCTTCTTCTCGCATGAAAATTTGTTCCCTGTCTTCATGATTCCCAGAGTTTCCAATCCCATTGCGATGGATCACATCAAAACATGGTGAAACTGCATCCCAGCATCGGGATCTGGTCTTCCGGAACCCCTAGATTCGCCTAGTATTCGTTCAGAGCCGTGTTCCCAGGCACCCGTTAAGGCATCCTGGATTGTTTGCGTCATATCAAAGCTGATGCTAGCGACAAACCCCGTACAAACTAAGGCAGTGTTTGTGATCTAGACGGTTAGAGGGTACAACCAGGAAGCGTTGATAGTATGACACCCGGCAGTAAGTAGCGAGCTTCGGGGAATAATGACGCTATGCAGGCTTCCCGTGTTCGCGTCTCATCCCTAGCAGGTATGGTAGGGGGAGCGCACACCACAGGCCACTGTCAACAGGAAATGTTCTGTCCTGACTCGGGTGCACATCACCAAATCCTAGACCTTGAACCGCTCCCTTGAACCGCCGGTCATAACCGAGTTACTCAGGCTTTATGAGTGGTCTGCCTTTGACACATTGCAGTGATTTGAGGCAAGCCGCCGGGGAAAGCCCGCATGATGATGAGCGCGGTTCAAGTTGTTGTAGCGTGGTGCAAGTGGGATTCTCCCTGCAGGCCATGGTCTGACGTCTGACGTCGAATGTGCTCCGGATCCAATCACGTGAAGCGCCCGCTTGGCCCTAAACGCCCCCAAGATGCGCCCTGGAACTTCTGTAACCGCCGCAGTGGGCGCGATCTCTCTACCACTGCTTCACATTCGAGCGCGTTCACGATGATGCCCAGGGAGTTTCAGACTATACGTCCTATAGCACGGCAACTCTCTAGCCGCCATCGTCATCTCCCGCGTAATGCGATGCGCTGCTCAAAGAGAAAATTTCTCTGTGACTCTCCCTTGTTGAGCGTGTCAGGTAGGGTTCAACTCTTCAACTCCCGGTCCTCAGCCTCGAGGTCCCGGGTCGTGTTTTCGCGCTGTACGTTACTTGCAGATAACCCCCCTTGACTCCATTGATCTCAGTTCAGTAGTTTTTGGAAAAATCATTACTGTTCACAGAAATACTTCCGCAAACGGCCATGCTGGTGGCGGCCATGTACCATCGATCATGACAAAGACGGCTTGTACGAAATGCATCATCCAGCATGGATCTACCGAGTCCGGCGGCTACTTTCGACCATGGCAGTCTGTTGCAAAAGAGGTCAAATGCGACAAATATCTGTCTACCGCAGTCCCTCCTGTCGAGCATACCTCAATGTGCCATCACCTGCATTCAGAGCTTTGCCTTTACCAATTACCCTGGAAGTACGTGCGCCGATACTTCTGACCTCGACTTCCTATGCAAGGAAGACAACATCTCTGGTCTTACGATTGGAGAGGGATCTCTGCAGTGTGTTGTGTCCTTTTGTACAGGACAGGAGCGAGTTGACACAAGAGCGTACAATGTCTGCGATGGTATAGCAGATGCGCAACCAAAAACCGCCGGGACCATAACAGTGACAATAATCGGACCTACGACCACCTCTTCCACCATGAATAACATACCGCCCTCGATTGGTTTCCCCACATCCACGGAGGATGTCAGCACCCTTGTCATGGCGACTGACACTCCTCCGTCCGCTACTTCTTTTGCACCCATAACTTCGACTTCGCTTCCTACTCCAGCTTCTACAACCCCAACCTCTTCAGAAAGCAGTACGATCAATGGCCCCGAGGGAACGGCTGGTGCGGTTGGCTTGAGAGATCATTCCACCAACCAAAGGGGCCTCAGCACACCTCAAGTGGTTGGTGTCGCGGTTGCAGGGGCTGCAACTGTTCTTATCGTACTGCTCATGCTCATGCTCGCCTTCTGTATACGCAAGAGACGTCGCGAACGACGCCGCAGTCAGAGACGCTCGCGCATTGCTGAGCCTACTCCGCCTCCAAATTACCAGACTCCGCCAAAAAGCAGTCCTCCAGCTTTTGGGAATGTGAATTCTTCACTCACCGTCCCAAGTCCTCAGAGTCGTTTTTACGCTGCTTCTCCTCCATTGGAGGAGAAACGACGAAGCTTCTGGCGAAGGAGTATACGGCCCGAGGAGATAGGCATTGCCGTGTCCCCCAAAGTCCCCATGGAAAGCTCACCTGCTAGCTTTACATCTCAGCACAGTAGCTCACGGCTCTTAGCTTCAGCACCCGCCAGAGCTCTATGGCCAGCGCCTCTCGATGTCGAGGCGAGTCGGGAACGAAGGAGGCTTTCTCAGAGGCCAACGAGCGATGCTACTGTCTTTGACAACGAGCCACAAACCAGACTCGCTGACTCAGAACCAATATATGTAGATAAACAGCCATTTATTCTGGAAAAGCCTCCTCCAGCCAAGCGACGGCAACAGGTACCTCCAGCTCCCTTGAAACTACCTGTGGTACCTCAATATCCGCCTAGGCAGGCATCGAAAGCAGCGCGGATTCCGCTGACTCCAACTTACGATGATGGAAACATTAGCGTTAATACCCTCCCGCAAAGCTACCGTTCGCCACCGACCCATACCACTAGGACCAGGGACCTGCCGCAGACAGCAACCCAAATCCCCTCCCAGGTGCCAGAACACGAATTGCCCCTTTCCTCGATTTATGGTAAACGAAACGTCTTACGGAAGGAACCTCCTGTTCAAGGTCCTGTTCGGCTAGCTCATGACCGACCTAGACAGATTGCAGTCCAAGCAGCTGTGCAGCGTGAGAGAGAAGATTCTGTCGCCTCCATATATACCGAAATTGAAGAAGATACGCCTCCGGAAGAAACTGACAAGCAGTTGGGTCTGCATGCAATACCCAAGACACCGTCCGGCATCATGAAGAATGGCCGTGGCATGTTTCCAGGAGAAGAAAGTCCTATCAAAGATCTGCGATATCCCCAAATCCCTCGATCTGCAGCATTTTCCCGCCACGCAGAACCTGCTTCACAGCCCCGGCCAAGCCCGATCCAGAACTCCAACCAAAGCGGTCGACATATCAGAGATCAGCTTGTCCGGGCAGGAGCTAGTTTCATGCAGACAGATACTACTTCTTCTGACGGGTACATGTCCGATGAGACCATTGAATGGCCACAGCCTCCATTGTCCGAGACCGGTTCAAGGACAGGCACAGGTGGATACCAAAATACTTCCACCTCGGCTATGGCCAGACTCAAAAACAACCCGAACAGCGGGAACAGGGGAATGGCTTCCCCGATAAAGAGCCTATCATCCCTGAATGAGGCTCTGAGCTTGCAGTCGAGAGGAGTAAAGGTCCTTGACATGCCAAACTCCCCTCCCTCTAAAGTGCGATTGACACCCAGCAAGTCAAGCAAAGGAGACCTCTATCTTACGGTGGAGATCTAGTGAGGAAAGTCAAAAGAATCACAGCAGCCTCTGGCCACATTACGATTATCGATGTTTGTATTTTTATTTGAAGAGAACAGTTGTATCATGCGAAGATGTATCTATGTACACTATGCTAAACGAAAGACCCCCAAGATTTCTAGAAATTCATCGGAGAATGGAACAGGATTGTGACGATGAGTCTTGACGAGATGGAAATCAAATACTACACTCCTTTTGGTCCTTACAAATGATGTGGTATCTAACTGCGGTGACTGATATTGCCTTGTCCTCCACTTCTCAAAGACTAATCGCTCGAAAAGGGGAAGAAATGATTGATAGTGCAGGCACCGGTCTGACACGGCTAATTTCCTGAATACTGGGCGTGGTTGGGCCCGTCCAATGCCGCCAGACCCGCATTAATATATCCGTCAGACGGAGGTGCCTAAGCCCGACATACTAGTACGTCCTTACGATGAGCTGGCTGTTGTTCTATTTCCGCCAATTCAGTCGTCAGCGTTAAGGGTAGCTACACAGTTGCGGCGTGCTTATTTACGCCTTGTGTGTCTGGTTGTTGTTCATTTCAGCGTTCCAAGCATGCACAACAATGTTATTGTCGCCGTGAGCAAAAGTTTCAACCGAACCATAGGAGTCAAGGCACCCGGGTCGAGGCTCCGTTTTCGAGTGTACCAGGGCCGAAGCTTTACAACAACAAGTTGCCTTTTACGCCATGATCCTCAAAATGAGTTGGCAGGAAAAGGCCCTGGAGCATGTCGTTCAGCGACGAGACCGGATCAGTCCCAGTACCCCACCGGCCTGATGTGGCTTGCTAAAGGACACCCCCCTGCTGTGGTGAGTACACTTTGCATCCCTAGGTATACAAGCAGGTCTTGATATTAGAGATCAATCATGGAACTATGGGCTGACAAGAAGTGTCCTTCGATTAGGATTCTGCGTCCGCGCTGTCTATGATCAAGGAGCATCAATCCCAAGATGCTGCGCGAGACGAGACTGTTGTCTTGTTGGCGACGCCTCAACTGGCCCATTTTCTGGACCTTGACGGTTTCCTCAGATCTGCCATGGAAGCAATCTACGGAAGTCTGCGGACCAAGACCGCGAGTGGTAACTTGAAAAAGGTCAGATCCGTCACTGCAGTCGTTGATGCTCTGCCTGAGCCTTTTTCTACGGCGGACAAGGCAACGAACCCTGGTCCGGTACTGTCTGAGGGCCTCGCTCTCTTACTGAGCTCGGCGGCCCACAGTGACAAGTCAACGTATCGTGCCACAGATGATGAAGTTAACCCCGTCACATTGTCGTTCTCATCCAGCGAGGCCCACGGCGGTGGTGCACCCGGGCAACTGACAGGACTTGTTCGGCATATTAGCCTTCCAGTTGCCAACACCATTTTTGTCAATGGCACACGTGCAACCTTGTTGGAAGACAGCTGGGACATCATGACCCGTGATTCAGAATCAGCAGTCGTTGCCCACCGTGACCGGCGGCCTCTGCAGAACTTTAGGATCGACATGGGCTGTGGCGCGGATGAGTTCCTCAATGGTTCTATCCCACTTCGATCTTTGACGAGACCGCGCAAAGTGGTGAGATCAATGGGGAACGTGCTCGCCCAGATAGAGGTCGATGGCAAACCTGTTCCGGCTTCGCGTGAGCTGGAGGAAGCCGTGACCAGGTACACTAAGACGCTGCCTACACACGCAACACGCGGGCCGGTCCAGGTCTTTGCGCTCGTCCGACCTCCGCGGACAGCATCTATCCACGACGAGGGACAGGAGGACTCGACAACGCTCGACTACGAGCACAAGCAGGCCAGCAGCAGAATCTTGTCCGGATTATGGCAAGACGCGAAACTGTTCAAAGTTACCGGCGGTGGCGGCGGATGGGGCAAGAGGCAAGGCCTGCTTTCCCTTGACACCGCTGTTGATTTTGCGGCGAATGAGGCCACCGTGGGCTTTCCTGATTTCGATACAGCGGAGGACCTCTCGCATGAGGTAGGCTCACACGGCATGATTCCTCAGGGCGGCACCGTCGAGTTCTTGCTCAGTTCGGACGATGAAGCCCCATCATCCTTGTCAGCGAGCTCCGGCACTCAAGGCCAAAGCGCCGTTCAACAGATGGATGACGCAGCCACGTCCTTCATCGTGGGGACGGCGGCTAACCCGGACATGCAAGACTACTGGGAGGATGTCACAAGCAGCACCGACTCCGGTGTCTCCTTCTATCCTAATCATTTTGGAGTGATTTCCTATGGGGGCGCTGCTCTGGGCTCAGATGAGCTCCTTGGATCAAACGAGACCGTCGACTCTCCTCGAGAGCGTTCCCGCAACAGCTCCCGAACTCGCTTGGACGTGCCCAACTCTTTTTTCATCCTTCAAGCAGGCCAAATTCTGGCTAAGAAGTGAATGCCATAACGCCCTATATGCACTCTATACAGACCTGATTGCCACGAGCAATGCCCTCAGCCCCCTTGTACATGGAGCAACTGGACGGCAACCATCCACGTTTAATCGTGAAATGCGTCAGCTTCTGCACTGATCTCGGGAGCACTCCCACCCGGTTGAGTAGGTATCACCGGTGCCAGAAGTGCCAGACCGATGGTCGGGATGGAGCAGCGTGTGTGGCCAGCTGGGTACAGCGAGGTGCCCTCTGATCGGACAATGCTGTTTCGAGGCAACCGGACGCCCTCATTTGACAATTGTTGCCCGAAAGACTCAACCCAAGCAGCGTCGCAGTCATCCATATAGAGGCGGCATTGGGCCCAGGGCTGTAAGCAGGCCGAGACCCCTGCTACAGCTTCTCTGACGAGAGCATGCGGCACAACGTCCAGCATTGCCGGCGCGGGGGTCCCTCGTCTCGGTCCGGCTCAAATCGAGAACGTCTCTCTTCTCATGCTTAAACCACCCTCGTATGACAAGAATGGAAGTACTAGAACCGTCAAATCATGTCTGTGGCTCCAGTACGTCTACATCTAGCTCTTCCATGACTTGCAGGACAACTCCTAGAGATTCCATGAAGCCATTAACAGCCACTCGGAGCATTCGGTTGGTCGTGGCGCTGTATTCGGTGCGAAGAATCGTGTTCTTCTCATCCTTCAATCCTGCGTCGCCGTCCTGGTCATTTGCTTTCCCTGCACGGGACTCTGAGTCTGAGGATATCAAGGAAAATTTTCGGCGCACAAGGGGAGATATTTCAGCATCGACCTGAAGGGCGCGCAAGGCGGAAGATGCGAGGCGGTGGTTCAGGAGGGGAACATCGATTACACTAGGGGCACAAAAGTCAGTGCGTGCCCTTGCTTGAGCTGGAATGTGGGAAGGTTGACGCACAGAGAACAGGGAAATTGTGATCGCGCATGGGCAGTGGCCATGGCAAAGTCAATCCCCTTAGGACGGCAGCCAGTCGAGCTAAGTTGAGATAGCGGTCGCTAAGGACAAAAAGATGGTATACAAGCCTTGCGCCTGCTCGAATGTTGCATCAAAGAAGTGAGGGCAGTGAGATTGAGTGTGTAGTTGTTGTAGTGAATGAGATTGTAGCACCGATGATGGTTACGAGGGTCTACACAGTATGACGAGGCTGGCTATTTTACTGTTTGCTGCTGTTGTATGGAGCCAACCATGAATTGTGGTGCCCGGGGCCAGAGCCAGAGCCCGAGTAGCACAAACCCTGAAGCTGAAATGACGCTGACTGCCACTGCCACTGCCACTGGGCAGCTGAGGCCTAAGAAGCCCCCAGGGCGGTTGCTGGGAAACGGCTCGTTAGGCGGCACTAGGACGCTATTGGCACCAAATAACACGGTTCCGCCCTCAAGTTGCGCCTCCAGTCGCCCACAAAACCCAAAGCAACCCAAACTTGAACCGCATTTACATTCACACTTGTTGACTGTTTGTTCCCTCTTCCCGATCGACCTCGACACTCTTACTGCTAGCCACCGCTTCATTCTTCATGCTTGCACTGCGTTTCCATTAGCCATATCACTCCTCTGCTGCTGTGCGCTGCGATATGCTGCAGTTCTAGTCCAGTACCGACAGTCCTGTCGCCACAGCTATTATTGTTGTTGACCGTCACTCCCCGCCGTCATTCGCCGTGCAAGCTCCCTCGATCAAGCAACCACCCACCCTGTACACTGTCCACAATCGACCATTCGCAACAAGAGTGCGCTGGGTTTTTGTTCGCAGTTTACAGCAGGCGGTCCGATCTGAACGGCAATGGGACCTCCAATGGCCCATCCTGCCGGCTATGGCCAGGTCATCGAATACATTCAGGGTATGAAACAAAACATTGCCCCTTCCGCACCAACAGCGCAACTAACAATCGCCTGGTAGATCGCCTGTACCTAGCATCATACGCTCATCCACCGGACGAGAACACTCCCTTTCCCTATCCCGCGCAAGCAAGAAGATCCCCCCATAAGAAGTCGTCGAGAGCGGAAACTGGCCCGACCCCTGCGATCCTCCGACCACCACCGGTCTACTTCACCATTGACGATACCCTTCTCTACAATGCTTTCCATGCCGACTTTGGCCCGCTACATATTGGGCATCTGTATAGATTCGCAGTACAGTTTCACGAAATCCTAGGCGATCCAGCCAACAATGACAAAGCTGTGGTGTTCTGGAGCAGAGCGGACTCGAGAAGTCGGGCGAATGCTGCGTGCCTGGTCGCATGCTACATGGTCTTGATCCAAGCCTGGCCACCTCATCTTGCCCTTGCCCCCATTGCGCAGGCCGACCCTCCCTACATGCCTTTTAGAGACGCAGGATACAGTCAAGCAGATTTCATCCTCAACATCCAAGACGTCGTGTATGGTGTCTGGAAGGCGAAAGAGGAAAATCTATGCCAGCTCAAAGAATTCAATCTGGAAGAGTATGTTTCTGAGCACACACGCTTCGACCCCTACTGACCTTTCCTAGATACGAACGTTTTGAGAGAGTTGATATGGGAGACTTCAACTGGATTTCACCGCAATTCGTCGCTTTCGCATCACCTCAATCCGAACCTACCACCCCGATCCCCGTTACATCTCCTGCCTATTCCAGTCTCCCATCCTGCATCCCCGAAATCCAGGGTGCAAGAATATCGCAACCATTCAAGAATGTCCTCACCCATTTTGTCCAGAAAGATGTGGGTCTGGTTGTTCGTCTCAACTCGGAGCTTTACTGCCCAACATACTTCACCGCTCTCGGTATCCAGCACATTGACATGATATTCGAGGACGGAACCTGCCCGGCGCTTCCCATTGTTCGCAAATTCATCAAACTGGCCCATGGTATGATTGCCAAGAGCAAGAGCATCGCAGTCCACTGCAAAGCTGGTCTTGGAAGGACTGGGTGTCTGATCGGAGCTTATCTCATTTACCGACACGGCTTCACTGCCAACGAAGTCATTGCATTCATGCGGTTCATGCGGCCGGGCATGGTGGTCGGTCCCCAACAACATTGGCTACATTTGAATCAAGGACAATTCAGAGAATGGTACTGGGAAGACCAATGGAGGGCGAAGATGGTAATCAACAAACCATCCACTCCTCACGCCATGTTAACCAAGACTCCTGCTCGCGTGACCAGTGGTGCGCAGACCGCCACACCCAATCGATCCAGTGTACAAAGATCCGCCTTGGGTGAAATCGACGGCAATGATGTTACGAACGCGGAAATGTGTCAGGATGAAAACCTTCCAGCACCGACTCCAGGCCAACCGAGAAAATACGCTCGCATGGATCCAAGAAGCCACCCCTATGCGCGATCCACATCCGCGGCAATGCGCGCCAATAGCAACAAGGCTGATGGAGAAATGGCAGCCGAGACACATCGCCAGAGCGTGAATGGAGCAGAAAGTGAAGAGGAGCTGATCCTGCAGAAAGCAGCGTCCCGACGTAGCCAGAGCAAGAGCCCGAGCAGCAAGGGCAAGTCTCGAAGCGTTTCATACACCACCACTACGACCACCATGACCAAGACTTTCGACGTCAGTGACACCATGGACATCTACGAGGATGAGCCAGACATCAATTTCCCATTGGAAGACACCAATGCCATCTGGGACGAGCTTGCGCAGGAGCAAGAAAACCTGAAGCTCAGCACCATGAGTGAAAAGAACCATTCAAATGGAGTGGGTCGTCCTAAAACCACTCCTAGATCGGCAAGCGGTATGGGCGCCATGAGTGTCGCAAAGACCCGATCTCTTCGAGAATCCCCCCGTCGCAGCGGAGGCGAGGACAAGACAAAGATTCGAAAGACCAGTGGTCGAGTCGGAAGTGCAAGCCATGCACCTGTCGGCGTCAAGCGATGATGATACTGTACTCAAAGGCCTGTGGTGTCTTTATCATTATTGGTACGGCATACACACGCGACCGGTTTGGTTGGGCATTTTCCATAAAGGATCATCTACCGTCGGATGCAAAAATTGATGATCTCTGTCCGAGTGTACTTTGAATGTCCTCGGGCTCTATCGTTTTGTCTTCTGATCATGAGCAAACGGGTACGGATGACATGACAATGACATGACGGCCGCATAAGGAGATCCGGCAATGGTGCCTTGATGGCGTGGCGCATGGGGAGTCAGTCGACAAGTTCAAGTATTTGGCGCAGGGAAAATCGCATAGGGGTGTTGTCACATCCTTTCTGGCTTTGTTGCTTTTCGAGGCGGTCAAAGGCCTGTTCTGGTCTGTACAGGTACTGTACATGCACGCACATTGCATGCATGCGGCTGGCTAGCAGGGGAGTCAGTCATGACTGTTTACGGCTACGGCTACGGCTGTGTTGTGTTAATCTGGGACCCGGTGAACTTGCGCTTTGCTCGTAAGAGGTTTACATACTTTACTTTAGCTTACCTACCACGGAATGAGGTATTGCTACAATCATCCCTTTCATTTTCCTCTTTGACAGTTCCTGTAGGAGGAACTTGAAGTCGTTGCTCATGAAAACCCTTGATTTCGACCTTGACCTCGAAACCGGAAGCAATACATTTACTCGTGTAGAGAAAGAAGGCCAGAGGGCTCCAACCAACCCACAATCACCAGGATACTGTACACGCAGCATCTCCACTCCTGCTACCTGATGATACTGCCATAGATGGGGTTTGACAAAAGGACAAGTAAGGCATGAAGCGCTTGATCTACAAGTCTGGTCCAGACAGTTAAGACTGTTATTGCTGCAAGTCACGACATAACGGACTGAGACTCTGCCGACCTCTGGTAGAAATGCTGATTGAAAGGGCCTAGGGAGCCAATAGCTATTTCTTCGACAAAAGACCATTGGGTGGTTGTCTTGGCCTAGATTGATCATTCCAACAAACGTGAATACTTCATAGTCGCTGGTCACAATTGGAGCCTCGAAATACTGGAGACAAAACAATAGCGCTCGAAACGGATCGAACGTTATAAGAGTACAAGTTGTCAAATAAGCAAGTGCAAGCTAAAAAAACAGCCCTGGTGTCCAGCTAGAATCTGGATCTGTGATTTGAAGCTGACCATTGCAGCCCGAATCCTGCTTCAGTCTTCATAAAATGTCTCGTTTGCCCTATTCCACACAAAAACACATCTCAACATCAGCAACCCATTCCAGCCATCCATCATTCAGACTATGGAGGTACTCTTGATCCTTGTATGGACATCCTAATGGTAATGCTTCTCATATCCTCAGCTTAATGCGCCCCAGCCTGATGCGTTCTGTCTGTCGCCCAAAATTGTTTCCTCTGTCTTTCACAATTTAAACCTGCTGTCCTGCCAGCCGAATTGTTTCAATGGTGTTGAGTGGAGCTCAAACGGCCCAGTGTGGGGAAAAGGCCCAAATAGAAGAGCTGTAGCTCGTAACCCGTGTACTCGAAATAAGAAAAGAAAAGCTGTTAATAACGATCGAATATGGTGAGAAGGGTGGTCGAATCTTGGAAAGCCCATTGAGGCTCCAATCCACTTTTCGTGATTTTCGTAAAATTTGTCCATCAAAAAGCCATGTGGGAAGGTTGATTGGTCAATGCTAGGGTCTCGCCCATGCTCCAAACGCCGAAGCAGTGTTCATAAAGCCGTTAATTGTGTTGTGACTTTTGTCAGTCAGATTTGCCTGCATTACATGTCTGTTCGCTCTTTGGAGCGCCAGAAATGCATCAGTCTGCTGATCCTATTTGTTTTCTTTCTCCCCTTCTCGTCAGTGACGGCGGTATCAGGGACGGTCTCAAACTTCAGTTTGCTACCATGAGACGATCCAGGAATCAAACGGTTCAGGCTTGCGAGACTTGTTCGTTTCCAGGCTTGTTGGTCATTGGACTTGGAAGTTGACGGAACAATCATGGAAGCAGAACGTTGTTCAACCGAAGATCTCGTCCCTGCACTGCTCGAAAATCTGGGAAGAGCGCCGCTCGAAATGCTGTCACTGAGGGAGGGAAGATCGTCGTTAGAAGCCCGAAGCGCAAAGTCTGGACTGGGTTCACCAGGCAGCCGCATTGGGCGGGGGAAAGTATCGAAAGAGATGTGGTCGGCATCTGGTGAAGATATCATGGAAGCCGAAGTCGTGCGTCCATCAGTGGAAGAGGCATAATGTGATTGTGGTGCCGGATACGCAAAAGACATCGAAGACGGCATTGGGCGCTTCTCATTCTCCAGATCTGGAAAGATGGGCGGCGCCTCAATGGTTGAGTTCGAAGACCGCGCGTCGACGCGGGCAATGTCTTCTTCCGACCCGACAATGAGCACACCGTCACCTGCTTCCTGGTGCAAAGAAAGACCCAGTCCATCAGCAGGAGTAGGATCTTGCGGCGCAGAAACCGGCAGAGAATCAGGGCTGCTAGGTTTGCTTTCCTGTGCAATCTCCTCGGTTGAGCTGTCCGAGTTACTCGGGCCAGGATGTTTCCCAGCGAGAAAATTGTCTTCCTCTTCTTCGTCAAACACGTCCTCAGTGAGCGAAGCATTGCTACCCAGGCGGTGCATGCTAAAAGTGCTACGGTTGACGGCGGGCATTGTTGGCGCTGACTCCGTCCTCCTATGGACTGTTCCAAATGCGTCTGGACTGCCTCTCCGCTCACTGCTATGCAGTTTCGCAATTCGTGGTGATCGACCGAATCTGACGTTGCCGTCGGATCCAAAATCATCCTCGTCTCCAAAAGTACCCAGGGCGGCGTCAAGATCTAGAACAGGACCTGTGACTTGTTCCTCCGGCTGTTTCGGTGTGACGGCCGGTAGCAGAGGGCGGACTCGAGTCGAGACGGGAGAAGGATCGCGAATAACAACAGTGTTGTCGGCATCAAAGATATCACTGAGCCGATCACTAAGTTGTCTTTTCAACTCAGGTGGACTTGGAGAGCCTTGCTCTTTTGGCTTGGCGGAGCGCTTATCCGACTTTCTGGAGAAGATACCCGAAGTCCACGTGTGATACTTGCGCTTCTTTGACGCAGGAACCGGTTCTTCGGAAGTCTTGGGTCGATCAGGCGCATGCGAGACCGACTTGAGAGTCGGGGGCTGGGTACACTCGGGCGATGTGAAGACATCAAGGGGATCGCCAACTTCAGCCCTTGGAGTAGTGGATGGTGAACCATTGTTGGAATGACTGAACCAAAAGTACTTCTTTTTGCTCGGAGGGCTGCCCGTGCTCAACGCTCCAGGTGAGCCGGAAGCGGACAGCGGGCGTTTCGGAAGGTTAATCATGGATTCAGCAGGCACGCCTGCCAGCTGGGTTGAAAGTGCATCTGCCGTTTGAGGCCGCTCCGGCGAGATATCCATGTCAGCCGAGGGACTCACAGCTATGATCGGACGTGGTGTCGGACTAGCGATGGAGTTGATGCTTCCAGAGAGAGAATGACCTCCGCGGATAGTAGACGTGCTCCCTTCGGTCTCGGATGAGATCAAAGACAGTGGTCTTGGTATCACATCGACATAATCAGAAAACCCGACTCGAGGACGAAATCCTGGGGCACTACCCCTTCGTCGAGGAGACGAGGGTGGGGTTCTGACAATGTTTGACATTGACTGGCGCATGTGTGGGCTGGGACGAGCGTACGCAAAAGGCTGTGCGCTTTCTGCTGGGGTTGTTGGGGTTGAGCCTGCTCGTGCCTTGGCCAGAGCATTCATCTTGATCAGCTCTGACGTGTCAATATCGGAGATGGAAACAGCCTGTGACCGACGATGGACATGTCCTCTAGGTGCCCCATTTGCTGGGGGAGGAAGTCGGTATTCGGGTTTCTCAGGGCTGGTGCTGACTATTTGAGGGCCATCGTCGCCTGCGCCCACAAACTCACTTCCATACCGGCGATGACCTGTTCGAACAGGCTGCGTGGTATCGGCAAATGAGGATTTGGTTGGACTGGGAGACGCTTGTGCAGGCGTCGCTTGTGATCCGAAGGTGAATGCAGGCAAGGGAGCTGCTCGTGCCGACCGAATAGCGCGCTGTTGATTCAAAGCCATCTCTTGAAGTACTGGGTGAGTTGGACTTTCATCCCGTTCTGGCGGCAGATCGGCACCCGGGTTGAATTTGAAGTCAGGCAGAGGAGCCCTCATAGAGCGACGACGGGTTTCGACAGCCATGCCAGCGGCGCCCTGATTTGATGTGCCCACTCCTCGTACTCGCAGAGTATCTTCGCTCGCAGAAGAGGCCAAAGTAGTCGTCGGCAGATTGTGTGCAGCATTTGGGTCTCGAGAGGGTCGTCTTCGGTGAGCATGAGATCGGGGAGATCGAGGAGGCGTGCCGGCGAGTGAGTCGAACGGTGAATGCGCAGGAAGCGTTGGAGGAAGCGAGATCGAAGTCATACTTGCATGAAAGGGCCGCCGGTGAAGAGGATTATTGATGTGCTGGCCAGCAGGCAGGCGCAGTGAAGTGTGTTAGAGGTGATCCGGCACCTGGATGATATTTGTAGCCGGCTCACGCAAAGAGACGAATGCCACCATCACAAAGTCCAGACAGATGTTGCGCCGCAATAGGACTGTCTCGACAGTAAGAAATGACCTGTACAAGGTGTCGTCGGCCCACCAAAGTTGTTCTGTCAAGGCTACTCGCGATAGTTGATCGTATCTGTGCAGACGATGTCTTCACAAACAATGGGTGTCGCGGGTGGTTCGGATTGCTTAGAAAGGGAGAGATTTGAGGTTCTTGAAGGAGTGGACGGCAACCTGGAAGAAAGACCAAAGACGGATCTTTCTTCAACCAGGAGCCAGCGGCTTGGGTGAGCTCAGCCTTGTGTAGAGACAAGGAGGGAGGCGGGAGAGTGAGAGAAGGACTGAGGTGGATGTGGATAGAGAATCAAGGTTCGAGTTCAGGAACTGGAGTGCAGGGTGCAGTTTGGCAGTGGCAGCAGCAGCAGCAGCGAGTGCCAGTGCAGGTCAGCAACGGAGAATTGAGCCTTGGTCGGAGCCTGCGCTGCGCCAGGCCAGGGCTCGCACTGGCAGGTCAACCGGGAAACTGAGGCCACTACGGCTCAAGCGAGAAGCTGCGGCAGGTCAGGTGTGCACTTTAAGCAGTCCTCTAGTGGATAAGTGGCCGAACCCAGCGCCCCGATCTGACTTAGGCGGGATCTCTAGGCGTGGCTTTAACTGTTTAGCAACATGCAGCTTACGCTTGGAGGCACCTAAGGGAGGGGAATGCCCACCGCCTGCCCACCGCTTGCCCAATGCTGTGTGGACAGTTGTGGTGTCGACAAGTGTTTCTATTCCACATACGCGTCCCCTGTACACATCCACACTGACACCCCGAGGAGACGCGCCGCACTGTTGTTCTTTGACTTTGCCTTTAGGCGTCCGACCGAAAATACCATTCTTCTTGTTCACTTCTCGATGACGCGTGGAATCGGCAGCAAGAACTCTCTCTGGCATTTCTGGTTCTTTTCCAGATGAACATGCGCTCGTAGAGTGGAGAGGTCTTTACTTTCCACTGGGATGGTACGAACACCACCGCTCAGCTGAACCCTGAAACTCACGCACGATGCAGCATCTCCTCCGTGCGGTCTGATTGACACTGTCAAACCGATAGCCCAACCTCAAGTGTTGCCTTCTGATGTGCTGGCAGGCCACACTTGGGCCAGCTAGGAAAGGAGAAGCAACATCCTGGTCTGCCAAACGAGCTCAATCTCGTAAAGATTGGTTCCCTTGATTCCCGCTTTTCCACGATTCGGCCCACGCTGATTCCTGCAGTGCCGCCTACGCGTCAGTCGTCGCCCTTCGTACAACAGAGCCACCTTCACGTTCAATTCGTGCTATGTATCTTTGACCACGGAATTCTGCCACAAGGCCAAGTTGGCAGACTCGTGGTAAAGCAGATCGCGGCTGATCAGCGTGCAAAAATACAACATGCAGCCCCTTGTGTAGCCCGGTGGCGCCGCCTAAGACTTGGCCTGCGCTTATGCAGGAACTTGCAGCAGCTTCAAGTTCAGCAATCCCAGTGGCGGCTGCATAAAACGAGGCGTTCAGTCCAGATGCTTTATCGCTGTCCGCTGACTTTCGGTGCATGCTTCCAGGATCACGGCTTTGCACGGATGGTGCCGTCGAATCGGCTGAGGCGGTTGCTACTCCTGAATTCGTGCGCATTATTGCGCAAGCATTCCATGTTCTACGAAGGAGATCGCCATATCCCCGTGTGGATTGGGTTTGAGTCAAGAATTCCATTTCGTCGTCCACCTCAGCTGGGTAGGAGTTGGACGAACTGCAGGCCGCTGAATCTCGGTTATGCTGGATCAACGATAGCAGGTTTGTCGGCCAATCTTGGCTCTCGCCAGGTTGCCCCGTCCTGCCCTGGTGTGGATGGACTTCTGTAGTAGTACCCACGCCACTCACTACTTCTCAATTGACAAGCTGCGCGTAAACTAATTGTGCGCTGCATGACTGACCGCTGATCCGACTTTCTTTTGCGAACGAGTAACATTTTATTCATCCCCTTCGCTCCAAGGCACGCAGCACTGCAGACGACTGTGTGGAATGCGGAATCGTTCGTATCCTTTCTTGGAAGGAGAGTTGCGTTCTTGTCTGCAGCCCACCGACTAGCGCATGCATCTGTCTCCCTAGCTACAGAAGCGAACGCGAGGGCATGCACTGTAACCCGCACTCGAAAATTCTCCTGCATGTGTAACCCATTATTCGGTCGATAAGAATTGACTTGCACGTTCTTTGGCTTCAAGAACTCTCGAGGATTGGACGACGCTGCTACAATCCCACTGCCCCAGGTGCAAACCCACACATTCAATAGGATCAGACTTCCGCTTTGGGTGACACTGGCTTGACAGAGCATTCAGCGGTCTGGGGAAGATTGTTGTTCGCCTGAGCAGCGTCAGGGACGGCGACATCAGCATCCCAACGGAATTCTCTTGCCCTTGCATATCTGCTCAGCTACGCGCAGGGCTACACAAACCAGCTGGTCTCGGATTATATGCCGATGGGCGTACGCTCTGTGTACCCATCTCGAGTCCTGTAGCACGACTCATCAGACCAGGCTGAAGCTGACGGCACTCTCCGAGCGGAGGGACTGTCTCATGATCACACAAGACCCATGCAATGGCGCCTGGGAGAAAACCAAAGGTTACAAGTAAGCCCACTACCAATTATTCATCTCGGAAAAGCAACAACAGCGTACAGAAAAATCCCGAAACCGTGGCTGTTCCGATAGAGCTCCAACAAACGGTCCTTGATGTGTTCAGACGGGCTTTTGCATCCGATGAACAGCAGGACGTCAAGGCTGCCATACAGGAGGTCAAAGGCCACCTGTACCAACGAGATTTTGCCGCTGCCTTTGCTAAACAAGAATATCTCGAAGCATATGCTTTCAGGTGGAGTTCGAGCCGTGCTCTTGGATACAGCGATATTTTCCTTCACGGCAACTTGCAGGAGGTATGGCAGGGCGGGGCCGCATGTAATGCCACCAGTATTGAACCATCTCTGACGAGCGCTACTACAGTCGCTTGCATTGGAGGTGGTGGAGGCGCGGAGGTGGCTGCATGTGCGGTTGCGGCAAGGACATATTCGCTCTCGAAAGTGGATGTTCACGCAATTGATATTGCGGACTGGTCGAGTTGTCTTACAAAGCTAAGAGACACCCTATCGACGCCACCAGCATTGTCAACCTATGCCAGTGAACGCGCGAAGGCGGCCAACAAACCGTTGGTCGAGCGTGATCAACTAAAGGTTACGTTTTCGCAGCGCGACATACTTGCAATGGAAAGGGCGGAATTGCGTGCCACACTTGATGCAGTCCGGCTCTGCACCATCATGTTCACGTTAAACGAACTCTTTACCAGCTCGATTTCGCGGACGACTGCATTGCTGCTGGCGCTAACTGATATCATGCAGCCGGGCTCATGGCTCCTCGTGGTAGACAGCCCCGGCAGTTACTCGGAGGTCAAATTGGGTCAAGGACAGGATGCAAAGACGAAACAATATCCAATGAAATGGCTACTCGATCATACCCTTCTGGAGGTGGCAGGGTTAGGCGAGAACAGTAAGTGGGAAAAGCACGTGTCGGACGATTCGAGATGGTTTAGATTGAGCTCATCGTTGAAGTACCCCATCGAACTGGAGAACATGAGGTACCAGATCCATCTGTATCAACGGATAGAAGGGGTATCATAGTTGCAACAAAGAACTCTTCCCCTGATAATCCCTGAAAGTTGTCGAATGCTAGTATCGACATCTATTCCTCATCATCGTCACCCTCGTCGTTGACCACGTTGAAGAATCTCAATTCGTAGACACCCTTGCTGGTCGACACGACACGGAGCCAGTCACGGAGCTGTTGCTTCTTGAGGAACTTCTTTGTCCTGTTTGCAGAGTATTAGCCTCCAACTTTCCTCGGCTTTTGAGGTGTAGCGTAACGTACAAGTACTTCAAGTAGCGTCCGGAGAAGGGAATGTGTGTGACGACCTCGATCTTTCCACCGCCGACTTGCGAGATGGCGACGTTATCGCCCAGGTTGCCGGTTCGGCCTTCGACCTTGATACGGTCGTGCAGGAACTTCTCGAAGGCGGCCAAGTCGAAGATCTTGTCGCTGACAGGCTGGCTGCAGTTGATGGTGTACTATGCGGAAAAACCAGATCAGTATCGGCGCGCAAAACCGAATGAGAGGGAGGTTCTTAGAAACATACCTTCTTGGTGACCTTGGCCTTGGTCTGCTTGCCTTTTTGGCCGCGAGCCTACATGAACAACAAAAAGAAAACCTTAGCCTACTGTTCTCAAACGGCCCTCGACTTCGCATGCAGTGGCCGCCCGCCGCACACATGCGGAGTTGCTGGACAAGGGCGCGAACAGCAAAGCGGTTCGGTTGGTATCGGTCTTACCTGAGCGGGAGCGACTGGTGCCATTGTAAAGATTGAGATTGTCCGGTCGCAAAGAGATCAATATCCTGCGCCTTGTGGTCGGAGAGGGTGTGGTGTGCTTGATTGAAAGTGGTGGTCGACTGGGCTATCAAATTGTCTTTGCTGGCCGCAGTTTGTGTGCAAAAATTGTCGGCAGACTTTCCTCAAAGATAAAGCTGCCAAGAAGTACGGTCACGTGAGCGCAGATCAAATCGCTCCAATCAGATGCCCTGCTTAACGTCACTTGTCCAAATATCCGTTCACTCTGCACCAAACAACCAACTTCATGTCCCATATTATTGTCGCTCGCTGCTGGCCTTCGGAGGAGACAGTAAACAAAGGATTCTGAGAACTCTTTGCTGCAAACCAAGAAACATGGCAGAAGTTCATTCTCGATCTGCCATGGCCATATTGGTTTTCTGAAGTTGTCTGCCTCTTACAGGTGGTTGTTCGAAAACATGGCGAACATTGCACTGCTGGGCCATGTCCTATTCGACTTGTAGCCAGTGCAGTACTAAGAGGTGAATTGACATTCTCTATTTGCACTCCGCTATGCTTGGGCGCTATGGGTCAAAAGAGAGCCACCATCCAGTGCTGGAACCTGCTCCTTCGTTTTTTTGGTTTTCCAAGCGATTCTTTTTCTGTTTTGCCATGTCGTGTCGCTACATAAAGCCAAACCATGCCTGATGAAGAGAGTATCCTCCTTCTACAGAATGAGCCGGCCAGTGGAAAATGCCTGGCCATCGGTGTGAGGCAATCTGAACGATGCTATGTTTTCGCATGGTTTTACTGTACTTTGACATGAACTCGGCTGATATAACCCGATTCTTTCCTCAATGCTACTCGAGATGGTCATCGCGGCAAGGTGGCATTGTAAGTATCACACCCAAGGGGAAGCATTATGGGCACTTTGTTTGTTCATGTCCCACGCGCCTGGCCTGGCTACGGTCTACCGCGAGCTTGACCTTCGCAGAGGTCCTATCCCGGAAATGAATTTCGGAATCACAGGCCGAATCTCTTCATCAATCCTGCCCGGGTAGGTACTACCTAGGTACCTACACGATACCTGATGTAGTATTAGTACCAGGTAATGTTCAAATGAGCTGGAAGGTCCAATGGGCGGAAACCTTGGCGGTCACGTGGCCGGCCATACAGTTAACTTCAAGTCCCCGTTGCTCGAGTTCGTCTTGCGAGGCTGCTCGAGGACAGAGTCCAAAATCATCTCAAGGTTCGTGATATTTGAAACCGTGGATTACTATACGATGTCTACCGACGATCCCGTGCTTACTGAGTTCCTCTGGACGCACCTCCGAATAACTCCAGAAAGGCGGCGGGCCGTGTCTGGCTGGGGTTTCGAGATGTACGAGATGGACGAGACGGTTACGAGCCCGCCTCCTAGAATTCCTCCGCCTGCAGTCCCGCTGCCGACGTCTTCTCCCAACTCTCCTGTCGTCCGGCCGCTTCCTGCCGTAGCGAATATGGCCCCTCCGGGCGATTTGGGCATGATTCTTATGATGTTGAGAGTTTAGGGAAGTACTAACCACGTTCGCAGACATGGCCACTACCCCTCTCCCCGTTCCTTTCTGGCATGAGGCGAGGAGCATTACAATCGTGGCGGCGCCAGCAGACCTTCAAGCAGCATTGCCGGCGAAGAACATGACCCAAATGAACAGCCAGGATGCAGTACCTGGTGAAGAATCTGAGTATGGACCATGCTGCAGCAACTATGTACAGGAGGTGCTGTGCTGACTCGAGGTGCAGCTACGAAGCTCTACCTCCAAACTATGGCTTGAGCCACAAGACGAAGAGAGATGAAAAGGAGGAGGAAGAAGACGAGTTGGGCTGGAACGAGAAGATTTCAGAGCAGCATTGTGAAAAAAAGGCAGAGCCAAAATCCTCTCCCGGAAACTAGCACACGGCCGGAGGTGGAGGCCCTGTCTTGCGTAGAAGCCAAACCTGAGCACACCAACGAGCTTGCCAATGAACAGAAAAACTAGAGAAAGGCAAGACAAGCCGGTGGAGAGCTTGGGCATAGCCTCCCACATGGGATGCATACTAACATCAGCATAGGAGCTTGCACTGGATGCCCTTGTTGGGGTTCGCCTCGGTGTCGGGTACTGTCGGGCCTCACTGTCTGCGGTAGCCAGGCTTTGTAACACAGAACTGTGAGGTCGTAACCTCTACTGGATGGGAGTCATATCATGTTTGTAGCAAGTGTAAGCTATTGATGCGGCAAGCATTTGTGGAGGTGAACTATAGTGTAGTTTGGCCTAATCACGACGGTTATTCTAGGGCAGTTTGCGGTATCAAATGCTATGGCCAACAAATTCATAATAATTGGACTGGTACTCCTGATAGTGTCTGCTTAGCAAAGAGAAATAAGCGTTCGGTCCCTCCCTCACACGCAGGTGTAGCTGTTTGCCAGTGAGCATGCTCAATCACCACCCAGAAGTGCTCCTCCATGATGGCCGCCCAATCATTTTTGATACTCAATAGTACTTAGGTACTGAACTGGCTACAAGCCCCAGGGGATATGGCTCAGCAGTGTAATGTGCGCCAAGTTTTCGAGCAACAACCTGTAAACCCACATGTACTGACTTTTTTTCTCCTTGTTCTCCCTTCACAAATCCCCGCCACCCTCCCCACCCCCAATCCCTTCTTTCCAAGGTTTCTTTGTTTGTTTCTTGTTTCTTGGTGTTTTAGACCTTTTGTGGCGTTTTTGTGCATTTGCGAGCGCATAAATACGCTCTAGTTTGGCCTTAACCGAAGACTGGGCAACAATCTCCGGCCGGATTGTAGTTTTTAGTGAGGGTTCCACCTCATTCACCACGGGCAGCAACGCCGTGCTAGTTTGTAAAGAGAGTTTCGCCTC